ATAAATAATATATAATATTTGAGAAGAGAGTTAAGAGTAGTTTATAGCAAAAATTACTTCAAAAAATATAAAATGTTACTTAGAGATGATTGATTGCAAATTAAGATCAAAATCAAATCTTGAGGGACAAAATTACATTCCTACCATACTTCTACAATTCTATTGAAAATTAAAGAATAAAGTAAGAAAAAAGACTTTAAAGAGTTTTTTCTTAGCATTAGTTTAAAAGGCTTTAGATTACTTTTGAGTTTTTAAAAGATTTTAAAATTTAAAGATGTTTTTTTAGTGATTTTGAGTTTTCACATATAATAATAAAGTTTATATATAAAAAAAATTTGTAAGTATTGAAATGGAAGAGCAAGTGAAATTTTATAGAATTGTAAAAGAGCTTGTTTTAGATATGTTCTAAAAGTTCAAGATCAATCAAATAGTCAAATTGATGGATACTGGACTTTAATTGGATTACAGTCTCAAATATTTGATTATTAGGGTCACTGCAAGTTTCTATAAACTTAAGCAATTTGCTAGATTAATTGAAGCAAAACTTTGAAAAAAATAGTGAACTAAATTTTCAATAATTTTGTTAATTCTAAGAGCAATTGTAGGATTCATCAAGGAATAATTGATGCTAAAAGATTAATACTAAGGTTGCAAAAAATATACAATTGACATCCAAAACATTAATTTTTCTTTTTCCAAGTAGCAAGTTTGATTTTTTTTCAAACTTTATGTACTTGAAGTTTGATTAATGATTAAAATTTATAAAAAGTCTTAATAAAAATCAGTGGTTTAATTAATAGTTATTAAGGTTTTCAAATTGCTCTAGAAATTTGGTAAGGATTTACATAAGATTTCATTTGGATACTTTAAGGAATTTATTAAGGTATCATTAGGTTTTTTTAAGGAGTAAGATAAGATATAGTTACAATTTAATTAAGATTTATTTAATTCTTTTTATTCATTTAGAATTTTTAATAGTTTCATTTGAATTTATTTTTAATTTATATTTTTTGGAAAGGTTTTTCAAAAATTATAATTTCTTTAGAAGTTATTTGGAATTTCTTTATGATTCTTATAAAAATTTTAAAAAAATTCTTTAGAATTGATTAAGGTTTAATAGGGATTTATTTAAGATTTTATTAGAGTTCTTAAGTCCTTTGTTTGTTGCAATTTTAATTTTTCCTTCTAGAGCCAAGTGCTCAATGCATTTTCAAGTAAGACAACACATTATATAAAAATATGAAAAACTATGATAAGAAAATATTATATATATATATATATATATAAAATTTCTACGGTGGAAGTTATAATGTAGAAGAAAGTGGAATTGTAGGAATTTATTAATATTAATAAACTATGTTTATTGCAAGGCTACAAATACAAAGTCTTCAAGCATCACATCCTTATAAACATTGAAATAAGCTTTTAACTTATTTTTATCTAATCTATAATAAAGATAGAGACTTAAGATGAATTTTGGAAGCCATGTTGGACTGATTTATTAAAGATTCAGAAATATTTGCAAATGCACATAGTGATTCCTAATTGATTAGAAATTGGCTAGTATTTTAATTTAATATTAGAAAAGTTGTCGATAATTCATCACTAATATTTCTTGAAAAAGAAGAAGAAAAAAAAATCAATTGAGTAAAATGTGTTTTTTGTATTCTTTTGCATTTTGAACCAATTGAAACCTTCTAAACTTAAAGTTCTAATAAATTTTACTTTAAACATTCATATTTTTAATACATTTTTTTCAGAGTAGAAACATCGTCTATTCATTAATATTTACAAGAATATTGATATCCAAATCTACTTGAAGGAATTTGAATTAATAAAAGTAAGATTGTGTTATGCCATGAACAACTAATTAATTACTTGAGATAATCGAATCAAATTGAGTTGACTTGGCTCATTGAATTGATTATAATAATTGAGTCAAACTTGATATTTAATGTAAGAAAATATGAAAAATTAAGTATATTTAATATATATATATATATATATAAAAAAGATGTAATCTTAAAAATAAAAATAAAATAGAATTAAAAGTTAATTATATAAGAATTGTGATTAAATAGTTTAAGGAATTATTACTAGGAAACTGAATGAGTGGATCTTTTTTGTAGATGTCTATCTTGAAGTTCTTTTCAAAATAGATTTAAACTATAAATTTTTTATTTCTTTGCATAATAATATTTATTTTTAGAAAATCAAGCAAGTTGTATAATCTTTTTTTGGTTTTAAATCAGATAAATGTACATATAAATTGATAATTCAAAGTAAGTTAATTTTTCTTGAATTTCACTATATTTTTATGTATTGTGTGTTGAATTACAATTTTATCTTTAAAAATTTAGTAATAATGTATATTGATGTTTGTACTAATTGTAAATTGTTGTAAAGTATTCTAATTGATGTAATTTAAGAAGAATTAATAAATGTAAGTACAAAAAAAAATGAAATAATTATAATGATGCTAAATTAAATTAATAAAATTTATAAATTAATATTTAGTATAATACATATAGTTGATTTCTTAGTTAGCTCACAAACAAGTATTTATTAAGGATTGAAAAGAAAAAGATTAGAAAGATGCAATAGTGAGCATCAAAAGTCTTTAAGGCATAAAAAATATAAAGAATTTTTTTGCATCATCAATATTTTTTTGTATATATAATTTACTATCACTTTACTTGTTATATAATTTTAGATATTTATAACATGAATATACATCTTTATAGATGTCTGTATGTTTATTAATTATTTCTTAATATTTATTAATTTAATTAAAATATAACTAATAATTAAATTCAAAAATTATTATTTTTATTTATATTTAATTTATTAAAAAGTTTAATTTGAATATAATATGAAAAATTTCGGTTTTTTTTTAATATTTTATGTTTTATTGCTCTAAATCATTTGATTTAGAGAAAGTAAGTTTAAATATAGAAACATAATCAATTTTTTATGTTTTCAAAAAAAATTGAAATATATGTGTATATATATATATATATATATAAAATTTAAACTCTTGATGTTTTTTTTAAAAAATTTGTAGAGTTTGGATAATGAAAAAAAACTAAAAACATTTAAACTATACACTTTTTTAAAAACAGATCAAATCATGTAAGTTATTGAAATAGTAAAACATTCGTTTTTATTTATAATTTCTTTTTTTCAGTTTTTCTCAACAAATTAAATCTTAGTAACTTCAATATAAAAAATTATTTAATTTTAATATTGTTATATTTCAATTTATTAGATGTATAAGTATATTTTTATATTAAAATCCAATTTGTATATAAGTTATCAATAAGTCAATTTATATATGTAAGTTTATTAATAACTCATCAATTAGCAAGTCAATTTATTAGATGTAAATATATTTATAATTACACTTTAAAAACAAAATCAAAAATTAATATTAAAGCCAACTTGTTAAATATTTTTAATTATAATAATGAACCATGATTTAAATTGTTCAAATGCTATTCAAGAATTTTTCAAATATTCAAATAAATATGAAGATTTAATAATAGATCTGATGATTTAATCAAGATTTATGATTAAATAAAGAAATGATATAGGTAATGAGATTTTAGTCTTCTTATCATTTTTTGTTTGCCCAAGTGTATAAGATCTTTTGGGCTAATGTGTATTTAAAATTACATTGAAGAGAATATTGAAGAGAATATTGAATATTATATATTTAAAGTTAAAATAAAATTATATGGTTTTTTTAATTGGTATTTTTGTATTTATATTTTTTAATAACATCCTTGTCTCAACAAACATCAATTATGATTGTTCAAAGTTTAAGGGCCATATAAGACTTTGCAAATATTTCCTAACTATAAGAATTATATATATATATATATATATTTTCTTTATTTGTAATTATATATTTTTAAAATTTCTTGGTTAAACTGCCAATTATCTATTGTTAAATGTATCCATAGTTTTTGTTGACATGAAATTCTATTTTATCATGTTATATTGTTTGTTTTAATATTTAAAATTATTCTTACATATTTCCTTAAGATTTTTTATTTTTATTTTTATTTATTTTTTCAATTCTTTGGCTTATAGACGTTTTTTTGAAATATTTGGTAATTTGATTATTTTCTTCTTTTAAACTATATTTAATATTGGTATAATATTTATTTAGGTTTTCTTTGCTCTTATTTATTACCACAATTTTAGTCTTTTTTTATAATTTTTTATAATATAATTTACCATTGTATTTTTTAAAATTTTTCATTCGATATAAAAAACTTGGCATCTATATATTTTTTTATTCACATACTCTTATTGTTTATTTTTGCCTAATATTCTTTTGATTTTAGTCATTTTATTGTTTTAGTTTACTTATAACCAAATCTTTTATTCTTTGATTTTTTTTAATCCAAATCATTTTTTTTTATAGAATTTATAATAAGTTAATCATTTATACATTTAATTGATTTATCAACAACTTGTGCATTAATCTTCTTTTTTTTAACAAAAATTAAACTATACAAAATTCAAATTTATTAGAACTAACATTTTTTTTACCTTCTTTCAAAAAAAATTCTGTACTAACTACCAACAATGACACTATGTTAGAAATTTTATTTGGAAGTTTTTTTAAATTATTTGTATTGAAATTTTAATAGTTTTTTTTTTTATTTTTATTTTTAATGTAATAGAATACTATAATCTTATAGCATCAAAATTAATATCTTATCCGTAAAAGATACGTATTATAACTATGTTATAATATATAGATATAAATAAAGTCATTATATATATTTTTTAATCATTAACATTGGCTACATAACACACTTATATTTGTACTACATTGTTGTTGACTTTGATTTCCCAAATAAGATTTTGATCAGAAATCTAGCACAACTACAAGAAATACAAAGTACAAAAAACCAACCAAATTTTGGTTTAACTAGATGCACCTTGCTTACTTAATAATAAACAAAATAAAATAAAATAAAATAAAATAAACCACTATCTTTTTCTTTCTTTCTTTCTTACCTTGTATTAATGCGAACAACCAGTTATCTACACCATTGCAAAACTTCCGACACAATACATTGATTATATCTTCAAAAACATGCATCTCCTAATCTCATATGGGGAAGGACCATTTCATCAACCCTAATGTTCAAAAAACTCATTATCTCACTCCATCAACAACTAGTCATATGGGTTGCTTTCTTTTCAATCCCTATTTCCTACTGATTCTGATCATCTCCCCACGCAACGTTTCCAAGCACCTTAAAACTCTTAGCACTCAACGTCCTTCCGTTGAATGGGCATTGGTTTCGATGCATAGCAATGCAAGTATGGAACCGTCTCTGCAAGACACTCTTCGTCTGCATCATTCAACACCTGTTTTTGGAATCCAACCTTTGTCTTCGCAAGCTAACTACTCCGAGTTCGATTGCTCCACAGATACCACAGTTTCGAAGTTTATCGATCCTCGAGCTACAAGCGATCTGTTTTGTGAACTCTGTGGCCAACCATTCTTGTTCAACTCTGTGCGACTACGAGCTTACGTATTGCTCAGCAAAACATTGCGGCTCACGAGAAACGCGGGGTAAAAAAGCCTACTCAACATCGCAGGAAGAGTGGCATCGAAATGATTTGGTCTCCGAAGGACTGCTCATAATACGGCATTCAATCATGCACTTTGTCATGGACAGTTGGTGCTGGAATGAAGAAATGGTCGCGGGTGGTAACGCAGCTGATCGTGGGTACTTACTGATATTCTGCAAACCAACTGGCATGATCTGCACTCGTGTCCAGGCGGTGTTTCGATGAACCACACACACCAAACACACACAAAATTATGTACATATATATATATATATATATATATATATATATTAGATACGCTAACTGTATCTTTTGGAGGCTAGATGACAACCAACATCCAAAACACCACCAACATTCCCAAAGGCAATAGAGCGTCACCTCCAAATCAGAACCCTACAATATGGTTTTTGGTTTTTCTTTCTTGTTGAAAATCAAGCCTTTTTGAGTCGAAATTCGTCAGTGTAAAGAGAGCATCCAAACTTCAGTTCATAAGGCTTCTCACGAAGAAGCTGGTGAGTGGAGCCAACTGGACACCAAGCAAGTAATTCAAACTGCAGGACGAGGACAAGGAGGAGAGAGAGATGGGGCACTGTTTTCTTCCGTGCACAGACCAAAGGGTACTGCCCGGAGCACAACAATAAGAAACTCACCAGAAAAACAATAATAATAATAATAATAATAACAACCAATAAAAAATAAAAAATAAACTCGTGGGGAGATACAGAAGGGGGTTTAGATTGGGGGAAAGTGGGGATTGAACGGGCAGGTACGTTTGAGGCACCCCTCGGGTCTTGTCAACGTACTCTACTTGCTCTTGACGCCTTTATTATTGTTCCTCAGATGCTCTCTAACAAGGCCTACGGTTTATTGTGTACCCTTTTCTCTGGCTTTGGTGGTAAGCATTTTTTCTCCTCTTTTCCGTCTTTCCCTTCTCTGTTTTTATTCTTTTAAGCTTATTGGGTTGGTTTTGGTTTTAACACAACGCCCAGGGCATAGTTAACTGGAGGGAGTACATACAGGAATGTTGGAGCCTTGCCAGGTTCGGTAGGGGATGAATACTAGAGCTCGAATTCTGGCTCTGCACATCCCATCCAAAATTACATTTCTTTCTCCTCTCTGGAATGGACATGTGGAATATGTACATTAATCTACAAAAGACAACGTGAGTTAGTGTTACATATAAACATGATATTTGCAGTTTCAAACGAGATATGGGTGTATAAATAAATGAATAAAAATTACATTTTTGACAAACAATTGGATGGATATGTGGATAAATGCAGCATCAGTTGTAGCATAATGTAAAAGGGGCTTCAAAAATTGATCCAAATAATGGGGATTTGAGTAAAGCTGTCAGCAAAGGGAGCCACTGCCCTTGTCCCATAAAAGCCCAGCCATCGGCACACTTCCATTCATTCAATCATTCATTCATTCATATCAGTTCATCTAATCTCTCACACATCCATCCATTTCCCATCCAAATCCCTGACTCCCCAACCTCCCTGTTCACACGAGAACCAACCTATGAGAAGATACTGATGTTTAAGAAAGTGTTACCTAGCCAGATTCAACCCTTCATGTTGGTGGAAACTGTCCTTGAAGGTGCTGAGGTAGTTGGCGGAATTGGGGTGTTTTCTTTCAAAACTGTCGTGGAAACCACTGATCCCCACAATAAAATAAAATAAAAAATAAAAAAACGTTGTGGATTTCTAATCTCAAAAAACTTCCAGAAAAACGTAAACTTGTGTTTTCAAAATATGCTCAGTTGCACTTTCTTAAATTTTTCTTTCAGTCACCATCATAAATTTACTTTCAGTTTCAGAATGTCATCACGCCAGGTTTTCAAGTCATCTTCGGACTGTTTGATGTGAATACTGATCCGTGTTTTTCCAACTTATGAAACAATCAAGGTACTACAGTAAAATAACTGTAATACATTATTACATTCATCCAACTTGGAAAAGTGGGGGTTTGGGATAGCAAGTCGGGAACTAAGCCACCGATTGAGAATCAAAAATAATCCACTTCTCGTCATTTATTTCTCTTATCTTTTATAACCTCTCAACAAAATCTGGTGTGTACTGAACAGGGATCATGCACAATAGAACGGAGGATTCCCTACATTTACTAGTGTAGAAAGCATCCAATCTGCACATAACTGTTGATATGCTGTTTGTTGTGTGTGAAACAGGCCCAACCGATTCGTAGGGTTTTTCAGGGAAGTGCTTTGATGAGGCTGCGGACAAAAGAAGGGTCATGGTCCAAGTAGTTTTGAATCGGTTGCATTCACTGCAGCAGGAAAGGTGGAAAAAACGGAAGAGAAAGCAGCCGGCTCATCCACCTCAGAGAAAAAAAAAAAAAAAAAAAAAAAAAACACACACACAGCAATCTATGAAAAGAAAAAAAGCACTTTCCAATGTTGTTATCATTCTATGTGAGATGATGGATCTCAAAGGCGCAAGCACCCAGTTGATAACAGAGACAGCTTCTTTCTTCTGCGTCTTCTTCTACTTTATCATTAATACCACTAATAATAAGAAGAAGAAAGTATGATTGTTTGTAAATTTTCAGACACTTCCTTGCGTCGTATCCTGCATCGTGGGAAACAGCCGTGCTGTGTAGGCATTGAAGCATCCAAACGCCTCCAGCCAAAACTTGACAGAGGAACTTCATTGCTCTCTCTCGCTCAGCATGAATATGGTACTGGGAGCTCCACTTAGATGCACACACAGTTACTTAGAAGCAAATCTGGGTAAGATGCGTTTCACACTGGAGTGGGTGGTGCTGGTGATGGGAGACATGGCTGCTGTCACTCACCCACTGTTGGTATGGATTTGGTGTTGGTTACCAAAGTCAGTACAAGACTTTGTGGACCCAGCAACCACACGTCCCTCGGGTGAGAAATCCCCCCCCCCTCCCCGTAATCTGTCAGCTTCCAGAGCAATTGAAGCCCCCATTCCAACTCGTAACGCTTTCACGAAACCAACAATTACATACATACATACATCTACACACACAAACACACACACACACATATGTGTGTGTATATATATGTATATATATATATATATATATATAAATTAAAGGTGGTTGCCACCAAGGACAATCCGATGCTGGAGAATTGCTTTGCAGTCTAGCCCACCAATGATGTTTTGATCTGCGAAGATTGTAAACAAGCAATCCAAGAGCAAGCCTGAAGGCAAGCAGCAGGTACAGGTGCAATCAGCTCAGCAGTACTGTGCGTCTGGGTTTTCTATAAAGCCCCCACACAAATTATCTAGGCGCTGCGACAGTTCTGAATTTTTTGGGTCCAATGGATGCATTCGACGCAGTCGAGAGTGCGTACCGCCTATAAACAACTGCTTTCTTGGTCACCTCACCATTGCCAAAAAAATGGTACAGCGATTCAAAAGACTGGCCGGCAGTGGCGATGCCCTTTAGGGCTTGTCTGTAAAATTCCCTGTCAGATTGCGTGGATCCACGCGTTTTTCATCTGTATCCCCAGGGACCCAGATCACTGATACACAATTAGCGCAAGGACAAGACAACATCACTGAGATGGAAGTGCTGAGGAAATGGGACAGCTCACAATAGATCACGGCAAAAGAATAGCAGAGGTAATCGAACTCAGAGTTTGTTCAGCACGAGCAATAGAAACTGGAGATGAAGGTAAAATAAGATACGGTAACAGGTTTGAGTCTGACAAAAGTTTGTGGATAGTATTAATGAATATCCCGGATCGTGGACATGAGCGATGTGTGAAAGGTGCTTGGAGATGCCGAACTGCGCGGAACTGTGTGATCAGTCATGGGAAATAGCAACTCGTAGCTGGGGCCGCTGATGACGACGGTGGTGGGAAGCGTGTGGAGGAATCATGGTGATGCTCAGCCTGGTTGGGCTAATTTGGGGGTAGCTATGTGGTGTCATAGCGGAAGGCGAGGCGTCGGTGGAGCTGGTGGGCTGCTTTCGGAGAGGTTAGTGTAAGGGACAGTGGATACGGAAACAGGACTGATTTTTGAAGGCCTGCACGCGTGCAGTGCGTGCAAGAAACCAAGCGTACTCGACTGGCAGGTAAATGTTGGCAGGGCGATGCATCAGTGTACTGTGTAAAGAGGGTAGGGGAGCCTTTTCCCAAATCCAGTAAGTGTTTGAGTCCGAATAAAGCCCAGAGCTAGTGTTCAATTCTCATAACGAATCACGTGCAAACGGTTTCGAGGAAATCTAAGTTCTAGCCTGCTGCGTGTTGATCTAGTTGGCTTGGGATCAGAGTTTAGATGGTTGGTAAAGTCATCAGATGCTGAAGAGAGCTGGCGGGGGTGAGAAAAGCAGCCACAATCCAGCAGCATTAAGACTGGAATGGGTCAAAAGCTGCGATCGAGTGTAGATCACTTATCGGCAGCAGGAGAGTGCCGAGCGTAGCAGTAGTAAGTGGAATCATTGCTTGCTGTCGGCTATTGATGTCCGTCAAATCGTGGTCAAGTTCCGAGGGCCCCAATCGGGAAAGCGTTTCCTCCTCGCATGAACACTCCTGAAGTTGATCAGCTTTTCTAGTAGGGAGTGGTGTTCACTAGTATTCATTGTATCGAGGCTATACTTTCCGTATGCCGACTAGATTTTCCTCCACTTTCTCTGGCTGTGGCAGCAGTTGCGTTATCTTCGCAGGGGAGCTCCTTCCAGGTGAGCGGTAAAATCCTGACTTGGATCGGTTCAGTACTAGAATGGATGTAGCTCGCGTATTGCAGCTGTGAGCGGGAGATAATTGCAGCCAACTAGTACGCTTTTCTAGCAAGCATTGACAGACTCGAAGTTAGTGGTACCGTCGGAGCGCTAATCACCGCAACGGCCAGCTGCATTCAACCTGCACGTAAAACGCTATCCCCCTCACTGGACGCCAGCAATTTCGCCGTAGTGGCCAGGAAGTTAGCCTTTACTTTCCAGTTTCCGTCCTCTGATAGGATGGGGTGCAGAAGTCGCCGAGGCTGTACTGGTTCGTCCGTGAAATCTTCTAATTACGATTTACAAAGTCGCAGTGGTACCGACATCGGGTGACTCCTATCCTGTTACAACTGTTTTAACGCGAGGGAAGGGGTGTATATAGGAGCAAGAGTGACTGAGTGGTAGGGAAGGCATGGGCAATAAACCCCTCGTGTGCTCGAAGCTGCTTCTGGTCTGAGGTGTCTGCCAAGGTACACATCTCCGCAGACCTGAACCGCACCATGCCCTCCACTTTGGGACTTGGTCCGGCTTGATCTTCGAGTAACTTCCTTCTTAAATCTTCCCAATCGGTCACCAAAGGTCTGTCATCTTTGTCGTTATTTGTGATGTGCTGTATCCTTTTGCATCCCGCCTCGTGGTCGCCCATTTTCTGACGCAAACTCATTTGACGCTTCATCTCCGCCCCATCAGTGCATACATTGGTCTGTCCAAAGTCTGATCGCTACTACCGAGTGCTCATTCCCCCCCAGTGCCTGTTTGTGACCAGACTACCGAACCTTCATGCGGCAAGTTTGCTCTCCGTCCCTAGTGATTTTGCGTTAGAGAAGGACTCCATCCTAGTACGCATTGAGCTTCCTGTAAAGCGTGAGGTCTTGAACCTTGAGTAAATTGGTGAGACTCGTAAAACCGGTGATCGTTTCAGTGATCGGGTAGATGCATTCCCAATCTCACTGAAGAACTTCGTACGTAATTTAGTGGAGGCGATGCGAGTGAGACGTTTTTCCAAGCTGAAGTTATTGTGAGAGGTTCTTCCGAGCCGAGTCCCTCCATTGCTCTGTCGAAGAAGCTTAATGCATTAAGTTGGAAGGTTATCGGCACTTTGACTAGAGAGAGGGGTTTGAATAGTGAATGCAGGAGCTCTTTGTTTTCCATGAATAGTACTTTAGCTTGACCTGGCTGAAAGACAATATGGCCATGAATTTGTATTCCATCGGCTTGACCATGGATCCATTGAAGGGCGGGCTTGCAATCCACGAAGTTGACTCTTCTACAACGCAAGATCCCTCTCTGTCGCAACTATCATTCCAACCAGGCTTGGCCGAGCGAATGACCAATTCTGGCGGTGGATGGTCTGTGAATACGAGGTCATCGAACTTAATCAATGGAGCGGAGGCCTTTGAGGGAACTGCAAGAGGCGCCACAAAGACGGGAAATGAGTGCAGGCACGGAGGTCATGTTCAGCAGGAGAATTCCTCGAGCTCCCAACAGGCAGCGGCTTTGCTAAACAGACCTGGCTATGCTTCAGGAAAACGGAAAGGCTCCATTTCTAAGAACTCCATAACCACGAAGGTAGAGAATCTCAAGCATAATGAAAATGCCGTGTCTGTTTGCTTTCAAAAGGCGCTCTTTGCAGTTCTCTTGAAGTGCTTGAATTTGCTGACGCGTCTTACTTTGGTGTAGATGTTGGAAAGCGACGAAAAGAAAGCGAAATGCCTTAAAAAAGGGGTGGCTGGCGCTAGTGCTAGCAGCAGCAAGGGACCAGTTGATGAAGTGAAGACTTCGATGAAAGAAGAAGGAAGCCCAGGAAGCGAGCACTCGGGGGAAATGAGCCCCAGGTCAACCTTGAAAACAAGCTCGAAGTCCCAAGATGAGCATCCGAAGCAGGACTACATCCATGTGCGAGCTCGGAGGGGCCAAGCGACAGATAGCCATAGTCTCGCCGAAAGGGTGAGCTTTATTCGGAATGCAACACATCTGGTTGTGACAGCATTGCATCGGTCTTCTCAGTAAGATAATTTTGGACTAAATTTTTGTCTCCTCATCCTTTAATCAGGTACGAAGGGAGAAAATCAGCGAACGGATGAAGTTTCTTCAAGACCTCGTGCCAGGTTGCAGCAAGGTAGTACACAATCTTCCTGTGCACAACTCCTCATTCTTTTGTATTTTTCTATTTTTTATTCCCAAAGTCTTTCTCAAGACAAAATTTCATGTATAATGTTCGCGTGGGGCTCCATCATTCGCAGATTACAGGAAAGGCAGTTATGTTGGAGGAAATCATTAACTACGTGCAATCCCTCCAACGTCAAATCGAAGTAAGACTCGAAATTGTTCATTACAAAGATATTGCATTGGTTAATCTCATTGATTCTTTGTGTTCTCCCAAGAACCACTTATTCACGACGGTTACTGTGTGCAGTTCCTGTCAATGAAGCTAGCAGCTGTTGATCCTCGCCTCGATATCAATCTTGAGCATCTACTCAACAAAGAGGTGCGTCAAAATCTGATTTGTGGAGTGGGTCAGAATGAATCATTTTTAGTTCATGGCAGATGCTTGCCTTCTTCTTAAAGCCACCGCTGCCAATTGAAAAATGATTGCCTGTCTGTGTGTTTTGCTCATTATGTCAGCTCCCACAAGCGAGATCACCTGAAACAACTTTGATGAGTCCCGACCTAGTAGCAGGCTACGGAGAGTATCAAACGCAGCTACAAATCCAACAGCAGATCAACAGCTGCAACATGGACTTGAGATCTGTGGGAACATTGTGCGATGCATACCTTCGACGGTCAATGAATATTGCTCCAATGCCCCATACATCTCTAGCGTACACCGAGAGTTTGGTGGACTCTCTAACCCAAGTAATTTTCCGCCTGATTTCCAAATTCCACTGTTTTGGTTCAAAACTAACATATATTAAGTGCACTTAGCTATGGTTGATTATGGATTTAGTGGTAAATCAGCTTTGTGTTGCATTGAGCCAAACTAGAAACTTCGAAGAACCTAAAATCTGAGGCTGTGTATGCATCATGTGCAGACGCTCAACGGAGTCTGTGATACAGGAGACCTCCAAGCCATCGTTCACATGAATAATTCTCAAGGCAGGCAAGAAGTTTTCGATCAAGAGCTTCATGGTTTTGTCCCAGGTTTTGCAGGACCAGGCTATCTGACTCCTGGGCACCTGAAAGTGGAGTACTCGTAAACATCGTTGAGGTCCTCCACTTCATCATGTACTATGCAAGATGGTGACGGACAAACTGTGAAGATGTAGATGAGAAGCATTGGATTTAGGTATCGCTTATTTTCATTCTGCATGGCTGCATTCCTTGCGGAGTTGTAACAGACTGCCAGATCCAAAAACCATACGCAAGATTAAAGAATCGAGAAACAGACGTTGCATTCCTTTCACAGAGGATATTCTTCATCGGAGAGACCCTTCGAAGAGTAATGATCGAACAATCGATCAATTTCCTGAAAAGACAGAACCATGAAGAGGTTCCTTCGCACTATACATGTGCGCCACAATGTGTAAAGGTGGTGAAGATGGAAAGGTACCAATTCAGTTTCCATGTGCAGTATTTTTATTATTATTTTTTTTTTATGACTACTAGTGAGTGCAGCTGTGCTACTCACTTCGAAGCCAATCTGTCTGAACAGTAAAAGACAACAACAGACAAGAATTGTGTTACAACTAACCCGCAACCAATACATTTGGAAATACACCTGGAATCGCCATGGAGTGTGCATCGATGGATGACTTTTCCAATGCTCCTGTAGGATTAGTAAAAGTGGTATTTGGTGCTGATTGAAATCTCTTACTGCTTGCAAAGTAGAAACAAGGTGACAAGGTAAATCAATTTATGATTCATCTTGTTGTAGAAGGACTATTTCTTTGAGGGTGGAATCAGATCGAGTCCGGGGGTTCAGGATCAGCGGTTGCGATTTCTGGTTCCTAGGGATTAGTTTCCTGCTTAACCCAGAACCGTCGTGACTGTTGAGCAGAGCATTTTGATAATGAAATTTATGCCAGCTTCTGCTGAGCTCATCAGTTCAGTTACTTTTGTGCTTCCTTTCTCACTGTCGGCAACGGTGTGAATTCAACATCGCTTTCATAGTTTCGAGTGAGGAAAGTGTCGGTATCCTGGTCCCACGACGCCAAGAGAAAGTTGTGATGTTGCTCAATGCTGTGAATGCTGCGCTCTTTGGTTAAACCCAATTCCACCCAGTTGTTGTGGAGAGAGCGTGATTCGATTTCGTAGCAGCCAAACATGTCGACATGCTTCTCCGAAGATTATCCAGGCCCAGGAGAGTACACGCCAAACATAGACTTCGTCCGCACTCGCGTCCCTGTTTGTTGTATACCAACCTCGAATTACGAACATGAGCCAGACATACAACCAGGGCCAGGACAATACAACATCAAGAAGGACACTCCTGGCCCCGCTTACACAATGGCTCAACGATACTACAGGAAATGTGGAAAGCAAACCCCAGGAACTCCACATCAATGCCGTCACAACGGACCACATTGCACCCTTCGCGAACCCGTCTCCGTGAGAACCAAGAAAAAAACTGGTCAAGGGATCATCCATATGCACCACAAGGAGAAGAGAATTTAGAAAGCTGGAAACCGATGACAACTCCGACTCAATGGCAATCTCCAACAACCAGCTAACCATCACATTCGAAAGCTTCAGCATTCCGATTGTGAGCACACTCTTGTCTCGATCATTCCTTCATATACTCTAGACTCTATATCTTCGTTCTGCTCTGTTGAGTAAAAGAATTCTGTCTCATATTTGTAGCCGTCCCGCCGCGTCAGCTTGCAGAACAGAATCCCATCACAACAATGGCCTCTCAAATCAACTGTCGCGATGCGTACACCTCACGCAGCGACAAAAAAAATAAAAAATAAAACCAAAACAAAACAAAGCGCAAACATGATTCATGCAACGCTACCATGGAACATTAAATTGTGATCACGAATCTAAGATGTGGTGACACAGGTCACGAGTGGCAAAGTCTTAAGCAAAAGTAGAAATCCAGCAAGTGGACCTCACATGGCAACATTGACAAAGTCGAATCTTGCTTCATAAATAAATTTGGCATTAAACAGAAATATAAAACTATCGTGATATGAAAAAATGTGCGGCTCCCCTGGCCATTTCGGTCGCGGTGAAGGCTTGTTCCGAAACCCTATTCATCCCTAACCCTACTCATCCCAAACCCTAATCCTCCCAAAATCCTAATCCTTACATACCCTAATCATCGATGGTAGGGTTCTTCGTAGGGTTTTTTTGAAAGGTGCTCCGTTTCCTACAATAAAATCATACTTAGGTTGATTTGCAATTCATTGTGTATTTAATCACAATTTTTTTAAGACTTTTGCGGATTGTATATCTTCCACAACATTCGATGGTAGCACCTTTTCTGATACCGTGTTGGGCTCTCAAGTTGTGGGTTTGTTAACAAAATGGGCACTTTTTTGTCAAGTTATACTTTTTTGAGTTGTGTACAATCATACTCTATTTTGAAGTGTGATATTGTGATCTTCATGAGATATTAAATTATTCTAAAAATGAAACAATGATTCAACTAAACATATGTCTGTGCAGTGCGTGCATGTAATGTGAATCTTTTTGGGAGGAACTTTAGGTTTACGAGAATTCTTTTAAAAAAAGAAGATTTTTCCCTAGCAAAAGATCTTTCTAACTACCTATTAACAAATCGTCTCTCGCTTGTAGCTAAATTTTTGAAAAAATAATCGTTTTTTCTGTACTTTTTCAAATTACAATAGTGAATTTCAATAGATTCTTTTTTTCTTGAATTCTGTGCTTTACAAGGTACGTACCATTAGATATTTTTAATGTTCTCAATGTTTTAAGGAGTTATGTAAAATTTTGATAGTTTAGTAACTAGTAAAATTAAAATCAAATTTATCATTCTTAAATTATCAAAACATTGTTTTTGTATTTTGTGTAAATTTTTTGTTCAACAACAATTTTGAGTTTGTATTATATATATATATATATGTATATATTTTATGCCATTATATATATATATATATATATATATATAGAAATAATACAAACTCGAAATTGTTGTTAAACAAAATATATATATATATATATACACACATATTGTGAAAGTAAAATAGAAACTTACCAATAATTACTATATTAAATGGAACTGTTAGAGGCAAAATCTTTATTTTCGATATGTTTTCTATTTATTTAAAAATGAAAAAATAAAATTTTCATAAAATTCCAAAAAATACTGTATATATATATATATATATATTGTTTTACTAACAAACTATTTAAAACATGATATATGCAATGCAGTTTCAAAACTAGTCATTAGTGCATCTTTCATGTTACAATTTCATTAATTATTGCAACATCTCGTACAACTTGTATTTCCCACTTGATTGCTATTGAAAAAACAATTACTTACACATTAAATATATATATGTATATATCGAGAGAGAGAGAGAGATTCTATTACTCATAACCACTTTCAGTGTCTAATAATTGCATTATTTGTAAATAATGAAGCAATATTAATCAACATGTACAAGTTCAAAGTCTTTGTGAGGACAACAATCCTTTTGATACATGTGTTGAAATAATAAAGGAATTACACAAGGACTTGAAACATTTCTTGTAAATACAACCAACTAATTACAAAAATATGCAAAAAACTACATATTTTATTTCATACATTGTTTTACGACTAGACAAGTACATAATCACAACTAAATAGCCATACCGACTTTGTAACTGTTTATAGTCATTTCAAAGCTTTTGAGAGTGTACAGGAAATTTCATACATGTAATAATTCTCTGAGCAAAAAATAAGAAAAATTCATAAGTACATTGGATTGATGTAAGAACAACAACAAGTACGTAGTTTGCAAAATGCGTTTACATTTTTTATTATATGTTTGGAATTGATTTTAAACTGTATTTAGGCCTTATCATTTCATTTGTAAATAACAAAACTTAATTTTAAAAAATCTTTTTTGTATAAATTCGCTTAAAGTAATCTTTTTATTTTATAATAACTTTACAAGTTGTGTGACAAGTAAGTTTCATGTTTATTGACACAAAGTACAAAAGATTCAAAAATTACCATAAAAATTAGCATACATTTCGTCAAATTGGAAAATGAAAATTTGAAAATTATCATGTACTTTCATTTCACTTTTACTTATTAGTATACTGCATTATTTGAAACACAGTAATATAATGTCTTAGTTTATGAATTTTATGGGCTGGTTATGAGCACCAAAATATATATGTGAGAAACTTGAAGAAAACTGTTAAGTTGATAAAAATACCAGATCCTATAAAATCTTGATAAATTTTCACAACACACGTGATATTTTGATAATAACTTTCAAATACCTCACTGTACGCTTCATTTGCACAATATTGGACATTTGAGTATTCATTTTAATTATATTACAAATTTAAATTGATATATGAAAGTTTAATAGTTATTTTTTTTTTGGACCAAATTTTTTCCTGAAAATAATAAAAATTATTTTTATTGAAGATATGTTGATATTATTGTTATTATTGAATAAGAGTTTTGATCTACTTATAGAAAATGGCATAAAAAATAAAAAAAAACTAAAGAAGTGGGAATATATATATATATATATATATATATATTAAGCATATTTCATGATTTGAGAAACACACATATTATTGGTTTTATAGTTTCTGAATAAAAATCTACCACCAGTTATATAGTATTTAGTGTTTGACAGAAATCAAAAGTTAAAAGAATTAGCATTTATTTCGTAATACTGTTGTCAAAAAAACTATTATGTATTTATTTATTTATTATTATTTTTATTCCTTTTCGAGTGACATATCAATTTAAAATAATTTCCAAGGAGAAAATCTTGAAAAGTCGTTTAAAAAGAACAATGTAAATGAAGAAACATTAAAATACAATAATCATGTAGATATACAATATCTAATGAGTATATTTACAATAATAAATGTATTATAATAATCACGTAGATATATAATATCTAATAAAATAAAATTTAATTTTTTATTATAATTTCTATCAAATGGAAAAATTTATTATATATTTATTTAAAGTTTTTCTGAGATAAAACGTTTAATTGAGCTACACGTTTGAACAGAGCCAAGCAACACTAAATGAAACAGCTCAGACGCATTTGGATGAACGTGGTAGTTGTCGAACGAAGACGTTCGTTGGAAGGGCGAGGGGCGTGGGGGATGTCGCTCGCTGGGGAAGTAGGATCCAGTCGCAACCAGCTCGCGCCGGACGGAGCTCAATGCTTCAGCCGCCGCAGCGGGGCGAGGAGGAATTCAACCGCAGATCAGCGACGCCGCTATGGCACGGTGCTACAACGTCCCATCTTGTTGTATTTTATCCTCGAGCCGGAAGCCAGATGTTGCAATTCGGCACCTGCACTAAGCAGAGAGTGTCCATACCAACGAGGAGGAAGTAGGAAGGAGGAGGAAGGAAAGGAGTCATGGGGAGGAAGCCACGAACGCGGCAGGCCTCGTCGTGTCCTCCGACAACGGAGCGGATTTATATCGATCTCTCTGACGATGCGGTGCCATTAAAGACTGACCTGACGCAGGGGATTCTCGTCAAGGCGGAAAAGCGCGGGCGGAAGAGGTTGCGTGCTAAGGCCGGGGCTGAAGTTGTCGCTCTGCAGTTGGAGGAGAATGGGCAAAGCGATGGGAGGGACGCCGAGGAGCAGGGAGGAGCTGCATCCGACGAGGTATTGAAGCCGGACGTTGAGCTTGGCAATGGCGAGCTCAATGAGGCTGGTCATTGTGAAGCTGAAGTGGAGCCCGAGGCTCCGGTGGTGAAGGCGACCGAGAAGAAGAAGAAGAAGAAGAAGAAGAAGAAGAAGAAGAAACAGCAGAAGAAAAAAAAGGGGAAAAAAGAGACGACACAAAATGAGGTACGTTGTGTGTGCCAATGTAGCTGGTAGCTGAGCTGAATCAACCTTTCTGGATTATAGCATTGCAAGAGACGCGTCCCGGAGGAACGTATTGAGAACCCTAATTCTGGATGCTTGGGAATGTCTCGAGAGTGTGAAGCTTGAAAGTTGATTGTTATGGGCTAATGTATGTAGCGCAATCATCGTTGTTTGGTTCATGCTGCAATTCTGCCGAAGCGACCGTCTACATTCGCCTGCACTTTTAATTAAGCTGGAATTTGCCTTGATTAGTATTTTGACCCTATGAAACTACAGAGACAATTTCTCATGATACTTGTACCCTTCCAAACATTCGGGTCTTAGCCCTAATTCTGTTGAATAGATTCCTGGGTTGTGGCAGTGTGCAAGCCGTTCATTTTAGCTTGTTGTTTCTCGTTGTAGTCTGGCGAATTACAAGTGTTCTCTGTGCATTCGAGTTTCGACTTTTGTTTTGTTTTGTTTTGTTTTGTTTTTTTGTTTTTTTTTTTTTTTGTTTACTCCACTCTTATTCTCCCTTCTGCCTAGATTCGCTGTCAGTTTTAACGGAGTAGTGGTATATTTCAGCTTGCTATGCAGGCAAATGCCAGTTCTAGTGCTGTGGACATGGAGGACTCCAAACCTGCACCAGATGAACCAGCAGAATCGAAACTTCTAGATGCTGCAGAGAGTCTTGCAATGCGCAAGCTGCTTGTAAGCTTACAACTCTGATGCAATTTTAGAGAATAAGATAAATTTATAAGTTGTTTAATTGGTAGGGAGTGGTTGGAGCAGTGCACATCTCACACATAATTTCCTGGTAGGGAATGCTTCGATTTACTTGGTTGGAGAAGCATGCACACGTCGTGATGTTTAGAGATTTATTTTTATTTTAATTTATTCGATGTGAATTAGGAATTTTTATCCTAAACTCCATTTTTTGTGATGCAGCGTTCTACTCGGTACTTTGATCCTCCAGAGGATCATGGGGAGACGTGCTACAACTGCGGGCAACAAGGTCATTGGGCAGCTGAGTGTACAAAGCAGGCACGGGAGAAGCCTTGCTATGTGTGCGGCAACTTCGGTCATTTTAGTTACGATTGCCCAGAGGCATGTCTCGCTCAACAGATGTTAATGTTATCTTCTAAATCAAGCAACAACCTAGCTTTTATTAAGTTTCGAATCAGATGCAGTACAGCTCTTTCCTGTTGTAGTAGAGGCTTGAAATTTACATTATCTGAGACGGTTTGATGATAAATTCCGTGCGAAATATTTTCTGGTGCAGAAAACAGAGTGCTATGAATGTGGAAGCACTGGTCATGTGGCCAGAAGTTGTCCAAACAAACAATACCTGGCTTCCAACGGCACTGGGGTTTGTCTTCTTTGTGGCAGATTAGGTCATGACAAAAGTGCTTGTTCTGGAGAATGTGACCTTCAAGATTTTGAGGTGATTTCATTCGCTTCTGAACCAACTTTTTCCAGATTCATCTAGTTGCTTGAGCTTGTTCTGTATGACCATGTAGCAGTGTTGACATTATGTTCAGTTTAATTGATGGTGGTGCATGTTTCCGCACAAGTTTACGATCGTGTAAATGGTGGTAATAATTTTACAGCAAGTGCGATGCTACATCTGCAAGCGAACAGGACATATGTGCTGTATCGACGTCTCTGACGCATCTCCAACTCCTGTTTCTTGCTACCGATGTGGTGATCTTGGGCACAGTGGAGTGGTAAGTATTTCGCAAGATTCCTACGAAAGTCATGTGTGGTGGCATCTGGTATTAGTACTGAGAACAGAATGCTCTTGGATGTGCCAGGCGTGCAATAGACTGAGCATGGACAATCGAGATCAAACTGCGTGCTATAGATGCGGGAATGAAGGTCACTTTGCCCGAGAATGCCAACGCTCAAGGCGAGACTGCTATATCAAGAAGGTAGGAATGTATGGAGCTAAATAGTTAAAGAACTTATAATACTTTGTCCAAAACTTTGGTGCTAACTGGATTTGCTCTGTCGTGTACTTGCAGCGGCGTCATTCATGGCCAGCTCCTTGGTCTGCGGATAATGGAACCAATGGTGAGCAGCATCCCGTCACTCCAGAATGCAATGTTGAGTGTGCTTCTTTTAAAAGCCGCCTGGAGCAAGAGTCTTCTGGTAAGAAGAAACAACATAGTGAGAGTAAAAAGAAACACCACGATGAGAGTAAAAAGAAACATCACGTTGAGACTAAAAAGAAACATCCCGATGAGAGTAGAAAGGGACCAAAGCGGAAACGGAAAGAATCTGAGGATTGATGGATACCTAGGTCTTCAGAACGACGGTCAGCGGAAGCGATTACGGAATCGATCGAGGGAAGGAATTGTGGCAATCCTTTGAAGCTCAGGTGCAGTATAACTTTCTTGCACTAGAGACACATGCTTAGCCAAACCTTTGTACCATAGCATTTTTGGTTTCACGGTGGAGATTCTTGCAGCGGTGCAAGCTTGCAAGTCTATCAACTTTGCAACCACACAGCCGGTACAGCAAGCCATGAAAGATTCTTTAGAATGATCAGAACGTCAAGTTTACGAAGATGACAAAATCTGGCGCAACATATTTTGTTGTTGATAAACTCAACATTGTATGAATTGCCACACTGGCTGTAATCGGATTGTTTTACAGTTCGAAGATTTAGAACTCAAGGTGCACAAGATGCCGGACCCTGATTTATTCTTTGGGATGACTTTCCTACTCAAAATTGTCACGTTTCCTTCTGCAGTCCATGGACATCAAGGGTGCTAACGATCGCCAATTTAGTCTCCTTTTCACACATCTACACTTGCGTCTTGTTTCAATCAAGTTGTCAAAAGCAGAAAGTTCAAATTGTCCTAGTTTGCAGGGCACGAATGGTGTAACTGAATCCGAGTAATGGATTGCACCAACCATGTTAGGCACGAAATAGCCGTGTCTCCGCTCGAACTAGAACCGTAGTGGTGGCGACAGTGCCGCTTGTGTTGGACCGAACGAGGACAACGGACATAAACGAAGCGACGACAGTTTGTATGCAATGCATGGAAACTGCAGGAGTTTAGCAAGCAGACAGAACGATCTAAGCTAAAGGCCCCTAAGCTACGTATGAAATCAGAGAAAGGTCACTCACCACAAACTGTGGGGATGGTCAGCATGATGCACGCTCCACCAGTTGGAATCCTAAATCCTTAAAACCCCAAAAATCCCTTCAATCCAGCCTGCAGCAGAGCATGATTTGGCGACGACGGAGGGGTCATCGCGAGGTTGTGGACGACGTCCCGCGGATTGTGACGTCCCGAAGGACGTTGTTCGGGATGTCAATAGAGATCATATCGTCGGCTCTGGCGGTCATGAACAATAGGCTTCATGACCGCCAGAGCCGACGACCAGAAAGGTTTCGAACCATATTTGTGGTGTGATGGGGATGAAGGCCATACTTCCGACGGACAGAAGCTCTGGCTCCTCAGCCTTCTCTGCTTGGGCTCCCGTGCCAGAACAAATGTGCTTCGTTTCTCAGGCTTCAAGTCATTGATGAAGCGCACATGTGCAGTAGTAGTGGCGATAGGTGTGCAATGCTTTTGATAGAGCTCTGGACTGAAGTAGTGGTGTAGCAATTCTTCTTTTGCGGCGTTCTGAGCGCGCTTCAGCTTGTTCTGAGCTATCACGAGGTGCCATGTAGGTGTGAGGCAGGAGATTGTGTTTGTGAGATTTTTGTGAGTGTAGTGGGAAGCAGGAGAAATTTGACGAAAGTAATGAAGCGGTGCAGTGTCTGAAATTGTGGAGAGGATTTTCGGTTCCACTGATGCGAGAATTGCAGGAGTCTTAGGGGAGTGGATGAAGATAGTGGTGAGAAGAGGTGGATTGGAAGGCGATGGTATTTTTCTTGTGATTAATGCTGCTCATACGACAGCTCCTTGCGGGCGATCGGGGTTTGGAGTCGCGGTAGTCGTCACCAGTTACGATGAGGTTGGCTCGCTAAAGTATTTTACGTTGTTTACACTCCAGATTTCGGGGGAGTTTCAGGCTGTTCCGAAATAAAAACCTGTGGCGGTCGTTAGGATTTTTCTCTTCTGTTGAGCGCGTCATCGTGACAATGAAGACCTTAGCGCCTTTCTTTGCTGTGAATAGGTTTTGAGAATCTTGTTGTGTAGTGAGCGAGGATCTCGTGTCACGAATGTGGTGTGCTGTTGTGCGCCACTGAACGATGCAGTACGAATTCTTGCGTCGCGAGGTTGTGTAGTACGAACTGTAAGAGATTTCCGACGAGCGCGCCACTCAATGTCTATTTCACACTGTCTTTATTTGTGAAGTCTTGCTTTTGGAACGTGCTGCTGCACAGGATGCAGACTTCGAAGTCGGATTTGTTGTAGATCCTTCAGGAGTCTGTGTTTGGATAGATCTGTTCTTAATCTTCGCTTGATTGAAAGTGTGGACGGTCCTGAAATCTTGGAGTTACGTCGAATCCTCACAGATATTCTTTTACAACTTGCTGGAATTACAAAATCTTGTTGGAGGCGCTTGGCGCAACGGACGTTTTGTCTCTTACCTGAGTGTTTTTATTGTTGAGAGAAATGTCTATGAGTTCTTTCCGATCGTATGTGTGGTTCCACTTCGTACAGAATGGTTTACCATTCTATGGAAACCGTTACTGAAATGTCTTTAGAACGTACTTTTAGTTTTAGTCATAAGGCTCAGTACCTTCTACCTCGAAATTGGAAACGCTAGATGTTGCTCCTGATTTCCAATCCAGTGCGTCGTACTGAAAACTTTTTTCCTGATACGCAGACAACAGCAGGTTGCTAGCACTGAGGGTGCGCCTTTTAGTGTTGCAAGAAAGGCCAGCAGTAGAAACGGTCGAAGAGAAGAATCTGCTGATGACGAGAAACTAGGAGATTGCTTGAAGCTAGGGAATAGACGGGTTTTGGTTAAGATGCCAGGTAATAAGCTGAAAGTGACAACTGCTTCTCAACAAGCCAAGCATAGCAATGATCGTGCTTACAAAGCCCCTGAGGTTACTCAAGTTTGTGTTGAACAGAGCCAAAAAGAAGAGGTAGTAGAACAGGCCCAGAAACGATCTATTTCCGATGGAGTGAGTCTTCCGCAGTGGGGTCAGAGGAAACGGTTGCGGTTTAACAATAGAGTAGATGTCAAACCTGCCGTAGAGGCTACGACAGCCGATAAGAGAGCTGAAGCGAAGGTTGACACGAAGGTGGACATCAAGGCTATTTCGAGAGTAGTTAGAGGAGCGGTTAAAGCAGAGAAGAGTGCAGGAGTTCTTGTGGCGAGAATTAAAGGACCAGTTGCTTCTAAATCTTCAGCACCTAAACTAGCCACTGGGAACACCAAAAGGTAGGTGTTGTAAAGAATTGTGAAGCGCGTTTCATCAAAATCAATGGGTGCATTCTTTCGCAAATTAGCAGCTAAACTATGATCGAGTTGAGTTGCTTCGGAGATTGTGCAACTTTTTTTTCTTTGACTGAAACTCTTTCCTTTTGTATTACAGAGATGCTGAGGGGACTGGAGCCACATGTGCTGCACGGAATTCTAACAACCATGTTCCGATCAGTCTTGAGTGCGAAGCCAATACTGTTCGAACTACGGAGTTGCACTCGGATCAACCACTAGTAAATCCTGAGACGGCCTCTATTGCCCCTGCCGAATCTCCTGCAACTCAATCTGCTGTCAGTGCGAGAACAGACGATAATGTGCACCAAGATAAGACAACTGCACCTGGAAAAGTAGACATGGATTTGTTCCAATGGCCAAAGTTTTTAGTATCCTTGTCACGAAAAGAAAAGGAGGATGACTTTTTTGCTGTTAAGGGTTCTAAGCTCCCAGTTCGACCTAAAAAGAGGTCGAAGTTTCTGGAGAAGACCGTAACCGTAAGTGGTCTTTTGCCTTGACTTCTTCTTAATGAATAAGTGTTGAAGCTTACTCTTCAGCTTCATTGTATACTCTGTCAAACCTGAAATACACGTCTGTTTTTCATTTAAAATTGTCTGTATGACTAACTTCTGACAATTTTCTTGCACGATTCAGTCCATCAGTCCTGGAGCATGGCTTTGTGATATTACGAGGGAGCGCTATGAAGTAAAAGAAAAGAAGGCCATCAAGAAGGTGGGTTATCAATTCAGTTTCGTTTGTGGTTAGTTAGTTTTGGAATATGCTGTGCAACGTCAACTAGGTCTGGGCTTGAGCATGTTTACTGTAACGAAGAATTCTAACGATTTTCTTGGTTCACATGCAGAAGCCGAGGGGTCTTAGGGCTATGGGTAGTGCAGACAGTGATACAGATTAGCTTCAAGAGCCGTTAGTTGTGGCTGCCTTTCTTACTTTCACTTTGAAAAGTGAAAGTAAAGGTATAGATTGCTTATTGATTCTTTCGAGGACATGCTATTTGTCTAAATATGGAAAGCCAGTCCTTATGACATTAGACTAGGTTGTGACTGCCCATGATCTTTAATCTTATGAAGACCAAACCTAAAGCTGACATGAATTGACACTCTCGATTATATCTTAATTCGATGCTGTTATAGATGTAGTTTTTACTCAAAGGCAATGTACAGTTTAGATTTGTTGAGAAATGTCAATATTGAAAACTGATGTTACCCTGCATACTTCAATATAATTTGTAGTTAGGTTCCATAGCCTTATCGCCGTACAATATCTGCATATAGCCTATAATTCAATAGTAACTTGTTTGTCACTTTTGGAACCCCTGAAGGTGAGTATGTTGCATTGGTATTTTTCGTGTCTCAATTTTTCATTTCATTTGACCTCGATATACTTGTCCGCATACCTCATCTGTTTCATAACGTAAATCGGGGTCATGGTTCTTACCTTCAGGAGCAGTGAAGAGTTGGCAAGGACATCTGTTTTTAGCGACCATATTTGAGATAAACTGAGTTGTGTTGATGTAGATATTTTGTGCATATTAGAACATTTCTTATCACGTGAGTCCTTGCATTACTCTTGCGTTCCTGAATGTGTCTCTGGAAACGGCATTATTACTGACGGGTTAATGTTCACTGCTGACCTTGCGTAAGTCATGATCATACGTTTATTTAGTTGAAATTAACCTGCGATTCATACATGTAAGAACCAGAATGTGAATACGATGTCGTTCGTGTCACAATCTCAAGTTAGGCACGCGTGCTCAGTCACGGTACCTAATAGTCTACTTTAGCTCATCTGTGAATGCGAATAGTTGCATGTGCAGTGATGTTTGTATTCCTTACTGATGCTCCTCAGTGAACAATTTTTCTCCCCTATAGTAGGTCATCGAAGTTCTCAATGTCCCTCTAACTTGGTTAGAAGTAACAAATTGTTCGAATTTACTAGGAGGGGATACAGTAAAGGGCCTATATTCATACATGTTAATTTGAAGGTTGCTATAATCCCTGCTTAGAGAGTTTATCTTAATTTGCTGAGTTTAGGGGATTAATTCTTTGAAAGTAATTGGTAATCTCACATTACTCACATTAACAAATAATCAAATTATTATTAACCACAAGTTGAAATTAAGAGACTTGACATGGAATTTTCCTCATGTTGATGCTCTTTTCCATTAAAAGAGAATAAAAATTGGGTTGTATTTATTATTAACCATGTAAATCCTTAAAACAAACATTGCAGACTCACTATTATCTTTTCATGCTTCTGAACTTAAAAGCAGGACACTAACATTTGTTATTTGTGAAGGTTGATATTAATATTACTATTATTATTCCTGAACTTTCACAAATTTGCAACAAACACCCACCAAAATTTGAAGAAAAAGATTGTGCATGAAAATCTCAAGCATGACGCCCAAAGTTCACTCATCCAATGAAGCGGAGCACACCCACCCCTAGAGCAGCTTAAGAAAGGGGGGGGGGGGGCAGAGCATGAGAAATCCCATTACTATTCTCATTCTGAAAATACTCAACACTAATAGTAAAATATTAGAATTACTGTTAATAATAGGCACAGTCTCGGCACCAGTGGGGGCCGTGGAACCCAGCTCCGCCCACTGTCCGCCCGCAGTGGCGACGGAGGAAGGGATCCCACTGTGAGCCCGCAATCCCACTTGGATTTCGGCACACTTTTGTGGAAGCAAGCGTCACCCTGCGTTGCTTCTTCTCGGTCGAAGCTCTTCTGCATGACTCCAGCACCCATTATAACCAGCAGATGCGCCGAGTCTACCAGACCTGGACATTAGGACGCGGCGCTCGTTGATCCAACTGCAACAACGCCGTGTGTGTGTGCGTGTGATTTGGACAGGATTCTGAACTCCATGAGTTTGAGTTGCATGAGAGTTTAGTCGTGTCGAGGATTGGTGATTGTGCGTGGAGCTGAGCCGCCGCGAAAGGATGCTGTAGGGGTCTTTGATTGGGTTGGGGTGAGTTTCGAGTGGTGGGCACCATGGCGCCGTTTGAAATGAAGGCACTGGGTACTATTCTCCCGTTTGCCATTGGTTTTCTGATTGGCGTGTTGTGCATTTGTCGACACAAGATATTTCTTTGGAGTTTGAGAGGGAAGAATGAGCCTGAGCAGCCGGCAGCGGCGGCTGCTGCTGCTACAGCTGGAGGTCCCGCATTGCAGCCAGGCGCTCCAGCACATTTGAAGAACGTTAGCATTGACATCGACAAGTATGAGGCCCCTCCGACTGTGAGGCGGGCAATCGGGGCGCGGAGTCGGAATCCGAAGCCATTCTGGTGACTAACCCAGCTCGGAAGGGTCGCAAATCTTCCTCTGGATGATCTATCAAGGTTCCATCATTTATTTATTTCTCTTAATCTGTTTAATCATCGCAGACGAAGTCATTAAAAACCATGTTTCAGCGTCCGCGTCTGGTCCGGACCAGTGCGAAGAAGACCAGCTGTGGGTAGTAGTTGCAAACCTTCTTCCATTGTCTTTCAGATCATCCCCTCTTTCACTTCAAGTCGGGGTGGTCGACACTTACGGTTCAGATCCGACATCTCCATCGATCAAGCTGATTTGCTCTCAGTCGTCTGTTTCCAGCCTAGCTTCTGGCTTTGAAGGACGACGGTTTCGCTGAACTGGATGAATTCACAGGTTGTGCTTTCCTGTAGGAGAGGACCTTTCTGGAGAAACGGAATCTCTCAGTATGGTGCATTGGGAAGCATTACCAGATTAGAGTAGGTTCTCCGAAATACAAAAACCAATTCTCACCAGCACAGCAATGGGTACAGTATTTGTAATTTGGAAGCGGTTATTTACTTAATTGAGTTTTTTTCTGTAGCTGTGTGCATATCTTTCTGATCTTTTTGAAGGACCTGTTGTAAACTGCTCCAACACGAAGTTTTAGGGGAAGTATCTCAATGCAGCCCCATGGAACCTTTGGCAAACCAATGGAACCCCATTTCTTGTATATGGGATGCTACTGTTATCTACTTGGATTGCTGTGTCACTTGAGATGTGTGCATTCAAACAACACACAACCTCATTCCATTGCGAGTTCTCGATAACATAGGGCATCGCTAGAAGATATTTCTTCTAGAACTTCAAGCTGTAGAGGAAATAGCCGGTCTAGATTTCAGGGATGGAGACAAACAGAAAGGCTGCGATTGTTGCTTCAATTTCGCACTTCATCTTGTCTTGTTTCTGTGTCTATTGTTGTCGTTAGCTATTCACTTTGTATGAATGGCGAGTCACGGAATCTAATGAGCGAATAATCTGGTAACAGCACACGTTTGTCCGTCAAGCCTCAATAAGAAAATCGCAACCAAATTTCGGCTCCTTCGACCTTTTTCCAAGAAAATGACAACAACGTAAAAGGATATGGAATAATAACATGTCAAGTTGTAAAACACTTGTCTACTTCATCGCGAAAGGATGTCATGCAAATGACGTCTGCACGATAACAGTAATGACTCATGTGGCTAATTGTGTCCGAAACCATTCGAGAAGTCAATTTGCTCAAGATAACAAGCAGAAAATTCACAGCTGGGGCTCCTTTTTCATCGAAAGTTGAAGATGAAAGATGCAATATCCAAGTTGTGGAACAATGTGGAAACTACCTTCTTTACTAACGTTTCAAGGAAAGTTTTGAACTACCTGCCGAACATACTTTAATTACATAAATAATTAATTTTTTCATTCTTGTTTCATTCTTGATGCAACCTACGATGATACCATCACCAAATTTAAGTAAATTAATACATCACCAATCTTATATGTATTATAATTGGAAAAAATTATTGTATAAATAACACTCTAATTTTATTGTTGGTTAGTTAACAATTTGCATGATTTTTTTCTTAATTACCAAGAAATTATTTAATATTATATAGAGGATTATATCTTTTAAATAATTTTTTGAATATAAATATGGCATTTTATAATTTTATTGTGTTTAGGAATATTTTTAATATATTATTTATTATCTATGGTAATTTCATAATATTTTATTGTCAATTCATGGTCATACTTGATAGAAGAATAAATATTACTAAGAAGTCAAATCTTATTTGTAGTATTTTCATTACTTAGTTTAGACATATTTTTATGTACACATATCTATTCTATTTGCTTACAAGTATGCCAAAAGTACCAAGAAAAAAATTTTATTTTTATTATTTTTTATTATTTTATTTTATATGAATTATTTTAATATATATATATACATATACATATACATATACATACATACATATATACATACATGTATATACATACATGCATACATACATACATATACATACATATATATACATACAAATATATTTTTGTGTGTATATTAAATTTATAAATAATCTATATAAATTGTATACTAAATGTTAAATCCATGAATAATATTTTCAAACATATTATACAATAAATTTAGTTTATAATAAAATTGTAGATTTTCTCAAGTGACTTATAATTGCAATATGATAAACCATTTTTTTTTTTAAAATAAAATGTTATATAAATATGTTTTTAAGTTTTTTTTTCTTATTTAAACATATTTTTAATAAATATGACATAATAAAATTTTTATAATGCAATATTTTGTAATAAATAACCTCACATTAGAATCTCCATCTTTTAATAAACACAAATTTTTTCTCATTGTTTTATTATAGAAGTTTTTATAGTCACAAATGACATTGGGATTTGAAATTTTTTTGATGACAATTTTTGAGGCTTATATTGTTCTTTTATTGAGAAGTGGTTTGCAATTTTGTATGATTTTTATTAATGATAATTTTACAAGGAGATAAAAATAATTAATATAATTAAAATTACTTTATTAGAATTAAATTTGTATAGAATTTACTTAGAGATAATTTTAAAGTTAAAAAAATAGTTCAAATCAAGTATCCTACATAAATCCAAAAACATAATTAAAACAAAAGTAGATTCATAGAAAGATAAAACAAAATTAAAATTATAATCTACTTCATTTTTTCTTATAGTTTTTTATTTGGTGTTTATGATTTTATTTAAAGTTTAATTTTTATGGCTTCTTTATTGGTTTCTATTGGGATGTTCAAGAGGTTTTCCTCATTCATATTATTTTATCTATTATTATTATTATTATTATTATTATTATTATTAAGATAATATAACGTATTTAAAAAATAGATATTTTTTTTTAATTTTCGAATTTTTTAATTCTCTTTTATTTTATAGAAATGTTGAAATATAAAAATATATATGGATAAATTTTACACATATTAGGAAAAAAATGTAATAAAATTTCTTGAAGCAGCAAACATCAATGCTAGACATGATTTAACATAGAACGTGTTGCATAGAAGTAAAGGCATTTCTTTACGCTTATTAATTTCATCCAATTCTTATTTGAAGAAGAAGTGATTAATACAACACAATTCTAAAAAGAAATCTAATAAAGATGACAAGGAACTTTTTGAAATGAGGCCCAATTCGACAATCAAATAAAGTTGTAATATGCTCCAAAATAACTCCATAACCCATCAAAATTTAAAAAGTAAATCTGATTGTGTATCACTTTGGCTAGTTGCTCTTCCATCCACCTTAGTATCTAAGCTGTTTCGTTCGGTAATTTACCACACATAATCAGGTGTTCATCTATTTTGTGTCAGAAAAAAAAAAAAAAAAAAAAAAAAAAGACAAAAAGAAAAAACTGCTTCAATTGTTATGCAGTACTTTTGTGCTCAACAGCACAGGCATCCTCTAGGAATGATACAATTGAGAAATAGCAGATCTACATGTGGATTATGAAGAGCAATTGCTCTATGCAATAGTCATAGAGATACTTTTGAGTAGCTTCAAATTCTTGCAATTTACTCTTCCAAAAGTTCAGAGGAAAGGCTCGTCCATTCTTCGTAACAGTATGTTGAGGATTTTGAGTAATAATTCCATTTTTCTGATGACTGAAACATATTTTTTGTATTTGTAGGTAACCATCTCTTATCCCAGGTAGATGACCGGAGCTATTAACTTGATCCTGGTTTCAGGATTTGCCGCCTGTGGTTTTCGACCACTACCACAAATACCTCAGCAAACAGATTATTACATAGGACGGCCCCAACTGTCCAGAATGGTTAGAATTGCAAGCGAAGCTGTTTGATGAAAAGTCTTGACTTGTTTGGAGGTGTGTTGAGTTCGCAGCAGTTCACAATTCTGAGGTGAAGGATCGAGTAGAATGGTTTCTCTAGGATTTCCTGGTCCCGAGTTAAGGTGTTTGATATCAATTCAATAACAAAGAAATAGTGGATGTGCTAAGAGTGCAGTGTTTCACTTAGATTATATAAAATAGTCGTGTGGGTATTATTGATCAGATTCAAGAGTTAGAGCATCGTGAAAGAGCATGACCAGTATCAATTTTTGCGAGCTGCAACATAAGAGGAGGTGTCGATGGTGGCTTCAAAGCAGAGTGAGATCATTCCCGCTTCTCAGGAGCTGGTCACGACTTCAAAGCAGCATCATCTTTATGCTGCACCACAGGCCATGAGAGGTTGCGTCAAGCCTGTGGCTCATCGATAGTCTGAAATGAGAAACAATCCTTGGATCAATTTTTACTCTCGCCAGAAGCGTTATGCGATCCTTTTAATTTCCCTGAAATCAAGATACTGCCCTCACCACTAAGTGTGCAAGGCCAACCAACAAAAACCATCAATGCCTCAGTAAAAATACTTCAGAATGCTCGACGTACTGCTGGTGATTACCTTTAGCAACTATCAACAGTGATATAAAGCCACCGATGGCCAATACCTATCAATACAAAACACAACACTCTCCAAATTCCAGGAGTGTGCCGTTCAGAAATAGAATATTGAATAAACCTATCACCTAAGCTTGAATAGTTCGAACATTGAATTGCAAGAAAGGTGCTGTGCTATGTATCATAATTGAACTGGAAACCTTGATATCACCAAGGCCCAAAAAGAAATCGAACTCCACAGGCCTTCACTTTTCTATCTTTTCCAATACCACGGGCATGCCAAATTCTGGCATCATGGTCAGTGTAACATCAGGGCTATGGCGGTAACTTGTACTGAGCTTCCAACTAAACAAGGGTAACATGACTGCTAACACAGCCTTGGCCTCAGAAAGAGCTAGAGTTTGGCCGATGCACGTTCTAGGGCCAGCTCCAAAAGGTAAAAATGCCAACGGGTTTCCACAAGCCCCACTTATGCCATTCCCAAACCTTGCTGGAGCAAATTCATCAGCGTTATCTCCCCATATAGTCCTATCCCTGTGTAACACTGCAACTGGTATAACTATCTCCAAACCCTCTGGTATTAGAAGATCCGGTCCGACTTTGTTATCTTTTATACACATCCTACCTATGAGAGGAACTGGAGGGAACAGCCTCAAGGACTCCAGCAATATCATGCCAAGCAATTTCAGATGACTCAATACTTGCGGTTCTACAACACCACCGGGACAAAACTCCTCAACTTCAGCTCTCGCACGCTTCTGCCAAAGTGGGTGCTTCGCCAGCAGGTAGATGGTCCATGTGAGCAAGCTGGCTGTGGTTTCATGACCTGCGAGAAGGACTGTAAGAGCGTTGTCAAGGAGTTGCTTCTCAGTAAGCCTCGTCATCTCAGCTGCTCTTTTTCTTTTCTCACTTATGGTCTGATCTGGAGCTTCGTTAAGCGCCTTCTTGGCGCCTTCTTCCGAATGTCCAATGTTGTCAACAGCGCCTATTATCACGTCCAGCAAGTCATGCCTATCAGAGACCGTTTCAGCAGCTCCTGAATGATGAGAGTTTCTTCTGGCACTGATGATGCGCCCCATGTAAGTCCTAAGCCATTTTGCTTCAGCCGCAATGCCCCTAGAGACAAGGTGTTTCCTCTGAACATAGCGTCTGCTTGAAACCACCGCCAATTAACTTTACGATAAAGTCGGAATAAGCAAGCAAAGTCGGAATTGATGTTCTCATTAGATCCTCAGAGCGAAACGTCTGAAAAAATTGTAAAGAAATCGATAACAGTGCTAATTAAAAGTTGTACACGTAAATTACTAGATTGGAGAAGGAAAGGCAAACTTACAAAGATGTTGGAAAAGTAGCAGGAGGGCCGAAAACAAGCTCTCGGCAATACAGGAGGTATCGGTTAAAGCTTCCAATGACCGAGGCGGCCTCCGAAGCCCCACCGATTTCTTCTGTCCCAAAGGCAGTTTTTCCAATTACATCCAAGGTCAACTCAGCGAACTTTTGGTACATATCTAGCTCACTATACCCATCATTAAGCTCTCTTGACCACTTTTCGACAGCAGAATGGGCACAGTCGATCATTGTCGGTATTTTGCTCTGCCATACACAAAAAGACCTCATCAGGCTTGTGAAGATGACACACTGGGAAAAAAAATAAGGTTTCACCTGGAGCATGCTCAAATGTTGCCAGTCGTGAAATTGCACAAAGGGGAGGAAGATCTCAGATTGCAGCTATTTGTACACAGGAGAATTCACACAGAACACTGTTACCTTCACTTCCTTAGTATGGAAAGCTCCAGTAAATAGCGACCGTTGTGGAGACCAAGTGCTACCGCTGGAGGCAAAGATCCCGTCTCCAAGAACCCCCAGCTTTCTGATATGGAGGGGCTTACTGTAGGATTCTGAATTTGCGATCAAAATGTCCTTGATCAATGGAGGATCGGCGATGCTCAATCTAACTGTTCTACCTACGGTGAAGTAGAAGGTTGAACCATGATTTCTGTAGCAGTTGGTCACTGCGGTCAACCTATCTTCGTCTTCAACTTCGTCGTTATCCTGCTTCTGAACACGTCTATTTCTTCCGCTAAGCACCTTAGAGGACAAAATATCAAAAACTAAAGCATCAGTTCCTTTAATAAACAACTCTCTCTGTAAAATCGCGTACAATTATAGAATTTATGTGCTCCGTCTAATTAGAGAAAGAAAGTACATGGAACACGAAAACTGAAGCAGCGAGTATTAATATGTATATACACCTCATCGATTGCTGGCATCTGACCAACGAAAGGCACGAAGGGGAAGCCCTTGATTCCCTGCCTCTTGCACAATTCAATTAGCATCAGAGGGTTCCATAACCACTCCTTCACAATGAAACCGAGCCCTAGCGTTAGTGCCCCTCCTAATATCCAAGTAAGGATCGTGATGATGGTCATTGTGTGCAACAGCGCCGGCGCCAGTGCCAACTTATTTGCAGCATATAAAATTGCTACCGCCAACGGCATTCACATCTTACTGGTCCTGGCCATGTGCAATTTGACATGCCAAGCTCCGATTGTGAAAACGTTAAGTCTAACTTATCGTCTGCTCCTATCAAAAAATTAGTATCAACTACCGACCACAAAATTCTGACCAAAATTTCAAACCCTGATCGATCACACAACTCGGAGTGTTAACATTCCCTGCACCCACAGAAAGTTGCGGCCAAAATTCCACAAAAACATCAAACCAGCTCTCCAGACAGATCCTCCGCAACCACCGACCTGGTTTGCCCTCAATCACTCCAATTTTCTCTCCCAATCCATGATCAGCATCAGACTCTGCTCAAAATAAGCTCAAATTTTACACCATCCCCTCTAGGGCCAACAAATTTGCGCCAAAAGATCAATCATCAACCTCCGACGTCCCCGAGATAAATCTCAGGACTGATTAGAACGTGCAAGATGCGCCACGCGGCGAAGTCAAAAACCCACAGTTCCACCTGGCGGTATTTCAGCCATCCGCAGCTCCTTTCCCCCCAAAAAAACCTCGTCACACTAACACCCACAGGTGATGTAGTGGGTAAGGTATTGTGCACACCATCTGTGCTCAGTTCCTTACCTCGTTGATCGCATGCTCAGTGGCTAGTAAATAAATCCATACGGATTAGGAAGGATTAAGTTGCGGAGAAGAACGAGTCAAAGGGAAAGGAGTCTAATGCGCTCAACAGTGATGGTTCTCCGAAAGTGGCTTCGACAGCCTGCTTCGACGAAATGCTCGATGGCTCCTACTTGTGGGACTGTAGTGTGTGCAATGGCTTAGGGTTTGGGTAGACGTTGGTTTTATGAATTTGGCTGTGTACAAGTGTGAGAGAATGCTTTGGTAGAGCTATATGGCATTTTAGTGATTGAAATCTAAGAAAACGCCTGCCGCAAATGATCCACTGGGGTTGAGCCGACGTGGCGTTTGAATTGACAAGGTAGAATGAATCTCAAGAGTTGAATGGAGGTTTGAATCTCGAGAGGTGCCGACACGCAAGATTCCAATTATCCCCGCTAGTATTGGGACTATGTATGTTTCTGTACTGCCCCAACCACGCCAACATGCCGGAGAGAACTGTAGATGTCAGTCTTCCGAGGTGCAGTGAACTCATCACCCTCCAACATCATTGACTACTTCTTGTAGAACTGTTAGTGGAGGGTGATGGAGGACTTATTGCTCATAGGAGCTTGTGGAAGCGTATCCAGTGGTACTGAGTTGATTTCAGGGAAGCAAGGCACAGGTTAGGGTTATCAAAGTGGGTTTACGGAATTGCCGCGATCGATAGAGTTGCTTTGTAGCCTTGGGAGAGGTGGTTGTCCACGCACGACGACTATTTGCTGTGGCTGGTTGCCACTTTTTCATTAACACCAAATGCGTGTTCGGTAATTTGGTGTTGTGAGACTTAAGTTGGTTCATGTATTCTTCTCATGCCTTTCTCCGGCTTATCTATGTCATCAATATCAGTTTATTTAGTTGCGAAGCATGTGGTATTCTCTGCTCAGGTCTAACGTACAGGACATGCTACTTGTTAGCTTTCAAAATATTTTACACAATGTCGTTACACTAGTGTATTCGACAACCTGATGATTCTACCAGTTGGGCGACTACCTTCAGTATGTCTGTTAGAGGGCTTGTATCAATTGCTACTACAAGCAACAGTGAGATTCGTGACAGTTCTAAATGTCAAAGCTCAAACCTAACACTTAACAGGGCACATAATTAGAAGTTCAATCAATAGTTGCCGTGTATTTTCTTACGCGGTGGTTTATACAGCAATTTGCAGCTGGAATCATTCTGATAGAGATCTTTGCGGTGCTCAGGCAGTCATGGCCTCGTTGACGAAAGGAAAGAATATGTTAGATTCTTTGATTGCGGGGGAGACTACCTTGAAGGATTTCTTTGGTGGCAAATATTCTGAGAAGACACAGGGACTGGACCGTTCACCCTCGGGCACTCGAAAATGGATAAAGGAATTGTCTTCACTTGCTAACGTTGTGGTTGGGCATTGCGCAAGGTAAGAGATGAACCTCTATTTTTTGGGTTTCAAAACGTGTTAATGAGTGCCCTCACATTTTGTAATTCATGGTTCTCTCCATTTTCTAGTGCAATACGCTTCTCTTCATCCTTTTTCGGCTTAACACGAAAAGGATGGAAACATGACGGTCCTGTTTTCTCCGAATTGTTTGTGTTTCATTAGCTCTATGTAATGTGCAAGTGCATTGTCTTTTCCAGGATATTGCAGCTGCACCCAGAGGAACTGCAGAGGCATTTTGAAGAGGAAGCCCCTACGTCGGCGAAACACCCATCTAAATATGCCCTGCATCTTCTTGAGTACAGTTGTTTCAGAGCCCTTTCTGTGCAACATCAAGTCACTGACCATCTGAGTGATAAGGATTTTCGACGGCTGACTTTTGATATGATGCTTGCTTGGGAGGCTCCAGGAGCAACCGACAGACCTGTTTTGAAGGTTTCGTCTCTGCGCTATTTCAAACATTTTGTGTGAAACGTCAGTGATACTAGGGGGCTGAGGATCATTTGAGAGTTTTATTTCTACGTTTGCGTGGCAGAATGGCCCTGTAAGGTGTTCCAGTAGCAAAGTTAACCTAACTCGACGCCCAAAGACATTCAGGAGAACTTCAGCGGGATTGGCTACTCTGAATTAAATGCCCTGATGGTCCTAATGATCCTCTGCCTTCGTTAAGTATTGCAGTTAGCCCTCTAGGGTAGAACACGCCTATCCTTTGAAAGTCTGCCATGTGTAGAAATACTGATTTTAAACTTGTTGTCCTAAAATGGGAATCGTACATGCAGGTTGACGTCGAGAGCACTATTGGACCTGATTCTTTTGCGCGAATAGCACCTGCTATTCCGTCTGTTGCAGATGCAATAACGGTGCACAGTCAGTTTGAATCTCTCACTGCTAGTAGTGGGAACCGTCTCCCTTTCGCCACCTACGACAAATATCTTGAGAAGCTGGATAAGTAAGTTGCACACTTTTAATTAATTATTTCTTTTGTCTTCCATCTCCTAACTCATATCAGCTGGATATAGTTGTTGCTGTTTATGAAATCTTATCTCAAACTCCGCAAAATTTTCCTTGTAGACGTTTTTGCTTCAACTCATTTTTATTGAGAGCTTAAACACTCTTGTGCATAATTGGATGTTCCTGCCACTCCTCAAGCTTAGTGTATCAAACTCATCTAATGTGCAAGCTGGGTTAACTAATTCAAGTTTGATTACTAATTCTTGTATTATAACTCGTTGCTTAGATCGATAAAAGCCATAAAAAATCAAGTTACACCGTCTCTACTGAAGGCATTGCAATTGGAAAAGGATGAGACTCTGATTGATATTGATGGGACTGCTACTACCCAGCCTGTTCTCCAGCATGTTGGTGTATCTACTTGGCCTGGTATGATTTATGGCTGTGTCAATCGCTCTTACCAGTGCTTTTAACTCTTCTTTCATGAGATTGGGCGGAAATGGCTTGCATTTCTGAAGAATGTTCGCTTCAGAAGCCTAGTTTTTGCGCTTACGACTCCGTAATCTTATGCAGGACGATTGACTTTAACTGATCATGCATTCTATTTCGAAGCGGCTGGGGTCGTGTCTTACGATAAACCTAAGAAATTTGATCTTTCGGCAGAATTAAAGCACGCGGTGAAGCCAGCTTTGACTGGGCCGTGGGGTGCCCGTCTATTTGACAAAGCTGTTATGTATAAATCAAGTGCCACGTAAGTTTTTACAACATACCGAAGTACTGTGCGTGTAGGCTATGTGCATTGTTAAGCAATTTTTAGGTCCCATTTCTCGTAAAACCCTTAGTGCCCAACTAGACTAGAGCCAGAAAATGTAGTATGATTATACAGTTGTATTGATATTCGAGAGAGATTTAGAAGAGCCGATATTGTCTGCAGACAGACATCCCCGCTTAGTAGCATTAATTTTTTTGCTTCTATAATTGCTGATTGATTGGGTGCAGGGTTGAGCCTGTTGTGCTAGAGTTCCCAGAACTGACAGGACGCTCGCGCCGTGACTATTGGTTGACAATTATTCGGGAAGTTGTGTCAGTTCACCAATTCATTCGCACTTACCAACTGGAAGGTGTAGGGAAAGCAGAAGCTTTAGCTAAGGCAGTCTTGGGAATCGCTCGGTTAAGAGCTACAAGAGAAACTTTTCATTCCCTGCCTCTCAAGCCAGAAAGCTTACTCACATTCTCATTCGCCACAGAGATAACCGGGGGAGATTTGATTCTGGCAGAACTGGCAAACTCACTTCGTAGCACAGGCCGTTCTGAAGGACAAGTAACTGAAGAAAGTTCTTACTTGGGTCACAAGATCTATGCAAGCTCTGCTGCAGCTGTTGTAGCTACCTTCCGTCCTTCTGCTTCCAAGGGAGTTGAAAAGATGAAAGAATCACCTGTGCCGATTGGAGAAATTCTCATCGGTGAAATAACTCCCTTGGAGAAGGCAATTTTACAGTCACGGGATAATAGTAAGAAGGTCCTTCAGGCACAGGCTACCATAGAGGAAGTTAAGGTTGAAGGCATTGACACCAACGCTGCTGTTATGAAGGTATTTTTCATCTCAACTTGGATATGTTGCCCATTAGTTCTTTCGTTTCTTTTGTTCTGATAAACGCTTTAATTAGAGCATGGACAATGTGACTAACGCCGCTTTGTTATGTGGTTCTAGGAGCTGCTGACTCCCTTGGTAGCAGTAACTACTTGGCTTCAAGCTGTTCTTGCATGGGAAGAACCTTCAAAGTCTTTCACGTTCTGTGTTATTGGGACTTACATCATTGTCAAGTGAGTACTAAGCGAATGAGTTTTTCAAAAGCATGGTCAAAGATTGAACACAGTGAATCTGCTATTCGGATAAATGGAGGTAGATGACAATAATTAAATGTTCACATTCCTGCCACACGCGATCGGGACATTCCCATTAATTCGTGTCCATCATTTCCCGCAGGGGTTGGTTAGCCTACATGTTCCCACTCTTGCTCGTTTCGATGGCGTTGTACATGGCGTATGTTCGATATATGCGTGCGGGAGCGGCAATCAAAGAGGTTCTGGTTCTCAAGCCTCCGAAGATGAACGCGGTTGAGCAGGTGCTTGCCCTGCAACAAGCATTGTCGCAGCTCGAGGGGCTGATTCAGACTGGAAATATATTCCTCCTCAAGACACGTGCTGTGGTTTTATCAGTTCTTCCAGAGGTTAATCCTCCCTTTTGACTCTGTTTACTTCGAACTGTTGCAGCATGTGTGAAGTGCCTCATAAGTGAACAAAATGAATCGATTTCAATTATTTGAGGTTCAATAAGTGTTTGGTTAGTCTATCCACCTAACGAACTAACAGTTTTAACTCTACGGTAGGCTTTCACTGGTCATTTTATAAATGAAGTGAATCTAGAGCTTCACAGAGATCATGACTGCCTTGACCACATCAATAGTCTGTCGGAGAAAAGTGTTCTGACGAAGGTTGGGGGGGGTTGTGCATGCAGGCTACGAATCAGGTCATAGCACTACTTCTGGTAGTAGCTACTATCTTGCTCATTTTTCCTACTCGCTGGTTGATACTTGTCACCTTCCTTAATGTGTTTACAAGTGAAATGCCTGCCAGGGCAGAAACGACACGCAGATTTATTCGGCGAATTAATGAATGGTGGTATGGCATACCTGTTGTTCCAGTCCGGTTTGTCAAACCTGAGGTAGAAAGTGAGAAAATCTGTAAATAAATAAGTGGCAGTGCTGTCATTTTTCTAGTCTCTTATGTTCATATGTTTCTGCACAAGCGAATCCAAGATATAATTTTCTGTAGGATACCAGGAAACGATTGACCCTTTCTTGCATTCGTTATGCGTGATGGCTGAAGGAGGTCAAGGTAGACTCATCCGGAATATTAGAACAAGGTCTTGTGAATATAGCATCTGTTCCAGACGCACTCCTGCTCCTACCAAAAGCTGAATGGCTGTAGCATGGAGGGTGGTAGCATAGAAACCAGTAGAAAATTCTGTAGGCACTTTCTAATCCAGAAAATGAAGGATTAATGTCTACAGGAATGATTACTTTTCTTTGTTCGTCTTACTAACAGTGATGCTGGATGTGATCTATGAGTTATCGTTCACAACATTTTGTTCGCATAGCATCACCAAATTATTCTTCCAACACACTTGAATATATCCTAGTAACCTACCTAACATTGCAGTACAGTTTGATACATTAGGGTGGGTAGCAACCAAACCGTAGTATTGCTGGGTCGTTCTAAATGAGCTCATTGAAAAGACAAAGAATTATGACTTGGGGCTTTGGTATCTGTTTCTAAAGAGTCACTCACTCCCCTCCTTTCTAATCCACGATATTGATTAATGGTTCATCTTTGGGCACAGTCAATATTATTAGAGCTTTCGCTCAGATTCATCTTGCAGGTAATGGAAATTGCTGTGAAGCAACTCAGGATAAGTCTGTTGATAACTTCTCAATAGATTGGAAAACAATAGAATTGTAGTGTATCATTTCTATAATTATTAAAACTTAAACAGAAACTTCTAATATACAAGTCTTTTTAGCTCTAGAAAAGCAATTTTTCAACTCTCTATTACCTCAATTCTTTCTGGAATCACAAAAATATTACATGGTTTTTTTATTTTATTTTAAAAAAAAAGTTACATGCTATTGGCTAGATGTCTATTAAATGAGGATAAAATTATATATATATATATATATATATATATATATATGTATTTAGTTCCAAATAATATGAATTACCATATTTTTTATATATACTTGTAGCATATGTGCTAATTAAGTATTTACTTGTTTGATGGTGCCAAACTAACATTAATCTCTTTAACAAAATTAATAATTCTTTGAGAAATCATGCCTTATTTTTGTCTTAATACATTGTCATCTTTAGTGACTCATAGTACTTTTTCTATCACCTTCAAAACTTATTTAATATTTAAAATCATATCATTAAAATACAATTGGTATGGGTTTAATTTTTTAATTACAATATGAAAAAACAATATTTTACTTTTGTAATATTTTCATGACTGTGACAATATATGTGCAATATCAAACATACCTGTAAAACCTTGTGTATATAGTGTTGAAGCTAAATTGACAAATCATTTATATACAAAGTGTAATTCTTTTATCCAATACATTCTTTGTTGTGATAGTATATTTTCACATAAATATAACATTAGTAACTTTTTGGTCCTTTAGTTCTTTGAATTTAGACTCTGAAGTTTGAAAAAATTATAATTTGATTGATTATTGATAATTTTTACTAAATATTTAGTCAAAGATATTTCCATTGCATTGCCTTTTATGCTACATCTATTTCTACAACGTCCTATAGTTGTGCATATATAAAGAAAACATGTTTTTAAATCATCAAATTTAATTGTAATAATATTTCTAATTCTTTTCATTTTTTGAATGTTGTAATTTTTTTTTGAAAAGTTCAAAACATCTTGAAAACTGTTTATCGTATTATAAAATTGTTAAAATTGGATCCATCTATAATTAGTAAACTAAGAGGAATATTAAATCAATCCAGTCAAATCTTAAATCAACTTCCCTCCGATGTGAAACAGTCTTCATGCTGCCTGTTTCTATCTTTGCAACTGCAACTGACCAGGATTATTCCCGTATCCAATACTCGCTGAAGGGAATACAAATGAAACCACACTAGATAGTAGACAAAAACTATCTCGACACAGAACTCATGACAAACAAATTACCATAAGCAAACAGTGAGGACACAATACCTGAGAAAGCATTGCTGGGAAATGTAAGAGGACAACTGGTGCAGAGGTGAAACCCAGTTCCTGAATGCCTCCACACCATCGTGAAGATGAATTGACTTTTCTTTCAACTTTACACGATGTTCCAAGTAATGAAGAAAGGACGAAGAACTGATAAAGGTGAGCCTAGGTACTAGAAGCAGATGGCAACAGAAGCCAACTCCTTAACCATCCAATTGTACACAAGATACTGTACTTAATCTCCAATCTAGAGTATCTTCACAAGAAAACCTGAGCTCCATCCTGAGAGGATTTCTAAATCATACATAATTTTTGAAGTATTCTACAGGAATTAAACAGAAATAAACATTGAAAGTTACAGGAGTTACTATATACACCACTAGGCCTGATTCATTGAATGAGAAGAATCAAAACCAAGTATCATTCCTAAGCCTCCTTTTAGCTGGTTGTTTCGGTTCAGCCTGCTTTTGCAAGTCCATAAATTCGGCTCCCTTATTCGCAAATAACCGCCGCAAGTTCATCACTGACAGGTCAGCAAATCTGCTGACAGCCAAATCTGCTTGAGTCAATTCATACGCAGGATGTGAACCAATAAGGGCGACCGCTTTCATGGTACAGTTGTGAGCTGCAGCCACGCCACGAGGGTCATCTTCAAAGACAACGCATTTAGAAGGGGGACGATCAAGCTTTACGGCTGCAGAGAGAAACATATGTGCAATAGACTCCATCCCATCCTCCTCTGTCACAAAAGCTTTAAAGTACTTCAGTAGCTTCAGCCTTTGCAGAACTGCAAGAAGACTTATTCTATCCATGGAAGAGGTAATAGCACAGGGTACCCCAGCATTGGACAATGCGCCTAACCATGTCCTGAGACCCTCCATTGGGGCTTCCACTAATCCTAATTCCTCAGAATACAAAGTTGCTAATCGTTTTGTCAGCCGAACAACTTTATCATCATTAATTTCTTCTCCCCAGCCTAAAATTGTACGCAAAGCCTGGTTAATATCCATGTAAAGCAATTTTCTTTGCTTCTCCGGGCATGAGGGCAAAGGCATGTTTTCTTCAGCTGCGAGACGACTCCAAGCCCCCAGCCGCAGTACATGTGTGTTCAATAGCACGTTGTCCCATGAGAAAATCAATCCGAATGCTTCGTCTGGTTTCATGGCATACCTAATCCGCTGCAAACCTCGCTCTCGCATTCGATCATTCAGAAAGTCTACATCCACATGAAGAGGCCCAGTTGCTCTAAAGGTTGCAAATCCCTCACCATGTTCCGCACCTATGGATTCTTTAGCAAACAACTTAGCTCCTTTCCTTGCAAGATAAGGGATAGGACCGTCTGATTCCTTATCCTCAGACGTTCCTGATATAACCAACATTCTATTCAATTTATCTAACGGCTGCCGCTTTACTCTCATCCAATACTTCTGTAATCGGACTTTTCCTAACCCCTTAAATGACTCTGTGCTTCGCAAATTCATTGGAGGTTGTCGTAATGCTAACGAAGATGTAATCAACTCCACTGCGGTGGACATGATGCCTGAAGTTGGCTGCAGCTGACAACAGAATATGATTGTCAGTTCAGACTAGACCTTGACCTGCAGTCTAAAGTGCTTCTAATGGTAATGCGGGTCAACACGCCATCAGGTAGCTCAACTTCGACATTACAAGACCCTCTTCATGTCCCTGAAAATTTTCTCAGCTGTGATCACGCCTATATAAACTTTGGACCGACCGCGAACCTAAATATCGATCCCTCGCATTCAAATTTGGATCTGAATATAGTATCACCGCCAAAATCTTACCACATATGAAATTTCAAAAAATCTCAATAAACATATGCAGTGCCAGCTTCTCCTACGAAGATTCAATGACACAATGAGGTCCACAATTCACAGGCACGATTTACCGATACTATATTAAAAATTTCACCCCGGCCAAATTTCACCTGCTGATCGCCACAAATGCAAAATCGGTTTAAATCGTACACTGCCACTTGCTGCCATCCACGCTATTACCACCCACAATTGGATACTACGACTTAGGGTTTCAGAGAGTCTACACTGAAATTCCGAGAGCAACGAGTAAGAAATCGACTAGATCGTCAATTTAGCGAAATTCGCTCTGCCTACAGCGAGAACTTGAAACACACCCATGCTGCCCTGCGTCTGGTCCAAAGGACTTTCAGTGGAGCAGCATTAGGTACATCAAAGTAAAAACACTTGGCTAAGAGCAACCAATCAGAGATCCACTGAATAAAACGAAAGAGGTTTCGAAACAATGCAGAAAAGGAAAACAGAGAGCATCATCGTCCCTCACCTGCACACGGGAGCGCTAATCCTGACGCGCTTCAGCTCCTTGCTCACGTGCACCCACACTACCACTCCATGAGCTCCGAGTCCCAATCCCACGATTCTGACGTTCGGGGGCAATTCTGCCAAGCCCTAGATGGGACGGAGGAGACGATTGAGAACGTTACGAGGTTTGCCCACAACGCGGAAATAGGAAGGAGAGGGGAGCATGCGGTGCTGCGAGCGTAGGCGCCTATCCAGGGGCAGAAGTGACGTAGATCATGTGATGGGTTTTTATGGATTGCCGCCGACCTAGCGCGTGTGACATTGATTGGGTCACGACAAACCTTGCGATATGGAATTGTGACGAATTTGGACGATTAGTATCGGATGAGCGTGGAGCTTTGAGTTGGCTGGGTGCTTCTGGGTCCTTCCACGTTCTTGGGTAGCGGGGTAACTTGGACTTGGGTTCACCGTCCGAGGTGAAGTTAGTTTAAGGAAAAGTATCCTTTCTTCGGTACATGACTGATCGCTGTTCTTCTCGGACTCGGACACCATTGTTTTCTGATTTGCGGCTAAGAGGTTTTTACGTTGTTATGTATTACTGTGATCGCAGTATCAACGCCCCCAAAGGTGGTTTAAATGCGTTAAAGGTTACGTCATTTTTACGGGAATGTTTTCAAGTCTCACGAGGTTTGTTTCTGCCCGGACATTTACTTCTCGGATGCGCACAACGAATTCTGCGTGAAATGTGAGCAGTGGTGGAATTCCACCTTAAGCACAATACATTGTACTGTAAGCACCGTCATCAATGGAGACCTAGTTGTTGCTAGATTGTCCAGCCCTTGTCTATGACATCAGTTTGTATGCCATTTCATGCTCCAATGAATCTGTTTACTAGAAGGAATAACTACAGTTAATCCTGTTATCCCTTTCATCTATGCGACAAAATCTGAGCTTCAAATGTTTAACCATATGCTGCACGATTGTGCTCCAATTGTGCTGTCTTTGTATCAAAGTCTCGCATGAGGGAGTGTCTGTCATCGTTCTAAGCCATTTCAAGCAATAAACACAGACGAACGAGTCTTAATCTTGACCCTGCTCTTGTAATCCACTAAAGAAAGGGGTGAATACATGCAGATCAGCGTGTTAAACTGCTCACATTTCCGGGGAAACAAACCGCTTGTTCACATCCACTTTCACAGAAGACAGATCTTTTTTTAAAAAAAAATCTATGTGCGGCTTTTGCAGGAACCAAGCTCATGCAGGCCTCACGGAAGATTTCTGAAAGATGCATGGGACGGCTCAAACCTTCTAGAAGATGGCCAAGATCTAGAACCTAGATGATGGGCCCTTCCTCTTGGCTGGACTGGTGGACATAAGGAAGCATCAACTGGAAACAGAGCTGGAGGATCACCAACTTGCACATGATTAGGTATTCCGTTAGAACCATAAATCGAGCCATTCCCCACTTCATTGGAGTGTATTGAGGTTGCTCGGGAGTTCATCCAAAATGATTTTCCTGAGGTCACACTGTCACCGTAATTGTTGCTAGGTGCCTCAGATCGGCGATGATCTTTGCCACCACGTGGAGGAGTGCCATTTCTAACTGTGCCTGGATCATCGTCATCACTTTCCGTAGAAGACAACTGGATTGCAGGGTGGAGGTATGATTTCTCAAGCATGTTCACAGTGTCCGCGTTGAATTCCAAATTATCTTTCCTTATAGCTTCCTGCATCCCGCAACAAAGATTCATCAGTTTTATGAGATCTTTGTTTTACCCCAGAAGTGATACATCGATGAAATTCACGAAAGAAGGTTTACCTGCAAAGGGAAATTTTTGAAGGCTGGCAGGAACTTCTGACGACAATGCAGATGGAAGACAATGGTGAGTACAGGGAGCGGAAGCAAAAAGGGTGTTGAAGCGACTGCTTGCTTTAAGGAGAATAAACCAATTATCGTGAGGTGCTTGATGATGAGAGCAATAATGATATTGCGATGGATAAACGGCCAGAATGACGCTGCACATTCATATCTAGGCTCATAAACATTGATAATCTGCAACAACACCAAAACCAGTGAATTACAACATTAAGGTATGAATCGTGTAAGAGCTGAAAAACGAGAGCACCTCTTCATCAATTAGAATTAAGATTGTGCTAATCGAACTTGTGCCTAAAATCGAACAAGGAGGTGCAAGCTCATGTGTCATTGATCTGTAAATCGCCCAAATTTCAAATATTTGCAGGCATTGCCCCTCGTTTAAGTGCATATTCGTCGAAAAGCATAAAGCATATAAAGATTAGATTATACAGGAAAGACGAACAAAGCCGTGGAAATTCTCATCCAAATAAAAATAGAAGCTTACCTGATTTCGATATACGAGGTAACCAAAGGCAAAAAACATGACTAGGAACGGCAGTATGAGTGGCGAAATGACTGCGTAGACCAGACCAAGTAGAAAGTATAGACTCAAGCGAGTCAGAATAACTGTATAATCTGGTGGTGAAGCTGGTAGAATTTTCACTCGATCTTTCTCGGTTCGCACGAAGAAGAAATCGGAAACATGGTACCAGAAGAGCGGCCAAAGACGAAGTATTTCAGCAGCATTGGCTGACCAACCATCCACCATGATATACGACATGAAAAAGGTTGCCTTCATGGGGACGGAGAATCCAAAAGTTTTTGGGATTCTGATCGCATATTTCCACAAGAAACACGTATAAATTTTCATTCATTAAAACTTGATAAAGAACTGTAACAGCTAACCTTTCCGATAATTCAGATTGTGATGAGTTCTGAGCCTACGAGGCTGCCCCCACGTACAAAAATCAACACTACAAGCATACAAAAAAAAAAAAAAAAAAAAGTTTCAAATAAAAAGCTGTGAGGGAATGTGTCTTACGTTGTAGGTGCTGCAATGTACTGCCTTAGCTGCTCAAATAGAGATCCAATAAAGACGTTACCAAAAAACACGTTGACCACCATGAATATGTAGTACTTCAGAGCCGCATACTTATCAATTTTTGAATAAGAGACATGGCCTTCAAACTTTGTAAGTACTCTCAACAGTGGAGGTAGGATCAACACAACAATTATTCTCAAGAGAAGCCCTGGAAGATACCCTTGAAAGAAGGACCTAACGATACTCCTGTGAGATCCAAGATCATCGGTATCAGCATCCAGACCTAGTTACACAAGAATGAAAGAACCAATCACTTTAGTAAGCAAGGAAGAACAAGCACCGGAACCTGTCAGAACTTCAGACTAGATTTACTGGTGCTGAAAAGTAGCACCCATAACTCTAAACCAAAATAACTTGGTTGAGGAGTACTGACCAGCGTATAATGGGCTTGAGAAATGGAAAATACTTGATAAGAGTGTCTAGATTGGCCAATGATTGCACGAATGCAACTGGAATAAAGAAGAAGATTATTAAAGCAACTACGAGTAGGTTCACAATGAGTCGGTAAGCGTTCAATTGCATGTAGTTAAGGGGCAGACTTCTCCAATACACATCCCGAGGTTCACAAGCCCATTCAGTCATCCATTTTGTACATTCTCCGCTTTGTAATGACTGAGCGCAGACAGCAGCACCCCAGCATGAGTTGAAGGTGACAAAACCAGCTTTAACAACATAATCTGAATGCGATAATACATTCTTTCGCTCAGACCTAACCTGTCACAGAAAGGTAATAGCAAAAGCAAAAGGTTATTGGTTCTCTAAATTGTTATCGTCGTTTGCAGATGACAAAATACACCCTTTGTATACGAAACACCAATGCACATGATAGCTGAATCGTCAGTGAAGAGTTACTATTTGGGAAACAACGAGAAAACCTAGACACTGATTACCATTCTAAAATTTCCATCTACCTCGTACATATACACGCATTTCGTAATACAATATTTACTGCACTAGTAGAAAGTGGAACACGCTGATCTCTACTAGGTTCCCTGTCGAACGAGAACTCTTTTTCCCAGGAATGACATTGAAATCAGCTGTTTAGCAATTAAGCATTTATAATGCTGTACATATGCTGAGGTTTGAGACATCACAGTCAAGTTCTGGCTCCTCATCCCTACCATGTAATGAAGTACAACTGGAGTATATATCAAGCCATTAACAAAACAACGATCAAAATGTAGGGGATCAGAGGGAAATACCTCTTTTTTAAGTTGAGCGATTTTATCTTTGTAAAAATCAATGGCATCCGATTTCGGCATACATATATGGTACCAGTGCTTCTGAAATATGGAACGTCAAGTGTAAGAACAAGGGTTAGAATACATATAATGAGTTATGAATCCAAATACACCTTCACTTCATGCATGTTTGAGTTACACTTCGAACTTGTTCCAAGCCTGCCCACCAAGACAGCAACTTACTTGAAATTTACCTTAAGTGTAGGTCGGGAAGCCTCAGGATCAGCATCTTTGCGAGCTTCGTAGGCTTTGACGATGAGTTCTAATTCACCTTCATATTTCTCTACTTTCTTAATGAGCTTATGCAGTTTCCTCGCGTTGAACACAACCTGCAACATAAATATGCAATCCGCAAATCCGTTATATTCAACAATCCTTCTAGATACTCTTCTATGCTTTGTCCGGGCATAACAATGGACAAGGAAAATCGTGATATGATCGTTCTTCTAAGAAAGTTTTGACCTAGGTAGTAAATTTTAAAATAATTATCTTACCACAAACCTGTGAGAAATCAATGTATACCTGAAATGAAAGGAATTCATTCACAGAAAACATTACACCCAAAGCGAAATACCTGGTGAGTATGATAGTGCTCAGGGTGGTTTTCTTGGAAAAACTCCCGAATTTTTTCTCCAACAGACATACTTGTGTCTTTAGGCACATGCCTCACCAAAACCTGCGATGGCAAAGAGAAAACAATTGTATGTTTTTGGTGAAAACTCCTCGTCAAATAGGGGCAGCATCCACCAGTAGCTCACTACATGTGAATATACATTTACAAGGCAGGACATGTTCTCGGTTCGACGCAATAATTTTAGGGTGAATCTTAAGTAGAAGATGGAAGACATGAAAATGCTACAAATCTGACCACACTGAACTATCTTGATGATACAGACAAGTCTTACCGTAAAATGCTCAGGCCGTTGCTTTCGAGATACAATATACTGTAACCGGCGCTTAGATATTCTAGAATATTCAATGTAAAGCAAGATAATCGTCCATATAGTGAACAAATACGACGCCAATAGATGTGCCCATAATCTGAAAGACAACAACCTCCCTTCAATTCACAGTTTTCATAGTACTATTTCTATGTTCTAGTGTGCAATTCAAGTCAAACCTGGAGGCAATACTAAGCCTGTAAGAGAATACAACAAGATCCTGGAGATAATGGACATTGATTTGGGGAGCAACTAGCAGTAAAATATTTGAAACCCAACTGAAAATGCACAAACCTTTCTGAAAGATCGTGTACGTTTGCAATAGACAGGGTATCAACTCTGCTATACGTCACGTTAGACTCAACTGATTGAAAATTTTGCAGCTCAGTATCTGTCGTATTCACAGGAATGAGCACTACCGATCCCCAGATCATTAGCGGAACAAACAGCTTCAGCCTGCACCATGACAACTCCAACTTAATTTGAGCAGAAAGACAAACTAAGTTCAATCTATCGAACACAAATCTATCGCAAATGACGCTTTCTGAGCAAAAGCATGATGCAGCAAGCATCATGTTAAGAGAATCCTGCAACAACTGAGCGGCGGGGAGTCTGCTTTTAGAAAGGAAATCATCTTAAACACGTTTTAACACTTTCATTTAATAGGGGGGGTTGCAGTAAGTTGCAGAGTAATATGGCCGACGTACCCAAACAAATAGGTCCGAAGGAGGACAGCAGAGTCAAGACCATACTGCTCAATGAACTCCATTTCTGTCGTGCGCCAGGTAGACAATATCCAATCAAAAAGGTTCGAACACCACCTCCAACCAACCCCACGATGTCTCTTATCTTCTGAATTCACCAAGTCATCTACGCGCTCAACCAGGCCCTTCAAGTACCGTCGTGGGTAGTAGACCCGAAAATTCAAAGGCAAATTTTTTAACAGTACATAAGATATCAAGAATGATACTGTTAACACCACATTGATCCAGAATGAGGTTAAGAGATCCAATTCTGACTTCGCCATCTTAAACCTGCAGTGAGAAGAACTGGAGAGTAGGCTCAATCTCCAGAGTAAATAACGTGGTGATGGTTTAATGAGTCAAAGTTCGGAAATCCACTGTCATCCATGTGGGGAGGGGAGGATCCATCCGGCTTATTTCTAGAATCGCACGCCATTCCATCACTGCATCTCATTTGCAAGCACACTGATCCAAACACCAGCATTGAATAACTCGTTCCATGGACGCATATATGACAACCTGGTTGCAGGCTTCAACATGACTTCTGTTGGCATCTCTGGTTGTAAAGTCAGAAACCTGCACAAGAGCGAGGTCATGGAGAGAATCTGGATTTCATTGACCTTGTTCACCAACGGTATTAGCGGTGGTCATGTCAACAGCTAAAAACATATAGAATATGATGCATTAAACAACTATGACCATACTCTACAAACTATACGACCTTCTCGTAGTTACAAAACACTTCAACATTCATATGTAAGAAATAAGCCATCGACACTGAGATTGAGCTAATGGACTAAAATTCTGCTTATGAGGAGTTAGATATCGACTTCTTGAATTCAATCATCGCTGTTGATATACTGCTCCAAAATGACCTACAACCCAATTAAGGAAAATACACATTGGCTCAGCTACCTTCGTCGATCTACGTGATTCTTAGAGAAAGGTACCGAACTAAATATTTCCTCGACCCAACACTAAGCCCTAAATTCATTTCACATTGATCATCCCAAGTCAAGGAGGGGTAACGGAGGTAGCTCACCCTGCATTGCCAGTCGCACGCCTCGACGGATTCTACAGACATGTCCATGAACACTTGGAATGAGTTGATTTGCCAACTCAGTGCAAGGGTATCCTGTTCACGTCCATTCCATTCGCCACATATGGAAGATAGGTCAGCTTGCAGGTTTATTATCCAGTTGAGATTGCTCGCGCAATAAATAAATAAAATTATACACAAAAAAATTAAGATAATGAAAGAATAATAATAATAATAATAACAATAATAATAAAATCCCTAAAATTAATCCAAGCTGCTTAACCCAAAGATAAGTTGGGAATCTTTTGCCAAGCGCATGTGTTGTTATCCTGAGGTCGTTAGTTTGAGTAATTAGGGGCGCGGAGAATAAATTCAATCTCAGACATGAACAGCAAGGATCGGGAAACGATTCACTTGAAAATGTAGAGGAAGTAAAAGTGAAACTGTCATCTATGAAAAAATAAGACGTATTGAGCTTACTTGTCAACAGATTCAGAGCTAATTCTCACTAACAGCCATACCGCCAACTTTACATAACAGTAGCCGAGCTGTTATTTCTCAACAAGACTCTGTCGCTTGTCCTCCTCCCCAAACTCTACACATCCAAGCCTTAAGAATCTGTAGAGCCTCGTGATCTCCCTACACTTCAAACATTTATTTCTACACATACTCCGTAAGAGCTCCCAATCACGGCAAACTACGCCAAAAACCGTAAGGAATCCAGAACAATCTTGCACCGCGGCACCGACCTTAATCGCCCATCTCCAAGTCTACACCCTTCTGCAAATGCAACAAACCGCTTACGCACTATGCTCCGACGCATGCCTCTCATAAAAACCTTCACCCTCCCATCGCTTGAACAGTTGCAATGAACTAACAAACCCGCTCTAGTTCTCGAAAGCAAAGAAATGCCACATCAACAACAATACAGCGCATTGCTCAGAGCGAACTACCTTTTCGGCACCAGAAAAACTACTGCAAGGTCGTCCAACTACTCTAGTGAGAAAATCCGTCCTCACCGAGTCGCAAAGCGCAACCGAGTCGCATGGGTTGCGAGGAAGCAAAAGCCCGAATAATTTGCCACCAACTCCCTCTTCATTCCTTACCACCCAGGCTCGTGCGGAACCAGTCCGCTGTCCAATGTGCACACCGCAGTCGGCGCGGCAAAACTGGCACTTTTCTTCACTTTCATAGCGAACTTATTGAAGACCACCTCCCATTAGTAACTAGTCTTTTAAGGCTTCTGATATGGAGCAACTGATTCAGAAAATTTTGGGTTAATTGCTGTCTGTTCAGCGACTCTCGTTTCCAAAATCTAGTAACCATTCAAAATCTGATAACCACCGACACTTAACAATACTCAACTTTCTCACATTCCAGTTCACACTCAACCCAAAATCAAAAACACAAAAAAAAAAAAAAAAAAAAAAAAAAACACACCATACTCCATTTCCCGAAGCACTGGAAACTGTGCTGTTGTATGGCAAAGTTTGGAGGGGCACTGTGTGGCTGATAGAAAAACCTGAAGTCCACCGAGGATTTACATTTTCCAATCACTGTAATGACTGCCCACTTCCTGGCCTTCATGATCAACAAGACTTCTAAAAAAAGAAGTGGTGAGAATAAGAGGCTTGATCAATGTCCACTAGCTTGTATCGGCACATTCACCGGAATCCAGGCACTGGGTGGGGAATAAAAATACTTTCTGATGATTCCATTGGGGATCTGTGTCCAGTGCTAAATGTGGATATGCTGAACTCGTCACTCCTCCAGGTTGAAAAAGGATAAGTTAAGATTGAATCTCAGAGTACCCCTACGAGTGCCCAGATTCAGCTTCAGGTTGCACTGGGTGCTTCTAACTGTGCAGTCCTCCTCTCTGTGTTGGTGTTTGTGTTTTTTTTTTTATTATTATTATTATTATTATTCCTGCTATTGATCCAGTGTTAAGAAAACAATAGCAGCAGGAGGATAAGTGACCAAAAGGGGAAGATTGTTGCCCTAAAAACTCCTCACAACTCTCCTTCCCATCTATTCCTAAACCCTAATTGGAGAACCCAACTTCATGTGTCTTGTAACTTGCATTTGTTTAACAACCCCATGAGCTAAATAACAGTTTTTTTTTTTTTTTTTTTTTTTTTTAAGCTTGCATGTAATATCTTGTTTTTGGATACTACAACACAAATCAAGTAAAATGTATGTACTTGAATTTGAAAACGCACTTTTAGATTGGGGTAAAATGAATTACTTTAGCTCTATTCTTAGATATATGCGAATTTTTAATGGCACAAACAAGAGCATCATAAACATGTGATAACCAATATATGTTCTTTTGAATGTAACAAAATGTTGTGGATCACCTTAGAAAATACTTATGTCATCAAATTATGGTTAATGATGTTTATATTGTAGACAATTATGCCAAAAAGAATGTGTATTTTGATTTTTTGATTTTTATTAATGATATGGATAGTAGGTAATGATTGGAATAAAAGTATAACAAGTTGTAAATTGGAAACTTTTACTATCACTGAGAAAGATTTCTAGAGCTTTATTGTCTAAGTTGTTACAAACATATATATATATATATATATATATATATATTTTATTTAACATCACATAGACCAAATTCAACCTTGATCACAAAGAGCCAAAGGGATTCTACAAAAAAAATCAAAGTTAAACTCAAAAAAACTTGATTCAATTAAGGATTTTGCATATAGAAAGATAATAATTTAATCTTATAATATTAAAACAATCTTAAAATTTATTCTTTTCCATTGTTTAATAGCAATTTTGTATGTAACTATTTATTCTTATACTTAAGTACATAAAATCTTGTAAATAACTTATTCTTACACAACTATATTAATATCCTTCACAAGTCTTATATATAAACAATTATAATGTATGAAATAGGAAGTTGGTTCACTTTTTAATATGGGTGGAAGTTCAAAAGAAATATATTTTTAAGATTATAAAAAATTATATCTAAGATGCAACTAAATATTTACAAGTATTCTTTAAAATATATGCATATATATATGTATATATATATATATATATATACCATCAAATTAGACATATAGATTTAGAAACCATAATTCAACTTACCATATAATGTAATTTTTTGACTTTTTTAATGTATTATATAGATTTTAAGAATGTCTATCAATCATATGAGCAAAGAATTGATGCACATTATTAATCAACAATTTGTAAATTAAATATTAGTTTAAAGACTATGAACTCTTTTACATCTAATTAAAAAAAATTGGGAAAGTTTGGCAAAGAACTTAATGCAAACTTTATCAGACAAAAGCAAAAATATCTTTGGTTCACACTAATTGATGCTCATTTGTTGACAATTTGAAACTTAAAAGCAAATAAATATTTCAATATATCAATTAGTTAATAATAAAAATAACAAATTACTATCTGGTTCATCTAATTTAATATGAAGAATTGACATGATTGAGAGTCAAAAAGCAAACAAAAACCACATAATGTAAATTTAACAAAATATAATAACTAGAAAAATCTTTTCAATTTGTCTTTTATGAAGAGGAGGTAGGAACAGGGGTCCAATAAAAGCTCCTTCCATTGTTACAATTATAATCTCATGTCACAATTCAAACCAAAGACTCAAATAACTCCTCTTACCTACACAATAATTACTGTGTTAGGATGTAATTCACCATTTTAATAGCAAAGAATAAACCCCCGTATCTCCCCAGAAAAAAACCCAAGACAGAGATCTGTGATTATTGCAGAGAACCTACACTACGTGCATTTCACGGCCCCTGTACAGTAAGGGCATGTCTTAAATTGATTCCCAGTATGCAAACAAATGATTCAAATATATCGTTACACTCAATTTCCAGTTCATATGATATAGTGCACATCATCCTAAAGGATGTGCTCGAAATCATCATGATGTTGCCGAAAATCTAAAAGACTAGCAATACCGCAAAATCCAACAATTGTCCACCGACACTTGATTTCAACCTAAATTATGGAATAAAGTCACACTAGCAAGAAAAGCAGGATATCATTCTTGCTCAACTGTGTGACATCACATGTGAAGAGCAAAATGACCTGTCAAAGAAGTTATCACTTGAGACATGGGGATTTTGAAGCGTACTCTTGCCTTCTACAGAAGGTCATCAATCTGTGAAAAGTTCACGCTCTGCAACAATGGCTGCAAGCTTGCCGTGAATTAAATTTCTAATGAAAAGAAAGAAACGATGACGCTTCTACTATGCAAATGATAATAGAAGTTCCATCAAGTGAATTAAATATGAATGCCTTATCGTGTGCTAATCAACCTAAACAAAGTAAGTGGCGCAAGAAATCCCAAAGCGAGGGTAAATCAATATATGAATAGCATGACAGGACTGTACTTTACCTACACGAGGAACATCTTCAATGCATACTACATTTGCGTTCACGACCTTCCACTGCGCATGTCTGGTGATGAAAAATAAATGTAACTCAAGAAGATATTAATGAGGGCTTAATTTGCTTTCTACACCGTTGAAATATGTTGTCATATAGTACATCAAAATGAACACCAGCTCTTTCACGATTGATGATAAAGTAGATGTGATCCGCGACTAAAGTTGAGTAATACCTGCAGTGAAAGAGCTCCAGGTCAGATCTTCAAGATATATGACACAGAGAGATTGCAACTGTGAGCCAAAAAAAGCTCAATCCTCAAAATAGACTAAGAATCTTCGAAGACGAACAAGTTTGAAGATGTTCTCACCATATTCCAGGTTGAAGAACTCTTCCGTCCTTTAAATCATTCAGATCAGCTCCTAACTCGCAATTCGAATGCACACAAGGCAAGCAAGGATACAATTGTGATATGGTGTTCAATGCGCCGTCATTATCTTGCCAATCCTCATCTCTGAAGCCGGAATTTCAAAAATAACAAACAAACAAACAAATACTCAGTACATATCAACGCAAGAATGCCATACAGCCCAAGTCTCTTGCAAAAAATTCGGACTTCAGGTAGATTGACATCATAAGTTACAGTATCTACAAAATACAATCTTCATAAAAACAAAAAACCTTTCTAATAAAAAAAGACTGTTATCGTTACGTCAAACGGTATGGTATTTAAAAAAAAGAGTATAGTCTTAGTTTCTTAGATTCACCACACCACCTTTGTACAAAACCAGCAGAACCTGTGACTGCTTCATAGACTCATAAAATACCAGACCAAGCATCTCACCTGTAACCTTCATAGGGAAGAGGAAGGTCTTCAGGATGACGCCATAGACAAATCTGCAGAGACCGGATGAAGAGTAGCGGATGTGTAGAGAAGATGCTTCCCGGCAGCGTCCACAGCGAAAACCACCTCTTTGTTCCTTTCGTTGCATAGCTGTGTGTGCATCATGCACCAGAATATACTCGTCAGCTCGCAACTAGTAGTAATTTAGAAGATCAACTTATTAAATTATTAAGAATATTACCTATCCAGCTAAAAGCTGTACACAATATGAGTCCAACTTGTACGACTCCCAAGAGTGTACAATGACTAAAACTATTTGCTCTAAATACCAGAAACAATTGAAACTTTTTCAAAACAATATCCTGCAAGATTCAGAATCAAAGTAATTCTTTCATTTAACACACCTGAAGTAGAAGGTCTTATCAAAGGTTCTAAGTTTCTTATTCAACTCCACTGAAGACTGAATACTCAAATCTGGAAGCACCCAGTTATCATGTACGAAGGGTCCACTTCTATTGAAAAGTGTATCTAATAGGCCCGTGATTCCTGCTTTGTGCCATTGCAGGTTGTAGTGATCAAATCCAAAATCATAGTATCGTTTCAAAAATGGAATGTCGAGCCATTCATAAAGTAGCACACCCACTCGCAGAACTTGCAATAGGCTGAAGCTCTTCATCGACTTCCCATCTTCAGCCCTACATTCGACAAGACAGTCAGGAACATTACAAAAGAAATGGCACAATCTCGAATTTTTCAACATTTCAGAATCGAAACTAAGCAAGGATCAAGAAATCCCCCTAGATGCGCCAAATGACGTCATCATCTAAGTCGTTGACAAAAACTTACCGTATACCGTCATAATAGACGCGTGTTGTGCCATTCAGAGCACCTGAGAGGGAAGTGACACTGAGCACCCAGTCTGCTGATGTAGAATCGTGTCCTGGAAAACACTGAAAAACAAATCCCATAAATCAAAAAAAATAACTCCCTCAAATACAAATGCTTAAGGTTCCATTTCAAAACTTGAAGCAGAAATCACCCTAACTCAGTCTTAACACTCACGTAGCCCTTCACGTGGGCAAAAGAATTTACAAGACATACTGGAGTACAGCATTTATGTTGGAGTATTATCAATTACGCTGAAGAGCAGACTTGGCAGCTTACCTTATCCGCTAACATGTTTTGCAGAAGCCGGATTACTTGTGCGCCAGTAGAATGTCCAACTAAATGTACAGGATGTTTGCTGTCCCACTCAGGATAGTGACCTGAAGTATCGACCACAACTGAGTAAGGTCCACATGCTTCTAAAGTCACCCAGCATGATTTTGCAGGAATGTCAGATAAGTAAAAAGCCAATGAAAGAGATATTTCACCTTGGTGATACGTATGACCAAATCGAGAATGACCATATTTCTGGCTGCGCTCGGCTCCATAGTCTACAGTGCCGCCTTTAAGATAGTAGAAGAGCTCACACGCCCTAAACAACAAATCCACAGTAAAATTCCGATCTAGCACTGAAATACTAGTAGTTCAAACCTCCAGACTGTTTATTTCAATCATTCCATGGACTGAACCAACAGATCAATCCGGATTTCCTGAAACAATATCTCAAACCCTCCAATGACATTCATGAACGTTCAGCAGCCACTATTAAAACTAAAAAAACTCAAAATTCGACTGGTCGTAGGGGAAAACTGAGGAGTGTGAATGAGCACCTGTCGTGAATGCTGCTCAGAGCACCCAAATCGGGCGCAAGAATTCGATCATCTTGCTTCTCTGCACCACCCCAGTATGACAAGTGGCCCATTTTCTGCTCAGAAGGACACAAAATTAGACGTATCATGGAACTTGCACAAAAACTAACAGGTTGTATTATGTCGGATTTTTTGTTTTCATCAAACTGACTGCATCAGCTAACCACCATGCACTACACAAACTTCAATTTTCAGAGCAATTCGCGCTAGTCGCTGGGAATCGCCCTTGACGGTCTGAAAAACAGAGAACTCAAATGAGCATCATGATCCCAAATTAGACATTCTCAAAAGCTTCGGTGCAGGGCCATACGAACCAGCCATACCGACAAAAGATGTCATAATCACAGATTTAGCTCACCTGTGAGCCGAAACCGAATATACCATGCACAAGGACAATTGGAGCTGTCTCGTGTCCTTCCATAAAAGCTCCAGCATAGCCAAGGCTGTGGTCGTCGGATTTGCTACTCAACATGACACAATTGGATACTTCCCGATCGTCAGTTTCAGTTGCACCAGTTTCAATGACAGGCGATACTCGAGCGGATTGCTGAGGGCTGCTCATGAAACCAGACATGAGGTCTACCCATACTACCGTTAAGAATAAGTTAAGGCCGTAGGTGGCATGAACGATGGTGCTCACAAATACTTCAATGACGTAAATGAAGTCAAAAAAGACGCGCCGCATCATTCCCATCCTAAATACTTAAACCACACTTGGATTTGGCAACAGTAGGTTATCAGCAGCTGAAGGAACTCGGTACGTCGCCAAAATCAATTGTATCCTCTTAACAGACAACAAAATCTCCACGCCTACCAGCTATGCAGAGCAAGCCATTCTTTCCTCTTAGGATCTCTAGGGCCAAAACTCCATCTCCGTGCTTGCGAGATGACCAAAAAACTCGCTTCAGAGTGAAATTTCTGCGTGATATCTCGAATCTACAGGACCCTCCCATAACTTTCGGAGGTACACATGCTGAAATTCAGGGAGCTTGGAGCTTGTATCATCAACAAGTAACAGGAGTTGTCACATGCCAGAGTCTTCTTCCGGGTGACCAGCTTTTCAGCGTGCCTTGCGAAAAAATCACGGCCAAAATGAACCTTCAAAAAAGTCGCGTTCAGAATCCTTCAAATGTCTTGCACCTCAAAAATTTCCTTCAAACGATGTTCACATGGTCAACACACTTCTCTCAAGTTTGCGCTTGAACCGATCTCCACCCAAGGAACTGAAGCGTGCAGCTTAGAAACCATGAACCACAGTTTCATCTACTGGTATTCAATTGAAGATGAGCGTCTAACTATGTGTACGCTTCAACCGGAAGAAATCACTGCACTAGGACTCTCCGGAACGTAGAACATGTAAAACTGCAAAAATTGCCTCACAAACTCCGGTGCTACACTTTCCACCCACAAGAAGACAAAAAAAAGTCAATCCCCCGATCTAAAGCAATTGCAAAATCATATCGCTGCGAAACAACAAGCATTCCCTCATGCTTGTCACGCAAAACGCTGCCACCTGTAAGTGCCTCTAAATTCAAAAGCTACAATTTCTGTCCACTTCAAACCTAAAAGGTGTCAGGCAATTGACAACTGCTCGATGTATTGGCCCGCTTTGAATGGCCCGATCCCCATGGCGACCACCTCCCAACTCACACCTGCCGCTACCGGGCCCTATATCCAATGCAACGCGGCAGACGAACTTATAAAACCACAATCTTAAGCACGTGTTTATCATCACGCATCGCTTCCCGATGACACGCGAAACACACCCGGCTCCTGGCGTAGCATACCTTCGCGACTCAGTCGAAGAAAGCCCCGCCAAACTGTAAAATACCTCTACATCCCCTATTCACTCTACTCAAAGAGCATCGATGAACACATTGAATAGACACCAACTCCTCCAAATCGCAAGAATCTGACAGATTCTTCGCGAAACTTCGAATGATGTAACGAAAACTGTCAAATCAACAACAGCGCACCCCCGCGACTGAGCCGGCAGCGCCAGCCAACCAGATGGCCGGGGCAATGTCCACGAATCCACGACTCGCAAACGCGCCCGCGTCAACTGAAACAGGCCCCTCTTAAGGAGGAGGAACGTGCTAGTGTGCTGGGAGCCTATCGCAGCAAATTGAAGAGCAGAATCAGGGGCCAATGGATAGTGGCTTCGATTGGATGAACTCAGTCCTGGGGGAGGCTCAAGGTCCGGCGACAACGAAGGGGCAGGATAGGGTGCATCGCCGAATAAAGGGCCTCTAAACGCTTCCCCCTTGTCTCCGAGTCCTTAATCATGTTGTTAGTTGAGATGCTAATTTCACGGAGACGACGCCACAAGCTCTCAAGCATTGAGCTAAGCCCCGACGTAAATGTGCAACACCGGCTTGCACCACAACAATAAGTAATGCCACAAAAACGCAAAATGCCAGCACCGTAGGGTTTCTTCTTTCTTCGTCACCTTAGCTCCGGCTTCACTGCCCTACCCTTCGACGCCTGCCGATCACTCACTCACTCTCTCTCACTCTCTCACTCACTCACACATCACTCACTCTCTCACTCACTCTCACACATGAAGTTGTCATGGTGTCGTAAAGGACAGGACGGAGGCAATACGTGCTTGCTTGCTCACTGATCACTTTGCTTTGCTTTCTCCACCATTCAGATGCAGCATAAGGCGGGCAGTACACCACCAAACACGCGCTGACCAACAACGACGCAGGGCAGTGGTCTACAAATCCATGTCCAGATAACTAAACACCAATTGCTCCACTTTCTTTTTTCTCGCACAAGGAAAAGCAAAAAAAAAAAAAAAAAAAAAAAAAAAAAACAGCAAACCCAAAAAGAAAGGGGAAAAAAACCACTCGACGTGTGGAGTTTTACGGAGAAAATCTCTACTTCTTGCAGATTCAACGAACTTGACGAGCACCGCGATTCAAGCGCCATCCTGGATATTCATTCGTTCATTGTCCAGGATGTCGATGGAAAGTTCTGGAATCGGGTCAGCGCACAAGCACAGCCCAGGTTCACACGACGAAGATTTGGTCCTGTAGCCCATTGATCTGAACGGATGAAAACATTTCAAACAGTTACGTCGCCAGCTGGGTTCTCCTGCTTTATCCGCTTTTATCTGATCGCGCTCCCGCCGGGACACATCGGATCCCGCGTCTATCGAATTGCCAGGTCGACAAAGTCTTCATCTACCCGTTTATGCATTCATCCATCTAACCTTTGGAGGGATCTGGAAATCATCCGTGCCAGGTGGTTGATTCTGGAGTGGGTTGAGTTGGGCAAGTCGACGTGGCACGTTCTTTGCCATTACATGTATATTTGTTGGGGCTGGGCACAGGAACGAAACTCAGCCTCGTACTTGTTTTTTATTTTAATTTTGTCTTTTAATTTAGTTTCCAAGGAGGCTCTAAATTCTACAAAATTATAAACAAAAAAAAAGGGGGGGGGGAGGGGGGTTATACCAGGGCCTCATTGTAAGCATAATAATACTCGTGGGATATCTTGTCTTTCCTCTGGTCTGGTGTGCATGTGGAGCGTTGTCACAAGTCCAGTGTTTACAACACCTTTTAATATCCAAACCCACATGTCAATTTTACAAATGAACACCACCCACTCACTGAGTTCACGACTTTCCATTTAATTAATGTGGGTCATTGCCCATGAAGTTGCCGAGGTGTATGTAAATATGTGGATATTGTAACATTACATGTAATTTATTTATTTATTATTTTTTTTATTATTTTTTCTCAATAGATATATTTGGGTTGTTTCACTCATTAATTAACAAGGTCCCATGTTTTGTCATTGAGGAAGACAAAATGTGAAATTTGATGAAATAAACAAGCAATATGATTAGCTTAATAAAGATACATTGCATTGTTTAAATACTCAAAAACTTTTGATGTAACATTGCATGAATTTTTTGAACAGAAATCTTACATTGAAAACTTTCTTTGAAGTGCAATTGGGTTCATAGTCATTGAAAAATACTTTTTCATTCCATTCACATAATAATTGTAGTTCTTTAAATGCTATTGACAGTGCTCAGGGTCTTGGTTAAGGACATAAGTAAGGACACAATAAATTAAGAATGATTCTGCCTTTGTTCACAACTAGTGTTATATTTTCACTAAAGTGGTACTTCAAACTTCACGGTTGGATACAAAAATCCAACTTAATTATACTGAGTTTAAAATAAGAAACTGTGTTGAAAAAATGTAAATGGAAGATGTAGATTGTGAAAAATGATTCAATGTATTTGCTTATCACTTAAGATGAATTTTCTACATTTTTGCACGACTTAGTATGATTCAATTTTCTTTCACAGATGATTGATTTGTATGTGTGATCTTGAAAAACTACATGTAGTCTTTAGAACTATTTCAATTATCAATACTGCAGTGATACAACAATTTTGTATACTTCTTAATGTATGTTTAATCAAAACTTAAGTTTAATATGTATTCTACTAAGAAACATAATGAGATGTTTGGCTTGAACCACTATTTTTAGTTATAATCTTTTGTTTTAAAATATAAACAGATAAATGTTAAAATGACCCAGCCATTTATTAAATTGATCCACCTTGTTGTAACCATTGTTTGAAAAATGGATCATCTCTGGAAACCATCATTACAATCATGGCTCTCATTTCCACTCCATTGTTCTCAACCCTTGTTCCCTTTGTTCCCAACCTTCTTCATCTCAACCCTCCTTGTTCTCCATAAAAGGATGAGTTGATTTAGTAAACATATGAGTCATTTTAACATTTCCCTATAAATATATAATATTTCATTTAATCTTAAGTCTTAAGCATCACAACCATAACATTGGCAAAAATTAATTTTTTAAACAACCAAAGAACATGTTTAGAAACATGTTTAAGCTACAATTATATTGACAATCCTATAGACAACATTGCATTAATGTGACACGCATTTTCTTTATTGCTACAACTCATGTATGTCTTCTTTATGCCATTTGCAAATTAAAAAATGACCAAAGAACTCAAAACGTTGTTCTTGTTGTTTGTAAATATTTTAAATAAGGAAAGAGAGATAAAATAATCCCCCTCAACATCTCTACAAAATAAGCTCTATTAGAAACATATTACATATTGAAAAGTATCTTATTTTATGTACAATAATGTTGTTATTGATTTTTTAAATTTGAAATTTATTTAGACTATAGTTAACACAAATATTATATTATTTTTTAAAATATGACACTATATATTTACTTGGAGATTTAACAATTACAAAGATTAGAAATATAATAACTATATTATTATGAATATAATAAGTATTTTTTATTTTTTATTTTAAAAAAATATTATTAATAAGAACTTTAAATGTTTATTTGCCTTGAGTTTACAATTGGATGCAAGGTATTCATATACAAAATGCAACATGTTTTATTTTGTAAAATAGTTTATACACTTGTAATCAATATACAAATTTGATTAATCTTTGTTAGTTTCACTTTGTGAATCATCAACCAATCTTATTGAATGTACCAACTGAAAAATTCTTTGTAATACTTTTTTTTTTTTTTTTTTTTTCTCTATGGCTACATACATACAGTTTATCATATAAATATGATTTCTGTACAAACTATAGAAAAATCATTGCAAAGTCTACATGAATAACAATACATAGGTCAGATCTTTTAAACTTGAGTTTTTACATTATCCATTTGATCTGGATATTCTTTAGTAAAATCTATTTTCAGTATTCACCACTAAGTTTGAGGTGAGTTGTATAATAACATTCAATGCAACCTATAAATAATTTAAAATATATATACTTTTTACTTTATGTTTTTTTTTCCCTATAACTTGGGGTTTCTGTATATACTGTAATAAATTATTCATCAAAGAATGTGGTGAAACTCAGACATACTCTTTTATTTTTATTATCCTCCTGAATTTTTTATAATGACTATCCTGCAATTATATGACAACTTCCTCTCACTCTATTGCCGAATATTAGGTCTGAGAACGACTCGCTCTCTAACAAGTTTGAGTGCAAATGGTTGAGCAAAAGTGCATAAATTTCTCCAGTTTCTGTGACCCTTTCGGGTGGTTGCAGCCCATTGATGTCTTTCACCAACATGAGAATAGATTTTCTATGCACCAACCATGACAGCAAAATTAACAACCATCGCATGCATTTAGTTTCGGGGTCGCAAGTGGACAAAAAAGTTGGAGAAAACGTGAAACTGAATTCAGCATAAAATATTGGCGTCAAAGATGTCTGCTAGAAGGTGCAGATCTGGCTGGATAACTGGATACTGTCGTGAGAGTGAGAAAGATGATTGTTGTGGACCTATCTTAAAAGCCTTCCACCGACACACAACAATTGTTAAGATCTGGCAATTGTAAGAAAGGAAACAGGATTGACACCATTCCTGAGAATGAAGTCGCGTCTTTGTACAACTTTGTATCATTCTTGCCCTTCTCTGGGAGTTGTACGAGGTTGGGATGATGTCCAAGGAGATGGAATTTTGCCCGTGAATGGTGGTTTGCTGCAAGGTGTGCACAGTCCATCGATTAGGAAACCAAAAACAGAATTGGAAGTAGAATTGGGATCAGGTGTGTTGATTCCCCTGGTATTTGCTGCAGGAATGGTATGCAAATACTGATGAGTAGTAATCCAACTCCTGACATGAACACTGCAAGTCATGGAACCAATTCAGGCGAACAGAGAACAAGGACCTAATTCGGCGTTGGATCCCGTGTCATCAAAGAATTCCAAGGATCAACAACCAAAACAGATGGATAAGATAGCAAAATACGTCGCTGAAATAACCACAGGTAACACCATTTCTTAACATTTAAAACTGTGTTTAATCATAGTCAAGCTTACATAAGCATCAAAGAAACAGCAAAAATGAAAAAAAACAGCCAGGAGGAAAGTAAACAAACAACAGAACAAAACAAAATGCCAGTCCACCAACAAGATATCCTTCCACAGGTGGCACTTTATTAGGATCTATGAAATCACTTTTGACCACAATCCCCATACTTGATGCGAAATCCTCAACCTGTGCATGTTGAGGAGTCACGCTTTGGGTTGTGCGAGCAGGATTAGGCCCTCGTAACTCACTCACCCAATGATCCACCACACACGGTGAAAACACAAGACTTAACCAAACAAAGCCCAAAAGAGTTGACATGTTATGGGTCGGTTGAAGGCTATGACGCGCTAATGTGGGATATTTAGCAATGATAGGTAGTAAGTGTACTGAGACACGGGGATGTATAATGATGCGACCCTAAACCCTAACGATGAGAAACAAAGCAACCATATTATCATTTCGAAGCGGATCTATCGCGAGGTCATAAACCCACTTCGTTCATTGCACACGGCCTTCACAATTTGCGCACAGTGCTCATGTCGGCGCCCTCAGGCAAAGTGCCCTCATCGACCCTTTTCCACCAGTCAGAGAGATAGTTGTTGACCACGAGCCGAAACCAAGGTGATAGATTCACGCCATCTTCTCCAGCATCGGCCTTTCTCACTAACTCCTTAAGCTGCTCCCGGTTCACGTACTGAACATCTGCAACCTCCTCAGGGTTGGGCTCAACCTTCACGTCACGAACCAAAAAGAGCAGGTAGTCCACTGGAAAACCATGTAAATTGTTTTTCGGAAGTTAGGCCAGATCAGATCAGATCAGATCAGACATGAACAATCATCACTCCATCTTTCAAACAACAACATTCAGGAACACAAAGTTCAAGAAAAAAGGAAGGAAAAAAAAGTCTTGATGATGCATATGAGGAACATATCATGGTTTGAGGTCGAAAATAAGATGGTCGACATAAGTCATCACAGCGTAGCAAAGAGAGATAGTGATTTCATGAGACGGCTTAAGAACCTGTCAAGACACTGAAGTATGACACATACCTTCATGCTCGCCCCACTTGCCATCTGATGCAGCTTTGTAGTGAATTCGGCCTAGAGCGGTGAAGTCATCTACTGGTACATCTTCAGCTACGATGCCGAGCTCGTCATATAGCTTCCTCTGTGCGGCATTTCTGACACCTGCAAGAATAAGCAACGTTAATGTGAAGTTGATCATTATACAAGCTAAGCTCATAATGACGCGAATTTTACTTGCAAGATGGATCTATTAAGACAGTACGTGTTCATGCTTAAAAGTGTACTAACGATAATGTGTGTGAAGTCTAGCAGTACAACCTACATTATACGCACTTTACAGCAATATGGTGGTACAATTTTGAGTAATGGTGAGAATGCTAACCAAGGTATTTATCCTCAATAAGTTCAGACTCACGGTACAGTGGATGGCTGCAACAAGTGTTGGTCCACACAAGTGGAAAGGTCACTTTCGTAGCCGAACGTTTCTGAAATATAATATCAACATAAATAAGATTTTGTCCATGGGTCTAAAGGAGACATCCCTGCAAGTCACTCACTAATCCAATCTCTAACCATACACGGTGGAGTATTTAATGAAGGCCGCGATCCCGAAAATGATATTAATCTGCGACTTCATACACCGACTATACGTTAGAAAACGCAAGATCCAGGCCTCGACGCTCCAACATAATGCCTCGAAACTACAAAATCCTCATTTTCAAGGATTCGAATATGGTGGATGCTTGGCACGAACGGAAAAGGGTGTACAAATGCTTTAGCGAGCTCAATACCTGCAACAGGAGCTCATGCTTGGAATTGAAAAGAAAGACACTGAACGCACGGTGCAGCAAGTTCTCCTTCTCTATCTTTTCCATTAAATGACCTGGATACATCAAAGCAACACATCAACATGAGTTATCAGGTAAACTGTGTCCGATGCCTATTCCCGTCTCATGTAACGTTTTACCACCTAGACATGTTATACATTTTATGAAAACGAACAATCTTACAGGAGAGAAACAAAGAGAACAAAACAGCCGTAAAAAAAGTCCAAACGAACAGACGGAAGAAATGCTACAACAGATATCAATATAACGATATCAAATGAGAGCGCGAACTCACAGTTGTACTTGGAGTCATGGCCAACAACATTGTCGTTCTCATCCACCAGTATACACCTGCACAGAACAACCATCCCATGTCGACCCCAATCAGAAACCCCAATGAAAGAGCGTCGAAAAACCCCACACTCCGAAAGGCGCAATCGCTAAGAAAACGCCATTTACTTCACACGATTCATCCCCTTTCGTCGTACTTCGCCACCGATCCCTCAAACCAACCACCCAACCCAACTACCGCCCCCATTGATAACACGCCCAACCGACCCACAAAAGCAAGAAAAGAAAACGTTGCTGCCTCAAAGACAACGAAGACGAAGCGCAACTCGTTCACTCACTCATCGTCGAACATGAGACGCCTCTGCAGAGGATCCATGGCCTCCACCTCGGTGTCAACCTCGCGCCCCATAGCGGTCGACTTCACCGACACCCCGAACGCGCGTGCGCCCCGCAAGCTGCTATCAACCGATCGGCGAGGTGCGAAACCCGAGTAGAGGGGGAAAAAGAGCCGGCTGAGGGACGACGACGACGAGGAGGAGGGCGAGAATGAGGAGGGCAAGGAAGGTGGGGGCGCCTTGACGACGATGATGGCCCGAGCTGCTGGCCCGAGCAAGGCCGTGGAGGCCGCCATGCTGGATTGCGCAACGGACAGGAAAGGCATCGTTAGAACGCAAGGGAGTTGAGCCCAGCGGGGCGTGAATTCTCCGCCAAATAAAGCCCCCTAATTCTATAAAAACTTCGCTGCCCGACCCAATCCCGTCACGTGAGACCCACCTAGAATCCTGCCCCTCCCGCATTTCGCCACCTTCCATGTGAATCCCTCCCGTCCCGAGCACCACTCTCATCCGGAGTTCCCCACCCCGAGTTTTGGCCCCGTCTTTTTTCATCCATCTACATCCATTTTCATTTTCTGAATATCTTCTGTTACTTTTAAGTTGTGGTTGTAACTTACACTTTATTTTTTATCGTTCATATGACCTGTCACCTTCCAACTCCGCTTTTTCTGTGCGCCACGTAAGCCATGGCAGTGAGGCTCTGCCGCGCTTCTTCGTGGGTAAGGTTCGGGATTGTGCCGCCGTCCTTAACTTTCCACCACGGCGATCAATCCCACCCTCGTGAATCCAAAGCTTTGCCTACAGACCATTCTTTATTTTTTTGTCGCAGGAGTTGCAGGGCATGGTGCACTTTGCAGCTGACGTTCCACTTTTGCTCTCAGGAACGCTTCCTGGGTCTGTTTTTTCAGCCGCTGCAGTGCTCCGTGGAGTTTTATCCGGTAGTTATTCTGAATTGCAGAGAGTGAGGGTTGTCACAAGGCATTGTTGTGTGTGTGAGAGAGAGTAGGGATGGCTGCGTTCGTGGGAGCGCCGTCGTTGTGCACGGCGAGATTGGTTGTAGAGAAAGATGTGAGCGCGGCGTCTTCTTCATTGGTTGGGGAAAGAGTGCGTGTGGGGATCAGCGCCGTGCGCTTTTGCACAAGGAAGGGACTGCAAATTGTGGGGCGGGCCATGCAGTGGGACGGTGTGAATCAGAGGGAACCACCATGTGATTCCCCGAGGATTTTTTTTGGGTCCAACGGCGGCATAAGTAGCGGGACAAGGGTTTTACGGTTGCGCAGAGCAGGTTCTTGTTACCCTATGTCCCCATTCCGAGGTTTAAGGGTTTAAGGGAAATTGAAGACTTTAAATTGTTTAGAGCAATGTATTTTTGATTGGCCAGTCTTTGCAATTTGTGTTTCTCAGTAGAAGTGGAATTATGTACGCCATAATCCGCGTCAAATCTAGACATAAAGACGCTTGAAACTCTACCTCCGAATGTATTTAGGGTCTGTCTTTGAATTGTTAGTCGATTGAGAGGTTCCCTTCTGTAACGGCCCCTTAGACTCAGTTATGATAGCGTACAATTGCAAGTGAATTACTTGCTCAACCATGGTAACTACACTTATCGTCGTGACCAACCTAACTCGCATTGGTGGATTTTTATACGTTCATAACCGCAATTACCACATTGTTATTTATTATCATTATCATCATCATCATCATCAGAATTATCATATTGAACGGTTATATGCATAATGTATGTCTATATCTACACACCAAAATGATCTGCGCAGTTTCTGTGCAGGCAAGTCCGAAGTTCAAACAAAATGAGGATTTGCCACCTTCCAACGTGCCGAAAAATAAGAAGAAACCCTTTGTAAGACCCGTCCAGCATGGGAGCCATGCGAAGAGAATGAGAAGGAGAGAGATGAGATTATTACCTCCCAAACCCCTGAAGGCTCCTGCAAATGGGTTGCTTGTTAAAAGGCTTATGCCTGTGGCACATATGGTGTATAAAGCATATCAAGTCGTCTTGGATGGTGTTTCACGACTTTTGAAACATATACCTGTCAGAGCCTGCAGGTATACTCACTTTTGAGTGTATATTGAGTTGTTGACTTCTTTGCTTGTTTCATGAATCTTAAGTCTCTCTGGTTGGAACTCTATTTTTTCTAAAGATATGCAGTGCTCACAGAAACCAGATGTCCTTGTTGTGGACATAGCTGTCAACGGTGCACATGTAGTTATTGTTTGGGGCTAGAGACTAAGAGGAGTACTTGATTTTCAGGTGGTGCACGGAAGTTTACGTAGGTAAAGAAGGGCACACAATAAAGACATGTCGAGGGAAGCACTGTACTGGACGCTCTGGAGAGCATTTATGGGTGGCTGGACTCCTTGAAGATATTGTAGTGCCATTGGAGGCTTTTCATCTTGTAGATCGCTTACAGAAGCCCATAAGACACGAGGACAGGTTCAACCACGATAGAATCCCGGCTATTGTAGAATTATGTATTCAGGCAGGTGTGGATCTTCCGGAATTTCCAACAGTGAGGAGGACTGTACCTATTGATCGACCAGGTTGGGATAAGGTTGACAGCGGTGAAGAGCCTACTACATTTAGTGGACTTGATGGAATGAGTAGAAGGAGGAATACAATAGAGGAGATCATTGATACGGATGATGAAAAAGCTGAAACATCTGTGTCTGGCGGTGAAGAACAATCCATGGTAAATGAGGGATTGTTGGATGAAACAGCAGAGGTGGTTGGCACAGAAGACTCTGATGATCGTGAAAGGAGCTCTGAGTCAAAGTTTGATGTCCAGGCTATTAACGATGATGACGACTTAAAGACGATTGCGGAAAAAACGATGCGTGCTTGGACTAAGATGCGTGCAGGAGCTAACCAGCTAATACAGACTTACCCAGTAAGAGCCTGTGGTTATTGCCCTGAAGTTCACATTGGTCGCAGAGGTCATAAATTGCAATTATGTGGCGCGTTCAAGCATCAGTGGCGCAACGGACAGCATGGGTGGCAAGATGCTGCTTTGGATGATTTGATTCCTCCCAGGTTCGCGCTTCGCACATCCTCTTTGCAGTAGTGCTGGTATACGTGAAATCTGCCCACTCTCAGAACACATGAAAATTTATTCTGGATGCTAATCCCATGCAATTATAGTAGATGTGCTTTACTAGCCTCTGCCGGCTTTGAATCAATGAATTTTTTCTATTGGGTTAGCAGTTCAAAAATGCTCGAATTAAATTGAAAAAGAAAAAGTCTGGCACGGTTTCTCTTCAAGGATAGTTTGCTACTCCAAATCACGAGATTGTGGCATGACTTTTAATTTAGATTACCTTATAAAGATAAGTACGTGAAGCAATACTTTGAGTTTTAAGTTTGTGCATACATAAAGAAATTGCATATGCTGTGTGCAGATATGTTTGGCATGTGCGAGATGTAAACGGGCCGCCGTTGAACAACTCTCTTTCGAAATACTATGGTAAAGCCCCTGCTATTGTGGAGTTATGCGTTCAAGCAGGTGCTGCGATTCCCATGAAGTATAAGCCGCTCATGCGGCTTGATGTAATTATACCAGATTTAGATGAGCTTGAAATGGTTGCCTAGTTTGAAATACCTTCCATCTTAGTGATGTGTCGTATTTCCTAGCAAACTAGCGGCTTTCAACCAAGTTGATTAAATTACTACCATTTTTTTAGAATGGGCAGCCTTTTTGGACTTGTTGAAGTTCCTACCATGGAAGATACAACACTGAAAGGTTGAATGGAGCAGCATGTGCAATTTTATTTTTTATAAAAACTTGTTACCTCATCTCGTCTGGTGGGTTGTATGTATGTGGGTCGTGGTAAGTTGATGACTATTTGGCATGCCAGGCAACTAGTTGAACAATGTTTTAAATTTCGTTCACAACTTTTTAACAGGCTGATAATTATTTTAGTCATGCGCATTATGCATATCATTGAAAATTTGTGCAGAGTGTCCACTATGCCATCACAATTCCACCTAATATAGAAACGGATGTTGAAATCTGCCACAACTTGAGGAGGTTGAGGATTTATTCGAGACTTACAATCCGTAGCCATTACGATCGAGGTTGAGTTGCATCCATAGATACCCCTCATAAACAGTGACTGCTTCACATCTTGCGTCTCAAAATGCGAATGCCTAGAATTGCCTCGCATTTGTAACTCCTTTCAAATAAAATATTTCAAATAAAATATTTGAAATATTAATAGCTCAAAAGATCTATCAACCATCTTTAAAAAGAACAAAGATCAAAGTATGTAGTAAATATAATTTTTCACATTTTAGATTTCGTCAACATATGATAACCACTCCTTGTAAAACTTGTTTCTAAAGAGATGAAGTAATATTACTAATACATATATTTATTCTAATATTTTCATATATAATTAAATAGAAGTAGATAAAAATAGATTTATTTCATGATATTTTTTAGAAAAGCTTTTTAGAAGCTTTATAGACACTACATTGACTTTATATGTATTTTTTGAAATATTATCTTCTTTGATAATTAGAATATTCATTTTTTTATTGTGTTGTTTCTTTGGATAATATTTAGTGATGTACTTTATTTCTCCATAATATAAATTCCATCCTTCTTAACAATAACTAGTCTGTTTTTGCTTAATAAGAAGTTTAAAATATGCCATATCAATTTATATATTCTCTACTTTCAAAGATATGTGTTAAGAAGAAATTGATGTTGCTATGAAATTACAATAACATTAAGATCTACTTATACAATTTTAAGATCAAAATTTAAAAAGTCAATTATCATACTTTACATCAAAATTAATTGCTTGACTCAATGTTTGAGGATCAAATAAACTGAGCATCAATTTCTTTATATCATATCATAATCTATAAAAAAATTGGTTGATGAGTGCAACATCATCTTATTTGATATTAATTACAAGTTATTAAAATTATTAAGCATATAATATTATAGATTGATTTTCTTGTTACAAAATATAGATCTAATTTATTACAATACAAATTACATCGTATTTTCTATACATAACTGAAAACTCCACTAAAAAAGCTTTCAAATTATCTAATATTAGATCACATCATTTAAAAAAAGATGAAAACCATGATAATGCAGAACCAAAAAGTAGTGTTCTAATAAACTCAATTTGTAATCTTAAAGTTGAATAGCTTTAGAATTGAAGTTCAATTGTCAATTGTACTTGATTGATGAGTCTTCAAAATTTTGATTTTGTATTATCAAACTTCTCAAGTAAGATAGTTCTTGGTTCTATAATGCTTGAATGGTATTCTATCATAGAAAATAAGACATGATTTAGAACAGATGTTCAAAGAACTCCTATCATCTCTATATCTCTACTTTCTATCATTCTTCTTCTTCTTTGTGGTGGTAAATTGAATTAATATATTATAAGCATTAATTTTATTAATTATTCTTATATTTGTACTATTACGCTATTCATTTTGACAAGCTTTGCTATAATAACACTTAAAAGAAAAGAAAAGAAAAGAAAAGAAAAGAAAAGAAAAGAAAAACTTAAGAGCAAAAAAAATAATATTTAGTATAGAAGAGGATAATTCATAACTTCTATTACATTTATTTTTTATCAAGAAAAAAGAATAATCCATTCTTAATCAAAAAAGATAAAACTTTAATATTATAAGTGTACTCTTGTTAATTTATCAAGGACAAAAATTTAATAAAAAAAATAAACAAATGAGACTTTTTCAAAGATGTTTAACAAAATAGAAATAAAGAAGTATTTATATTAAAAAGAAACTAGAATAGCTATTGCCAAAAGACAAAAAAACTAAAGACTCCTTGAAACTAAATTAGAAGCAAGAAAGGAATCAATAAGAGTGAAAAAGGCTTCATTCTTGCCTCTATATATATTATCTACCTAAGAGCTATGTGATAACATTCTATAAGACTTCCAAAACATGTTGACTTTGTAAAACATGTAATTTAGCTTATAAGAAAAGTTTTTTATATGGACGCCACATAGTTAGCTTGTTCTACAACCTACCAATATATATGGCATATGATTAATTTGTTGACCAAATTTCTAACCTATCAATTAGATACAAACATATGTTAAGTCAAAGCAACATTTATGAAGCTTCTAAGAATCTTCTCTAAAAGATATTATAAAATTAATATATTTTTACTTGTTTCTATTTATTCATATTATCCAAGTAATAATTATAATAAATATATGTCTATAATAATGATTATAATTAGTAAAAAATAGAGATTAATTTTCCAATGATGCTTTTCTTTGAGCTAGTTCTGTATAGAATTATTGAGTATTATATAATGAAGTGATTGTTAAGGATTATAAGTCTTATTGCCAATTTTTGGTAGTAAGTGATTAGAAAAGAGAGTTGATCTTGTACCAATATGTATATTGTTATAGCAAGTCTAAAGAACTAATAATCATTTCTAGCAAGGGACAATGATCTCACTATTATCAAGCCATTCTGTCATTTTTTGAGGTATAGGATAAAGAAAGATATTTGCTGAGGTTGTCTAAACATTGCTTAGTTGATTACTATTATGACTGCCATTGTGCTTGATTTTTATTGCAAGCTTAGGTAAAATTATTAATAAACTTAGAAAGAGTATGAGATGCATCTATACTATAGACCAAAGAGTCATAACATACCAAGTTGGAATGTAAAAATGGAAGTGATCGATATATTATGATGTAAAGAATTTAGAAGAATAGGAGTCAAAGTATAATAATTTATAGTAATTGCTTATGACGAACATTGAGAAATAAAGAATGAGAGATGGAAATGAAAATAGAAATTAAAGATAGAGGAGATAAGTTTGAGACTAGCGATAATAAATAAGAGAAGAGAACAATAACATGGAACTAAGAATAGTGGACAAAAATAGGAATAATGCCAAAGAAATGAATCTCAAAGAACTAAAAGTTTAATATATTCTTTGGCCACTCAAAAATACTAAGAAATGATTCAAAAGTGGTATTGTATTAAATGAGAATGACTATTGTCAAAGAAAAGAAAACTAGAAAGACTTGAAATAAGACTAAAGATTAAAAAGGTATTGATAAGAGTGAAAAAGGCTTCATTCTTGCTTCTATATATACTATCTAACTAAAAGCTATGTAGCGACATTCTATAGGACCTCTAATATGTGTCCAACTTGCAAGATATATATCTAACTTACAAAATATATATATATATATATATATATATATATTTGTGTGTGTGTATGTGTGTATGTGTATGCATCACATTATGAGCTTGCTCACAAGCTATTAACTTGAACAACACTTGGTTAACTTGTTGGCCAAGTTTTTAACCTACCAATCAATTATAAACATATCTAAAGTGAAATACATGTTTATGAAGCTTTTAAGAAGCTTCACCATAAGATATTATCAAATCTATCTATATTTATCTTCTATCTAACACTTCATATTTAGACAAATATGTATGTTCATGAAAAATAGAAAAACTTGATATTAGAGATTTGAAACAAGAGATAAGGAATATGGAATAGGAATAGGGACATGGGATTAGGAATGGGAGATTGAGATGGAAATGGATGGAATCAATCATGAAATAAGAAGGTGTGACTTTAACAACTCTCTATATATATATATATATATTCATACATACATACTTAATGATTGTTAAATAATTAACATAATTGTAAGAAAACTTAATTATAAAAATATATAAAGAAATAATAATAATAGTAAGATGAATAGACTAATCAAACAACTTAAGAATCCTAGCAAAAACCACACATGCATTTATTTTCTTTTTAATTTTTTTGGAGGATAATTCATTCTTTAGTTGAAAGAAATGACTGTGTATATTTATAAAAAAAATGAAATATATTGTGTAGAATACTAGGTTCAACAAAAGAATAGAAATTTATAGCTTTATCTTTTTTGTCATTATTTGCAATGATTTATGTGGAAATAGGTAGAGATCATAATCCTGATTATCTCTTACTTCAAGAATTTTAACTGGAGGTCAAAGATTTTAATTTATTTCTCATTATTCTTTTCACCAAGAAAACTACAAACTTTAGATTTAGATTTTATTTGTAAAAGAAAAAAAGAAAAAAAGAAAAACAAATAGAAGACGAACAAATCTCGCATTACTGAGACAACTGATAAGAACATGCTCAAAGTTTACATGAAGAATATTAAATCTCTTTACAGATTTTATTCTAATTAATAACAGATAATGATTAGTATTCTTTGGAGGTCAGTTGGGTCAGGAAAATGGCGACTGAGTCCCGTCAGCAAAGAAGAGGAATAAAGCACTGCCACCCTGGCAAGAGACGCTGCCAGCACCTCGTTACAGGAAGCAGGGAAAGACAAACACTAATAATAATAACAATAATTAATATTAAATAAATAACAGAAATTAAAAAAGGGGAGGTGGGGCGTGACAACCAAGGAGCAACCATTGAGACTGGGAGAGACCTTGAGATGATGCTTGGACCTAGATCAATAAATTAGATGGATAGATAGATATATAGAGAGATAGATTAGATGTTGTGCAGGGGTCGTCATGGGACAGCTCAGCAGCAGCAGCAGCCCCAGTTTCTAACCGTCATCTCCCATTTGTGAGTGTGTACTTAGAAACGGCTTTCTGGTACTTACAATGGTTCCCATGCCCGAATATTCCTGTTTTTGCATGGCATGCAACTTGGCAGAGAGAGGCTCTCATGTCCACATGGGTCTGGGCACTGGCGGGTTGTTTAACCCCCACAGTCAGTCAAAGGTGTGATAAAATTGACATGTGATGAAATAAGAAGTACTAGGTGAGAACAGGGAAATGGAAAAGGAATAAAAATTAAAGGAACAGAAAAAAAAGGGGGGGAGGGGGGTGGGACCATAACCTTCAGGTGCAAGTATTAACGCAAATATTGATTACATTGTTTCTTTTTTCAATTAACACCTCGTGGGAAGCCATTTGGGTGATCAACGTGTTTTTTTATTTATTTTTATTTGGTCCTACACTTGACGAATGGAATGTTGAGTTGTTGATAAAACTTAATTCGTGGATGACGAAGACAAGTGAGTCCTGTTGAAGCTTACGAATGCCTTAACAGGAAGACTTTGGATTTGCAGCTTCAAACTTGCAATGAATTTCATAATATGATTCGATTCTTTCTTTTGGTTACACCTTTCGCAATAATATCCATTCATGATTTTTATCCAATGGATCCATAGTCTACTTTTTTACGAGACTATTCTGAACTGAGGCAGTTGTGTTGAGGAAATGAAGTACAAGATCCGAGTTTGGTCAGATCGAATATAATGTGGTTGTAATCTTGTCCAAAATTAAGTTGTATGGTTCATAAAAAAATAAAATGCCATGACTGAATTGAATGCCATCGTTGAGCGAAAACACGAGCCCAAACACACACACATATATGAATAGAAAGTCTCTTCATATATCAAATTGAAGTGTTGAACTAGTTGTTCAGATAGCTCATTCTTTATTCATGTATCATACATGAGTAGTGATGACTTCAGAGTCAACAGGTCTGGGAATCACCCCCAAGTCATACATCAAGGAGATCGGAGGTTGAGTTTAATTCACACAGATAACCAGGCCCTGCTCAAACTGGCATGCCCAATTACTCCAAAAACCATTCTATACAGTTTGATCGTAGAAGTGTAACCATACACATTATCCAACAATCGGTAAGCTACCAGCAGTAATTCTATTATTTACTACTGCCAACAGAAGGACAAGCTCATGATCGTCGTTTAAAACCATTCAATTCAAGATTCAGCTGCCTCAGCTTCACAAAAATGATATGGAGTACCTAGGAGGTTAAGTTTATGAAGAGCAAAGTTCAAGTTTCACGTGACTACCTGGTGCTTGGACACTGCTGGGACTCCAAAATTTCAACCTTTCAAAATCGACGAGTGCAATGCAACCTTCATGGAATTTGAGTGGTGGAGAGTTCACTGGCTAAGCTTTCCATCCAAATGCACCAATATTAAGACGTATTGTTGCCTTGACCACGTAGAATGGAATTCTTCAGCAAACGAACGTTGTCGTTTGCACGCTTCTGATTTGAACGAGAAAAATACTTAATGAAGTCCAGCATACTGCATCAGCATTTTACTTACCGACTTTAATACTGCAACCACAACAAGGAAAAGACCAGAAAATTAAGAACATACAATGATAAGTATATTGAGCATCACCACGGACAACTCAAAATCATTCTTTGCTGAAAGGGTGCGAAAAAGACACAACTCAGAAGCAACCAAAGACCATCATAATGTACAGCAAAGCCATACCTGCGATGATTTCATTTGGGCAAGCATGAACAGTTTACAGGAATAAAACCCATTTCATACATAATCATGTTCTTTCAAGGTTAAAATGTTACAAGGGCGCCCAGAAACCTTGTGGTAATCCTCTGCTATGCATCGAGAAGCAGGGACCACCGGAGAAAAAACAGGAGGTTGAAGTTGGTTGAAGGTGTAAACTAAGCTCAACTGAGCATCGTATACAGAGAAAAAGTACGATATATTTTTTTTCGTTTGAGATCTGATACGTTCTAAAAGCTCGCACTAAAGATTGCCCATTGTACGACGTCATATTTTTTTGGATACAAGAGGCAGTTTACTCTTAATTAGTAGGGCTTCCAACACGTCAAGCCGCAATGTTTCTAATTTCTACATTAATGTGTAAGTTTGAGATTCACCGAAAAGCACGATCGGTACACAAATTGAACTTGGAGATCACTTGGACGTGTGAAGTTTCATAAAACTGATGACCACAAATTTTAATGTTCCACAAAAAATGGGTCTACAACCTGACGCCAGGACAATAGAATGAAGCTGCCAACCCACCAGAATCATACGTGTGTAGCATTTACAAACTCTTCGCCTCCAACGCACTTGTCACCCAATTAATGCTTTTCGGCCTTCTCAGATTTACCCGCTTCCACCTCCCTTGGCTTAACATGTTCACCTCTAAGATTGTCAAGGACAACCAACAATTCCAATTCAGTACACAGCTCAAAGGCCGAAGTTCCGGGAAGTAAGCTAGCTCAGGAAATGCAATAAAAGGTGCATAATGTACAAAAACCCTGATAATCAAGACAAAAGAATCCTAGGAAACGACACAAACCCTAAAATATAAAAATCATCAGGTAAAACTGCGTAATTGAGAACACAAAAACCTCGCAGAACCAAAAACGTGAATAAAGCAACAGAGATTTACTTAGAACGAGAAGTAGCTTGTTCCTGTTCCAACCAGTTGCGCACGTGCTTAAGATTTCTCCGAAGATTAACAGCTGATCGGCGCACATCCCCCTTGAGCAAGACGAATCCAGCTCCTACCGCCGCCACCGTCAAGAGAAAATTGCTCAACGCCATGGCAACTCAACAGTCGCTCGCCTGCTCAACGCCAGAATAGACTCCCGCACTCTCCAGTGAATGTTTCCTTCCACTTCTGGAATCGAAGATTGAACAAACCCTAATCAAGCTCTCGCTCCCCCCTCAAATGCGGTGGTGTGGTGGGAGTGAAGAAGAAGTAGAGCCTCATTGCCCCACGGTTATAGATCCCAGGTTTCCACGGTTTTATTGTCGACACGGTCATGCAGTCTATCTCAAGAAATTTGGTCTGTAAGCAAACATATGAATACTTGTTTTATTTTTGGGACATGAATTTTCTGATTCATTTCTTTATTTATTTACTAAATATTAAATATAATTAAAGGATTGACTAAAAGAACATTTTCAGAAATAGATTGTATTAAGGTAAGATTTCAAATTAATAAAAGAAACTAATGATAATGGATGAATATGTGTGTTAGGAAAAATAAATTGGGTTAAAATACTTATATGTCAAAGTGAATTCAAGAGTAATATAATTTTCGAATATACTACGATAAGACAAGCTATGTTACATGAAACGGAAGGTGCAACATTATACATGATAAAATATCACGAGCTTGCCCTTAAATGTCATTCGTGTTTTTACATTGCTCTTCGTTACACTTCAGGTGCAGTTAAACCTTTGTGGCAAAGGATGCCAACAGTACAAGAGTAGTGGAGTAAGTTTTATAATTTTTTTTTTCAAAATCCTGCATTCTGTATTGCATGTTGTGAACAAGTGAAGTTGCGAACAAGTGAAGTTGTGAACGATTCACGAAAGCTTGCAAAATTTCTCCATCGCACTGCGATATAGAGTTTTTCCGAAATTGTCGGCTATTGTTGCCTTTGTGTTCAATTCAAATGCCAAATCAGGATGAATACGCTACACTCACGTTCACGCTGGTCCAACACTTTGAGCAAGAAAAAAACCTTGTATACGTATCCCTATTTCATCTCCAATGCAAACGAATGTTTCACAAATCCTAAGCCTGAAAATTGACAGTGAACCTGCTGATCGTGATTTGGTTGGACCATCTCTGCGAAGCCACAGGTGCACAGATTCCTAAGTGCCAATTATTTCTGCCATTTTGCTTCTTAAGCTGATGCTGGTGTACCAACGATGGCTGCTTGTCCAGGACCAAGTCTAGCTTTCGTTTCCGTCTTCTCTTCAGGACCTTCGTCGTCTTTGGATAGAGGTACTGTCTTGACCTGATCACACAAGTTGCCACAGATTGTAGAAAGTTGGAATGTTGAATTCACGATACAAATTGAATACAATAGTTGACGATTATGTAATTGCAAGTGCAAGTGAAGGATTGGATGAGGGAGTGTAAGGCTGCGCACCAATTCACGGAATTTCAGAGTGTAGAACATCTCTAAGTATCGGCGAGCTTCGCGTCGGTGCAGGTTGGAGACGTACTTCCAAAAGCCGTATACGCGGGTAAGGGTCATCAAGCGCTCAGCGTAAAGTTTCCAGGTGAAGCTGCGTGCACGTTAACGCATGTTAGATACATTTTATGAAACATTATAGGCTTAGAGTTGCTACCAACCTTTAGTCATTGAGATGAGATGTGAGCCGTGGGCGGTGGCATGACATTTACCTACTATATATGCGTTGCAGAGCAGCCTCAGAAATTTTTGTCCAAAAGCTAGAGTCAGATTTGACTTTCTCGAAGAATGTAACAAGCTCGTCTGCCACTTCATCAGGATGGTAAGGATCAATGTGAAATCCCGAAATTCCATGTTCTATGATCTCTGCGGGACCACCATGTAGTGTTGCAAACGTGGGAAGTCCGCATGTCATTGCCTCCACTACTGTCAGACCAAATCCTTCATACAACGCAGGTTGCACAAAGACACCACCCGCCTCTGCAATGTACCGATACAATTCCCCATTCTGGACTCGGTTAGTCTGCGAGCGGATCCATCTGAAGCTGTTGTGTAAGTTGTACTCCTTGATGAAGTCGTGCATTTTCGCAATCTCTTTTACTTCTTCCCTGTCTTTCGACTTTGCAGGATTGATCTCTCCTCCAACAATGACCAAGTTCGTCAATTCCTTTAGTTTGTTGTTCTTCCCGTATAGTTCCACCAGGCCAGTCAGATTCTTTACTTTGTCGAGACGTGCCATTGTGAAGAGAATAGGCTTGCTCTTGTCTATGACACCACTGCATACCACACAATAGCTCAAATGCTCAATAAATGACAAACAAATGACATTGTGGCGGGCTTCCGTCTCTTGGAAAAATAAAACTACTTACTGTGGATAGCAAGATACAGTACTGTTTGGGTATGTGCAGCTTACATGTGCTCATCTGACTGTTCAGTACCGAACAAGAGGTCCTCGATAGTTGGGTGCAACTTTGTCAGCCGGCGCTCTTTGTCTGTGTAAGGAAAATAAACATCCATGTCAGCACCTGGTGACACGATGTTAAATTTTGGATCGAAGACGTTCACGCCATTCACAACCCGGTACAATCCTGGCATCGTAAACGCTTGGTGGCTCTCGTATTGTCCAACAGTTTTGGCACTGCCAGCAATCTCTTGATATGTACTGGTGATGATAAAGTCGGCATGGTTCATGGCGATGAGATCGGCTGTAAATTGGCATGAGAAATGATACTTTTCCTCAAACTTCTTCCAGTAGATGTCTGAGTCAGGGTACTTTGTTTTCTCCAGTGCGTGGGCAATTGTACACTGCAAAGTTTTCACGAAAGTAAAGTTTTTTGTAAGTTAGGCTCTGAAACTAGGAAAACAAGAATAAAGAATACCTGAAAAATGCAATGGTATCAGTGGTTTAAACTTTGGACTTCATCAACATCTAGGAGTGAAGTAAATGTACGGACCTGCGTCACCCCAAGTTGCTGACACATTAAAGTGGCCACCAGGTTGCCGTCGCTGTAGTTGCCGATGATCAGGTCCGGTGGCCCCGCGAGATCCGTGCTAATCTCTCGTGCTGCCTCCTGTGTACACAATATCATATGGCCGCATAAGATTTCCGAGTGCTTCAAGTGTCAGTGCCTCTGAAAAGGAAATACTGCTCAAATATTCAGAGAACGCGACTATTTCTGGATTGTTCTGACCTGAGCATATGTTTCCAAATAGGGGTAAACATCGAATCGCGAAATCCAGTTATTCAAGACTTTTCCATCGTGGCGGAATGGGATTCGTAAGATGTGTGAGAATCGGCTGCCAGTAACCTTTTCAATACGCTGATTGCAAGTAGTTCCAATGGCGTTGGGGATGAGACGTGTCAGCTGTCAAAAATGCCGGGGCGTTAATTCAACTATTTAAGACCAAGCTTTTCAGACAAGGAAAAGCTCACTGGTCTATGAGAAGGATTTCTGCAAAATGAGTGCTGAATAGCAATGTACGCAGAAGTATCAAAAGTTTTTGTGGTATAAAAGAAGAACTTGAGAGATTAGGTCTTACAATGACAATCTGTGGTATGATGTCCAGCCCTTGCAGCTGCAGATTCTCAAGCATTTCGTTTTCCAGAGCTCTGACTTGGTCCAAAATGTACACGACCTGCATTACAAATAAATACCAAAACTTTTAAAACCTCCAAATTTTGAGCAATGGTTGTGGTGAAAGATGACGATGTTGCAAGTATACCTAGAATTCAATCTAGTGCTGTTTAGAATCGATGATAAATTTCGGTGTGAGATTTTGTAGGTTGTACCTGACCACCAGTATCCGGCAAGCCGAGGACACCTTCTTGACCAAAGTACCCGTGGGGAGAAACAATCACAACACTGAAGACCATGGGAATGCGGGCGAGAAATTTCTCCAATGTATCTGGGTCGGGAGCCTGGAGTAAATCTTGCAGCATTTTTATCGTCTCCAGAGCACGACCTGCTGAATTTCCCCAACCTTTTTCTAATCCTAAACCCTGCAATCTGCATATGGTAACATAAATCGTAAATTACTCATTGTTTATATCTCAATCAAAGTTTGCCTTGGAAATCATAAATTGACTGGTAAGTTGACAATCTCTACGGCTGAGAGTGCTTTCAAGAGACTAATACTAATCTCTATTTTTTGTAGGAACCTATGAATACTAGCAGTTGGGAGAATCACTTACTGGTGCGCGAAGTCCGCAAACGGAGTTTTCTCAGGGAGCTTGCTTAGAGCTTCCTCTGCTTTGACCAATTGTGGACGAAGTCTTACCAAGCTCGCAATTCGGTCATTGAGCATCAAAGTCTGCACTATTCACCATATTCTATAAATTTGAGGACCTGAAAATCACTCTTAATTGCAGAAGCGATGCACAGTACATCAATGTGATTCCATAGATATAAATTTCCATAGCATTTGAGAAGGGCGTGCATCCACCAGTTCGCCAATACAAACCATTTAAACCTCTGATTACCTGTCCACGATAGGTGTGCATTCGAAGAAATTCGAACAACGGTTCCATGCTGTCGGGGGTATGGAACAATTTCGAAGACAAGTGCCGGTTCAAAAACTGGACGCCATGGCCGATTGAGGAGGGTCTTGTCATGTGAGGGAAATTAGCGTTGAAAGGCGCAAAATCCAGCTCCAGCACAAATGGATCCTCTCCGCTGCACGCATTGGAATTTATTAGCATAATCCATTTGCGATGTTCACAATAATAAGCTGGGGGAATAAATGGAAACGATTTGAAAGAAGATTCGGGGTACGTACTCAGTGCCATTGGCAAGCTGTTCTTTGAAACTCAAATACTCGGACACAGAGAGCTCCTCCAGGGTAAGCTCCTCTACGTTGATGCGCACATATTCCCAAATTCCAGGCCTTGGACGCACTGCAAAGCCAACCCACGGCGGCAGCACCATAGCCTCCTGACAATTCTGTAGAAGATTTCCAAATGCACTGTCCTTAATCTCAGCAACCTGGTCTGCATCACCCAAGTTGTTCAGTTCATCGAGGAGATGATGAGGCTGCAGAATTGTACGCCCCTGTTTGACATAACTGCAACACATTGCACAAGCAGACGTCAGAATCGGTTGAAGAACATATACAGCAGAGAACAGCATCTTAGACTCCGAAGAACCTGCATACAAGTCAAGGAACAGACAATGGCAAGGTCACGACGCTGGAAGACAAACAAAGTTGTGAGTTTGGATGCGAATACTGAAAAAACAATCCTCGGGTAAACATTACAAACTGGGAAAAAAAGCAGGATTGGGATTGTTACCGCGAGAGAAGATCGAGAATTAAGTTTCGATTGCTCTGCACCACTTTTTGAACTCGCTCCTGAATGCTATTCAGACGTCTTAAGGCGGGTTGTGTCGCCATGTTCTCACACGTCGCGTGCACTTGAACAGGCCTGCAAAGAGACCAAAGGTTGGTAAGCACCACGAGAATACTATTACGCCGCGGCTCAGCTCCTTGCTCAAGTGGCGTCTTTTTCGATGAAGAACCAAATCTAGAAGTATTGGAGAGGGGGAGCTCAAGCGAATAGTAAACTCTGCTCCCACAACTCGGTTTTCGGTACGAGGATTAGCAGCCTTAACATATAACAGGAAACCTAATCAATCGAATAGGCTGAGTATTGCGCAGCTTCGACACACAGAATATTACTGAGGACGTCAAACTCAACAGTGGAATGGTCCAGGATCAGCATAAGTGCTGCGGGAGCTGAAGATTTTGCTCTTCTGTAATTGTAGTTAACGGCAATCGCAGTGCTAGACCAGACAATTCCACGGCAGCTGTGATGCTAAACCAGACAATTACACGGTCATCGCAGTTCTACACCAGACAGTTCCCTGGCAATCGTAGGGGCAACGAACACAACTACACTGTTCTAGATCGGTTCTTGGGATAGAGAGCAACACACCTTTTTCGAATCAGCTGAAAACAATTGTGGAACCACTCGCCAACAACGAGTTTGTATAGCTAACTGCCCTACTGACTACAAGTAATCAATCACGTCAGGGATATCCTTCTGAATGATAAGAATCGCACTTCCTCGAGCGTACAAGAGACACGTATTAAACTCGCAAGAATTTGGTTCCTATTTAACCCACAGAATCGAAGCACTCTGAAGTATTTTCGTGACTCAGCAGCAACTGAAACAGAGTCGTCGGAATTAATTATTCATCTATTTACATAATAACTTTCCATTGCACCAAGTGGCCGTCGACTCAAATATCGCACATAGATGTGGGAACAAAGATAATTCTGGCAGTTAAACGCCAAACCAGCATCCTCGAATTTCCTGCAGCCAAAACCGGTGACCTACTGACGAGGTCAAAGCATCTAGACCACTTCGATTTGGACACAAGACATTCGACCAGCATTTCCCAGCTCCGAAGTGGCAGATTTAGCTTGTACGCTACCAATCGTGTCGAAGAAACTCCGAAGAAACTTCTCGCGCTCGTGTGTTGGATATATATTACGATATTTACCTGCATGCATTGGACTAATGTAATATTTCCAGGACAGCTTGCACGTGACAGCTTGTGTTGACACATCTGGACGACACAGGTCCTACAGCTCGTCACGACTGTGCCTGTGATTGCAATCGGGCCAACCCGATGTGAAGATTGGTCAGATTGTTAAAAGGAAAAAAACGCTAATTGTACGTACAACAGAAGGTAACGGTAAAAGACAAGCTTTGAGGATCAAGTAATCCTCACATTCTGCAAATCTGTAGTAGAAGTCAGACCAATGAAGGTGAATTTGATATGGGGGAAACCCATAAAATGTTCGAATAATCATGCTTCACAAAGCAAACTTGGAGCGCTGAGTATGTGGTGTTGTGAAGGGGAAAATAAGGGGAAAATCGTTTTGTTCACCAGAATCTAACATCGGTTTTATCTTGATAGAAAACATGTAACAGTGCATTAGCGCTGAAGTTTAGGTTTCATATTCGTACGATTAATCTTCTTCGGAGTTGTCCATCTGCTTTGGATTCACCTTTCCGACCCCCCCCCCAATGTAACTATTGCACTGGAATACAGTTTACACTCGTGTTGTACATTCGAGCATATTCCTGGTACCACCGAGCGATGCGCAGTTTAAATAGTTTATACAAGAAGAGGAGTCAGCAACGAGAGCACCACTACCATATCTTCAAGTCCCTGCTTAAATATACCTGCCCGTTTAACGTCAGCGATGGACATTCCCAATCTGAGCAGATATACAATTAAGACGATGTAACTTCGTCTCTGCTACGTGAACTCATTCCAAAACCAACCCATCGAAGAGATGGAGCCAAATCAGATCACCCGCAGCTAAATCAAGTTCAAAGTCATACGCTTCCTGTTTGTCCTATGCCCGAGGTGACAGTGGTGCAGTCTACCTTGGAACTTACGCAACCTCTGAAACAACAATGTGGCCGCAACTTCCAGAATCCGTGCCCACAACCTTGGAGGACTTACAATCCTCTCTTGTGGCTTCCGGGCATATCCGCGGGCCGGAAAAATGATGCTCTCAACAGTAAAAAGAACCTTGGATTCGGTGTGAGCAAGGGAGAACTGTCAGCCCACGTGAGATAGGCTTTCATTAACATATCGTAACCAGTGATTCACCCATTGCGTATCAATCTCAACGTCTCCGGTGCGGCGCAAATGAGATCAAAACCTTGTCGCTGAGGAAGTTCCAGTGCACGGTGGTTGATTCTACACCTACTTTGTGTGGAAGCCGTATACTGAGAGGTTAGTTCGTGAATCTTCTAAACAGTTCCCATTCCAGATGTTGGTCAGGGTGCAGATTCTCTTACTCGAACACCGTCTTGAGATGCGTGACACAGCGATTGCAATGTTTGATGGGACTTGCCCATTCAGCATTACACGTACACAATCTGCTACGGCGAACGTTTGTTGTTTCCTACACACCGCAAAACATTTCAGCGCCACTTGAGGAGTAAATCATTAATTTTTTTCCCAATTTTTCAAACCCAAATTTTCTTTCGTGTTTCTTGAGATTTATACCGTCTCACTACGTTATATTTCCAAGTGTATCCCGTCATTGCACACCCACCCTGCTGAGTAAGTCATACTTTTCTGCGTTACAGTGGTTGTACAATTCATATGTCTCTTTAGCAACAGTTAACCCACAAACTTTCTGGCCATATATGCAAATCATGCTCTACTAAACAACATCGTCCTTTGTGCAAGGTGTCACATCTACTGGCCACTTGAAACCTTTCATCTCCTTCGTTCTCTTGTGTCACTTCGCTGCACTTAATTACAATAACGCTTTTCTTCAATTAAATCAGCCATAATGGTAACCCCATCTTCTATTCCATATTTTGATGGGCTAAAAATCGGTTGGCTTATCCATATCGGGCATAAGTCTTATCGCACCCCTAAAAATCTAGAAATACAATCAGCATACTGTAAAACGGAAGAGAAATCGATTTCCTCTCCTACAGGGAACGGGAATGATGGGTACATGTCACTAATCAGTGATTCACACCTTCGCTACTTCAAATATATATAAATATATGTATATATATATATATATATATATAGATTGTACATCCAAAATCTCAATAATTAGATACTCGAGAGTTGTAACCATTTCCGAAGGGTGGTCGATTGCCGAGCCTGATACGATCATCTTCTAGAACATTCAAGGTCGGAGCAAGCAACTTTGTGTAGCGATCGAAGTAGAGAAGCTGCTTCAGGAGTAATCCGAATTCTCTCGGAAACTTCAGTCCATAATCCTCACTCACACGAACCTTCATCCAAGGAAGAGATATGTCATTACAGCAGGGGTGTCGGAAACATCACAGGCCAGTGCTAGCCGGGTTTGTGTGAGCGCGACTACTATCATGCAGGCAGCAAGCTCCAGTGAACCCTATCAACAAAAATAAGCATAGAATAGATCACATCTTGCCAAAAGAGCTTAATTCAAGGATGCTCTAAATATAAGAGGCAAGGGGTAGAGCCAAAAAATTCGAGGAGTCTGAAAATTCATACCACATCCAGCAAAAGATTGTTCACTTGTTGCTCGTCGACTGCTAAAGATGCAGCTATAGTAGCATTCTGAGGCCCTCCAGCAGTTGAGATGATCACATTTGTATCAAGGTCCTGAGGCATAAGACGCTCTAATCAGATGATTATTCGGAATTGCAATGAACAGAGCGGAGAATTCAGAAAGTAAACATACACTCATGACCGATCACGGAGAACTTGGTAAACCGAGGTTCATTCTGTTTCTAGATGAACTGAAAATCTGGCTAGCGCATAGAATTATCATGGACTAAAGTAACTACACCTGAACAGCTGTGAAAATCTTCTCCAAGTCCCTTCCAAAGCTTGGAATGTCTACAGCAGTGTCTGTTGCACCCATCTGTACCAGTGCCGCTGCCATAGCGTTGTACTGGCCATTCCCAATTGAAGTAAAAAACGTCTCCACTGCTGCCCAAGTGGCTGGAGATATCCTCCCAACTATACCTGATCATCCAAAATATAAGCACAGGGTCCAAGTCAACATCTTCAGAATATGTGATATGTGCAATAAAGTAACCATTTTAGACGTCTCAGCTTAAACTTATGGTACCAAAGTTCTCTTTGCCACAGATTTTCGGCACATTGTGTTGCGTAATAACATAGACCAACCGAAGTCAATGAAGCCAACACGCCCATCGTTGAGCACCAGCAAGTTTCCAGCATGAACGTCTGCATGGAACGTCTCACATGCCAACAAGCTCCCAAACCTACAAGTTGTCACAACATTAGCTGCAGGTACTTCTACATACACTACATACTTCTACGTGCAAAAAGACTTCTCTACAAGCCAACTTCTAAATGATAATCAGAAGCATACAAACACACGCAGAATCCGTATTTAATCATGCTCTTAGAAAGGAACCTGGAATAGAAGCCACAAGCTACACTTCATAGTGAACGCCATGTTGTAGATTGACCAAGAAAATATACTAGAATCACATTCTTATCTTTAACAGGTAAATCGAAACATGAAAAAATTCTCACCAAACATTGAGAGCAGTTATCAACGTCGTTTCTGGGTTTGGAACAATGGAACGGATGGAAACTAGATCTGTGAGTGGAACACCAAAAAGTCGCTCCATTGTAAGCACACGTTCAGTGCTACAATGACGGTACACAGCAGGGGCAGTGGCCTGGTTCGAAAGTCCAAGGGAATCCACATAATTTCTGAAAGCTTCAATATTCAAAGCTTCCTTCCTGAAATCAACTTCTTCCAGCATAGATGCCCTTATATCTCCCAGGATTGAAACCTGCACGTATACGACATTTTAAGATAGCACACATATCCCTCTCTATTAGCATACGCCATCAGAGAGTTAGTTTCCTGCAAGTCTGAATTTCATTTGTTAAATGAAAAAGTTATTACATACATGACATAATTACGCGGGTGCCTGAAGTAATATTGACAGCCAGAACAGTATTTATTCAGAGATTTTACGATTTAAAAACATTAAACCTTCATGACATTGAACACTAATTCAGAACACCTCTCTAGTGCAATAACATGTATTTACACGTCAGACAATTACAAAAGACATGAGACAGATGTTCAGGGATTGCAGTGGAACTCTTTCGACCAGATGGGAGCAGGCAAAGATCACATTATTCGAGAAAATTAGAACTCATTGCACACGCGCCACAAAGACTTACCAGGGATGTCCGTGCAAGCTCTGGATTCAAAAACTCCAACACTCGAGCAGTGACGTATAGGAAGTTCAGATCAGCTGTAAGTATGTCTTCCACTCCGGGCTTCAATACTTTTATCACCACCTCCTTCTGACTTCCTCGCAACCTAGCTGCATGCACCTGGCTCATAAACAAACGTAACAGATGAAGACTCCAAAGCTATTGCTTCCAAGATGAAAAACAAAATCAATGTCCGACGCGACACGCATAATCGGAATTTTCAAGCCGTTCTTGTATAGCTTTAGCATTTGCAAAAGCTTGTTGAGGGAGAAGGAGGGAGATTTTCGTACAACCACACTGAAGAAATATTACTAAAATGAAAAGAATGATTCAAACCTGAGCTATGGAGGCAGAGGCAAGAGGCTGTGGATCCACAAAGTCGTAGACTTCCTCTAAAGGACGGCCCAACTCTTTCCGGACAATTGCTTTAATATCTTCAAATGGAATAGGTGGCGTTTTGTCTAGGCAAGATTGAAACTCCTTTACATATTCAGGTGGAAAGAGTGTCGGTGCTGATGCAATCAACTGCATTAATGACAAACGTGAGTGACCGAAAACAATGCAAACACAGTTTCCACTATGACGCCAAGGCGTCTCCACACAGTGCACCACCTTTGGATGTGATCAATTGATACAAGTGGCAATTCAGAAAAGCTACATAGTTTCATGAGAACGTAAGTAGAGGTGACCTTGCCACAACAGCTCAACAAACTACTCCGTTAACATTTGCTATGCGTTAGACCAGTATATATTGCATAACAATTCACATTTGTTTATTCCGAACACACGTCTTTTCACATATCATCAGTGTTCAGAGCAGGATTGTTGCACCTGGCCCAACTTAATGTAGGTTGCTCCAAGTCTCTCAAACAATCGTCGAAGTTGTGCTGGCCCAGGCGGGGTCAAGGAAAGCCCTGGTGTTGCGCTTTGAGAAGTTGCTGATTCTGGATTCTGCAGCCCGTATTTGAATTAGTAGATGCTCATAATATCAGCCCGTTTGCAAAGTGAGCTGCACCACAAGTGGTTTACAACAATGATCACAGAACCTCCTCACACGTAGAATATTGTAGATATCTCAGTTGAGGCATGAAATAATCACATTTTGCAAGTGGTCCTCACCAACCAGTATTTATGTGCGTATCATACAGAAGTAACTTACCGTAAAAAGTTGAAACAAGTATTCACCGCCCACGGTTACGAAAGCTTCAATGCCTTGTGCAAGTCGAACTGCACCTCTAGGCCCAGTGCTTACTGCTATCTTTGCCACATCTCCCAACAGTTTATTGAACTCCTTCACTCTTTCTATTGCAGGAACACAGAATTTCAATCGATTAGCTGTTCATGTAAGCGATATTTCAAAGCTGTATTAAAATAGTAGTAAATCCGACAAATTTGAGAAAGAAGTAAGAAACCCCCGGTTGCACAGGAAATGCAACAAACTCTGCCATCTACTAGGTTACATCGTGAAGTGCTGACTTGAACTAGTGCATAGATGAATTCAAACTCCTCAACATTACGAAGAGTTACTGTAGCACTTCAGAGCAACGAAATGGAGTCAGTGCATATAATCCATCAGTCAGTCAAACAACCCCTATCAAGCAACAAACTGTTATGAATTAACTCAAACACATTCCACAAAATAAATGATGGTTGGCACAAACCTGCTCTTGCAATATCTGGACCTTGGGAGGGTATTGAAGACGCAGCCTGAGCCCGCACAACAAGTCTGCTTGGAACAGCCTGACCCAAATTGCTCCCGTGCTGATGTCCGTCCTTTTTTCAGAAAGCCCCCCAAATTAGGAACTATTAATTTTTCAGTATAAAACAAAAGAAACTTGCTATTAAAAACTGATCTTAAAACCAAGTGATGCAACAAACTGATCTTCGTCTCCACGGTAATGTTCAGAAGTGTCACACTATGTAGTGATCAACCTCGAACAAATGCGTATGCTGTTACTTTGCGTTAATGGTTGTAACTAGTTGCAACCAAGAGATGACAAACCAACCCTTAGCGTGTTATGATCAGTGAATATTCAGACTATGAGTAATTCAAACGAACAAGTCTGAAATACTTGTATGTCTGTCAAGGATGCATATCTGCACTCGAAAACCTAATTCAGAAATTTCGCAAACAATGAGCTTGGCAAAGGCTGACCAGTACTGTTCCCGAAAAAGGAAATAACATGATATTTTGTTCACTTCGAGTAATTGTGAAAACAGTGTCAGTCTATCTAGAACACAACACATTAAGGTCGAACCTGCAAAGAATACTGAGATTTAATTCAAGGAAAAGTGCCAAGACAAACGGCATTAAGCACTTGGAAATACCTGACGAAGTACTGAAGACGGGAGGCGAAGGGCCGTCAAGGTGGCGCTGCTAAGCGCCATCTTTACCAAATATCCTGGTTGGCAAGCCAGTCAAAACACTTGGTTAGGCCAGAAAAATACTGCGCCAATTTCAATTCATGAACGAGGATACTTCCAATTTCAGCACATAAGACACCGTATCACTAACGCTACGAACTGCCAGTGCACCCGTGAAGATGTGGCTACAAAATGCATCAGACGATGTCTAAGGCAGCGTGTTCGTCGAAAACTACATGCATGAACTTTGACACCTGTAATCAAAGCAGCGGCGCGTGATGAACAATCCCAAACAGTTGCTGATGCTATCAAATCTGCCCCAAAACGGCGATTCAAGTCACCTTGTTACCCCGGTGAAGTTCAAGACCCACCAAATTTGAGCTCACCGCTACTAAATTCACCAAGAAACGATGTCTTTCATACACTTTCTTCTCTCTCACTTAATTTCGCAAACATGTCACGTACAGTGCGACTCAATATGTTCCCTGTAAAACCCACGATAGCAATAGCTACAGAAACGTCATCAGACACCAACGCACCTGTAAACCTCAAAAACCCTGCGAGTGCACTTGGACGATCTCACGATAGTCTGCAACTTCGATGGCTCTAGAATTATATTGAGAATTTGCCAATGTTCAAAAAGCTATAAAGAATATCTGCAAGTGATACTATAAATTGCACTTGGGACCCACCTTGTGCAAATGTCCCCAGGTTCATCACGTTGCTCCAATGTCCGATCGTTTCATTTACGTGGCTCCTTGCCAACCTGAAGCCTTTGGGGCTGCAATACCCCCACATACCCTCCCTCGCGGTGAGATTCCGAGGAATCGGTGGCGGATATCGTCGGTATCTAGATAACATTACGTTAATGGCCGTGTCTCACAGATCAGCGGCACTTCCATATCGTCCTGTCTTTCGGAGGCCAACTTTGTGCGAGTTGTGGACTTCACCCGCTAAAATCAAAAGACAAGCTGTAGGGAATGATGAATGAAGGGGTGAGCGGTGCCGCTTTCATAATTGGGGTCGTACATCTGAGCAGTGGTCGGATCTAAAACCTCGATTCCTCTTTGTGGGCTGGATTTCTCCATCGAAGCTCGGAGTTTGGAGGCTTCTGGTTGGGGTGTGGCTCACCTGGTGCGACGAGGTTTGCGGCTCGGATGTACAGATGAGGCTGCACCTCTCATCTTCACCTCCACGTGGCTCTCCTGCTGCCAACCATGTGAAGAAACCAGGATGCACTTTGTCCAAGTGGAGGAGGATATCGAAGTTAAGTAAGTTCGCAATTGGGTGTGTATTGGGTTTTGGGTATAACTCCCAATGCGTCTAGTTTGTGTTAGTGAGCTCGACTCCGTTATTCTTCTATTGAAGAATTGAGAACTCAAATTGAGGGTGCTAGTTTCCGGGATATGAACGGTGTTTCAAGTGTCCCCACACTTGAATTTCTCTGAAAGCATTTGCAGGAGTGGAGTTCATCTCAAGGAGTTTGTGATTGTTCGTTTGGAGGTTGATTTGGAGATGGTTGCAACAGGTCATATTTGTAGTTGAATTGAAGTGAAGCTCTGCAATTACTTTACCATTTGCAGGAATTGCCATTTTCTGTAGCGATGGAGGCTGTGTGTGTTACACAGAGCGTGAGCTTAGGGTTAGCTTGCGCTTCAGGGTTGTATGCTACGAAAGTCACAAAGGCGGGTTCTGCGACGCTCACCTCTTCGGCATGCGTCTCGGGGACAGTGAGTCATCGAGGGAATGGCTTGAAACTCCGTCACGAACAAAACGTTACTTTCTCTTCGCAAACGAAGCCTAGCGTTGCTTCCAAGCTTGGTTCAGCGCTGTGGGGCTCTTCACTGCCATCTGTTGCTGCGGCCTCAGATGAGACCAACACCAGCAAACATGGAGTCTTGACAAGAGCCTCGGTTGAGGCCCCTCCCTCTACAGTGAAAAAGACTCCAATTATTCGGTCTCCCGACACTGGTGGCGCGGTACGTTATTTATTCTGCACACTCTATTTCGAAAATCATCTCTCACACCGAGTGTAGTAACCCCCAACCATGCTGATGTTGCTATAATCAGAAGTGATAAGAATGTAGGTTGCATTGGAGAGTTTAGAAGCTCTTACAGTCTAAGTGATTTCTTCAATCCTTGGTAGAGTATAACAAAATGGATAATTCTGGAGATTGAGCTTAGAGCTTTTGGACTTCATGCAGGTACTGGTGTTGGAGGATGTGATTCTAAGTGCCGGGGGACGAGATCTGCTTACAGGTGCGAGTTGGCGCTTGCTGCCTGGCCAGCGAACAGGGCTGGTGGGCGTCAATGGGTGTGGCAAGTCTACACTGCTGCGTGCTCTAGTTGGTCATGGCGACCTACAGTCTGGTTACGCCGCTTTTTCTCTGGATACGGAGGTTGCTTACCTGGAACAAACGTGGGTTCCGTATTATTCTCTACTGTCTGCAATTTATTCGTGGATAAATTTACTAGCGTTAATTTCATGTTTCTGGTTCCTCGTCTAGAAGCGAGACACTGCCTCTGAGTATCACAAGTTAGAAGCGAAGACGCTTTCTTGCTTTGTTATTGTATCATTCCGTAAGTTTTTAGTGTTGGAGATTAAAGTAGTCGGCTCTTGTCAAACAGCAGTTTATCCTGATTTTATTGTTTTGTCGTTGGTGCGAGCAGCGCAGTATCTGGTTCTACTCGTACTGTTTGGGACGAGTCCAGGTCTCGTATGGTTGCAATCAATGAAGCTCTGGCGGAAATGGAAGCTGCTGAAAAAGCAGTTGAGCGAGGTGAGGAAGGCGCAATCGCTCGCCTTGCCACTGCACAGGAGCAAGTGGAGGCTACGGATGGCTACCGTGTCGATGAAGTGATTGCTGGGTATGCATCAGTCCTGAAAAGGAATCTATTTTTAATTCCCAGTCTTCGAAAACCTTAGAATCGCGTTGAAAGATTACTTTTCTTTTTTTCACCTATTCGTTTCAGCAGCAACTTCTGCAAGAACTTCACCAAGCACTATATTGTAATCTCGTAGGCTCATCGTCCTCTACACAGTAGTGAGTATTGATTGTGAAGGACCAAGTGTGTTAACGCGTAGGATGTTATCGTGCTCCTTGTTCCTTTCAGGGTGTTGAACGGATTAGGATTTCAGCAAGAAGATTGGACGAGGTCATGCTCGGACTTCTCAGGTGGATGGCAAATGCGAATTGCCTTAGCCAGGCTGTTGCTAGAGCAGAGATCTCACATGGGCAAGTCATTACTTCTCCTGGATGAGCCGACAAATCATCTGGATACGAAAGCCAAGGTTGGTTACGTCAGTTTACACTCTCCGCTCAATGACTGCTCTTGAACATGAGTCATGGATGCGCAAGTGATCTGTGTGAATTACTGAAGTAGGCTAACATGCATGTATGGATCGCTCCTGCAGCAATGGCTTGGCAAATACCTTTCAGGAGTTACAGCTGCTGTTATTCTTGTCAGTCACGAGCAGGAGTTTATAGAGAAATCTTGCAATCACATCGCTGAGGTAATCTCTTGCCATTCATGGGTAGCTTTTATGGTCGTGCACGCATCATTCTGTAGTACCAGAGGCACGTTGAAGTTTTTGTGAACTCAAGAGCTGAAGTTGCTCGTTTTGGCATGTGTAGATCACGGGAGGTCAGTTACACCACTATGTTGGGAGCTACTCCAGCTTTTTGCGAGCGCGTGCTGCCAGACAGCAGCAAGCCGTGCAAGAGTACAGAGCAAAGCAAGCTGAGATTGAACGCCTACAGGTATTTGTTGATCGTTTCGGAGCGAAAGCAACCAAGGCATCCGCTGCAAATTCTAGGAAAAAAATGATTGAGAAGATCAGGAAGGAGATGCCTGAAGTTGCTCCTCCTGAAGGTTAGTCAGTGCGACGTGGCATCATCATTATCACACTTCAATTTTGTGTGTTCTCATGGAGTGCCTAGAAATATGATTTATTCTATGCGAGGCTAATAGTGTTATGCTACGTGAAGTCCTGTCTTTTAGAATGATATTAGTACCTTACATCTGTTCTCTGGCAGACTCAGGCCCAGGCACTGGAGACAGGCGTACTGTGAAGATGTATTTTCCGAAGGCATCACCCTGCGCTAGAGAAGCACTGCGCATGAAGAAGGTGGACATAGGCTGGGATTCAAGCGCACCAATTCTGTACAATGTGGACATCAAGCTTGAGATTGGCATGCGGCTGGTTATCCTCGGGCCAAATGGGGCTGGGAAGAGTACGCTTATGCGCGCTATGGCAGGTAGAGGTGGGGTGCTCTCTGGTTCTCGTGAAGTTGGTGAAGGAGTGGAGATTGGAGTATTCACACAAGATCTGGCCCAAGATTTGCCTGGACATCTTTCAGCTAAAGACTTTGTCTTACAGGTGCGTGCCTCTGAACAAAATCAGAGGTTTACAAGGTGTTTTTGGAAAGTATGATAGAGTGCACTGTAAGTCCACCAAAAGCGAATGGAAATATTCAACAACGTTTTCAAACGATTTATGACCTCTTTTATGTCACATAATGTGTGCAAAAAATAGTTTCTTTTAGCGTATGGAGGTTGATTGATATGGATATGTTCATAGGAAGCACGAGAGAAAGATATAAGCATTACGGACGAAATGGCTCGATCTGCACTTGGCGCTCTTGGTCTGATTGGAGAATCTGCTCTTCGACCCATCAAAGCTCTCTCCGGTATGCGCGTTGTGATTGAACATGTGCAGTTGTTTATGTTGATATTTATAATAGATTTATTTCTTGAAAGCTTTTGTTTACGGCATACTTTACAGTCCACTTCTAAATAAATATTCAACCTCGAGTGTTTATTCGTAGTCTGAACTGAGGTTCAAACTAAAAAGCGACTGTATGACTCAGGTGGTGAGAAGGCGAGAGCAGCCTTGGGAGTGTTCATGCTCCGGCCATACAACTGCCTCATGCTGGACGAAGCCAGTAATCATCTTGATCGTCCCTCGGCCATGGCCCTGGCTAAGTGTTTGAGTTCATTTTCAGGTACTGATTCCTACAATTGGAGGTGCTTCTCAAAAAATATGCGCGTATTACAGAATTTCCTCAAAACTTTTCCTTCTGTTTGTGTGGCCCAGAAGCTGGACTGTCACTGATGCTGATGTTATGTTCTGCAGGTGCAATGGTTGCTATTTCCCATGATATAGAATTTATGGAAGCAATGAATCCCACACACGTCGCTAGAGTGGATCCTAACGGATCTGTTACAGTTAGTCAATGCATTAGTGGAGATTTGAGATCTGCTCAGAAGTCGAAGGCAGAGACAACAATTCCTGCAGCGGCGAACAAGGGCAAGAAACAGACAGCCTCAACACTTACTGTCAAACCCGCCAAGTTTTATGGTGGAGACGCCCACGTGAAGCCTGCCAGAAGTCCTGACCCTAAGCGAGTACACGAGGTATGGATCGAAGTGTTCATCATTTTTCCTGTGTTCTTTTTCCTTTCGTTTCTGTTACACGTTTGATTTCCACAATGCTATTTGTGTAGAGCGGACTAAGTACCCTTCTTGAGATCAAAGGACCTTGTGAGTGGCAGAAAATAAAAACATGGGGTGTACTTGATTGACAGATCCAGTCCCAGATCAAGAAGAACATGCAGTTGATAGAGAAAGCGGAGATCGTGCTGGAAATGCTGGACAGGGAGATGCTGGAGGCAGGTGCTGATGCTGCGAAAGCAATGGATATTTTCAAAAGGAAGGAAGCGATCGAAAAGAGGAAAGCTGCCTTGGAACAGGAATGGGAGTCCTTGGACACCGAACATCAAAAACTCATGGCTAAGGCTTCCAAGTAGTGCAGTATTATGATTCATTACAATTAGTATATTCTTAATTCAGGTGTAAAGAGACAGTTTGAGCTTTTGCAGGAGCTGAATTTGCTCAATGGGTTCTTTTTACCAACCGTAGACACTCTTTATTTCCTTTTCTTAACGTAGGAACCAATACCTGGCCAGTGCTGGATTGGGTTGTACTATACTGGATTGTTACGTGTTTGTTGAAGATTGGAGCGTGTGGATCTGTTTCCCGGAGAAAATTACAGAAATTTGATATGACGCGCTTACATTCATATCCTCAAGCAATGAGTACCTCACATATAGCATACCCATCTTATTCGTACATGGATTACATGATTACAGTAAAATGTTTATTTTTCTTTTCCTTATTTGTTTTTCTCCCTTCCTTTCTTCCCTCCTTTTGTTATTTATTTTTGCTTTGTTTTGTTTTGGTTCACTGTTGTAAGATTTGAATCATCAAGAACTCTCCCATATGTGGGAAGGTTAGTTCTTGGCAACTAAACCGAGGGATATTGTTCTGACAATATCAATTATCTGTATTTGAATGTCCTACTCGAAGAAGCAAAACTGTGAAACTTCACGAAAACTTCTTGCATAGCGTATGTACTCTGTTGACGTAAGGTTAGTGTTAACCTATACATAGGATGCGAGGATATTCTAAATTTTAGACAGGATTGAAAAATTATGATCTAACCAAATGACTAAGTACTAGAAAACGTGAAAATGGGACGCTATATTTCTACACACAATCCTTGAGAAATACATATATTATTATTCTAGTAAGCACTGAAATTCTCTTAAATAAATTTCAACAGGTGGCTCATATGATGAGGGAAGGGTGCACGTAAATATCTTACATCGAAGCCAAGATGTGATAAAGTGCAAACTGATTTATGAGAAAGAGCTGTTTTAACACAGTTGAAGAATTTATCAATTGTTTTTTGACACATCATCTTGGAAGTCTAATTTTTTTGGTACAATTTTTGTCACCAAAAAAACTATAAATAAATAGATAAAACTCTTTCACTTTTTCTTTTATTTTTTATTTTTTTTATTCTTAATCACTACAAAAAATCTGTGTGAGAAATGGCATTGATAACATTTAAGTTACCATCTCCACTAAGAAACATACATTTCAAATTTTAAAAAAAAAACTAAAAAAGAAAACCCTTAGTTTCAATTGTGCTAACATAAGTGGATATCTGTGATTATGTGTGAAATATAATGAATAATGTTTAAGGTAAAGTTGGCATTTTGAAGACAAAAATCATGCATTTCACATTTAGATTTGCAGCTTTATTGATCTCACTACAAAAAAATTCACCTTCCTAAATCACATTAGATTAGTGAAGAAGAGATTAAACTCACAAGTTCAAAATTATGTAACCGATACAAAGGAAGACATGGGACTATTAGATTACCTAGCAGTACATTAGAAAGTGAAAAAAAAAAAAAAAAAAAAAAAAAAAAACTTCTACAATATTAGGTGTAAAAGAAAAAAATTATTGATAAAAAAATTTAAAAAATAAAAATCGTAAATAATTAGAAAGAATCTATGTAAGGCATGTTCTCATTGGCTTTGGAATTCAATAACAATTCTATTTCTTCCTATATACTAAATTCTTTTGAAACTTTTTTCTTTTCTTTTCTTTAAATTTGGTAGACAGTCATTTTAGACTTAAGAGATATATATATATATATATATATATATATATTGAAAAATATATTCTTTGATAAAGCTCTATTTATTGCATGTGAATAGTCCTTATTCAGTTCTACATTGAGAAAATTTCATCAAATTATTTATCAATTATATACCAAAGCATTCCAAAAGTAATTTTATCTTTTTCAACATTTAACATGTTCAAAACAAATTGAACAACCTTTTGCCTCAAATCTCTATTTCCTTCAATGCTTCATATTGTCTTTTTATCTGTCTCTAAATAATGTATTCTATAACAATTTAAGTTAAGACGAGTGCAAACTATTCTCTTCTATACAAAAAAAAAAGTATTAGATTTTACTACCAGATTGGTTTTATTTGTTTGGTATTGTTGGTGCTTTTTAATAGAAACTATCAGGATCAAAAACCTATAGAATGCAATAGACCTCAATCACTATTTATTACAATAACTATAAGGTTATTATTATTACTGATATATTTTTGTAGAAATAAAAATTTAAAACTCATTATAACATGCATCAAAAAACACACTCAGGGTTTTGAAATACAATAAAAGTAGTAGAATTCAACTGTCATACGTAATTGTAGTCTTATCACCTATTGTAAGAGATTGTTCTGATTGTTTGCAAATGAAAAAGTTGTTGTAGGGGTTATATTTTTTAAGTGATATTTCACCCATGATACAAGCTCAAAGTATTCCATTATATTTTGAAATATCACTTGATACTTTGTAAAATCACCTGCCTCACGAGGTGGGTGATTTTGAAATTGAAATATCAAAAGAGGGGTGGGTCAAATATCCAAAAACCATGTCGCTTGTTTCACCTCTTTGACTCCATACCAGAGGATATTAAAGTTTGAATCAGGGAGTAATATCAAGGAGTAATAAAGTTTGAACGGTGATATTTTGGATTTGATATTTCAAGTGATCCTAGAAATATTAGGTACTGAATCCCAATTGTTTGGTTTTGCAAAAGTGCCATGTTTGAGACCCCCTAATAATCATATTTTTGGTCAAGTGACAACTTGAAAGTCTTCAATCAAACACAAAGTCTAAAATTATACACTATAAGAGTAAACTAAATTTTATTAAATTGAGTCCAAATCATACGGCAAAGAAGATTTTTGAATTTTTTACATACTTATCTTCAAGACAATCATCAACCACTTTTAATTTAAAACAAGACCCCTAAAACATGATGCTATGTTTTACAATAGTAGTAGCTTCTGTTATAACATAAATTCAACGTAAATTATTTCTATGTTTAAAATAAAATCAACGTAAATTATTTCTATGTTTAAAACAAAAGCATGAGTAAATCAAAAATTACAATTTAGAAAATATTAATACTTCAAAAAGACCATTTTTCAAACTCTTGATGTTACAAAACAAAACTTAGAAATGTAATAAAATAAATGGCAAACAAGAAACAGAAATAAAAATCTTTTGAGAATTATGATTGTATTCAATCAAACTAATGATTCCATAACAACGTTGCACCACTGCACAATCCCTCAACCCTAACACCCAAATCACGAACCCACCCACCCCAAAACACAACTCATGAAAATGGTTGATCTGGGGGAACTGACGCTTACTCCTGGCAACAAATGTTCAGGTTCAGCGGTGAGCTTGGAGAAAGACAAAAAGAAAAAACCCCTAAACCTGAACCAAAAAGACTTGTAAACTTGCAACTCCGCAACGGTGCTAAAAGTATCACCTTGCAGCAACAACCCAGCCATAGATTGCAAGTCTACAAACGCTTTGGAGGAATGGAGCCATGCGAAGCCGGAGGGTGGGTCAGCAGCAGAGTGTGGGAAAGAGGGAGGGAGGGGGGGGGGGGGGGAGTTTCCGGGTAAGAAAAAACACCCACTTTTTAGCAGGGTACCAATCCGCAGAAAGTCCTCTCATACTCATGTGCTTCGAGGGCACGCTCGTGACTACATACGGTGCCCGTCGAATGGAGATCCTTTTCCATGGAGGAGAGCAAGTTGCCTCCAGTAATTGAAGCCCAAAAAGAGAGCGAGAGATTGAGAGAGATTGAGACAGAGAAGTAAGTGGTGAAGCTCCGGCAATCCGGTACGTGAAAAAACTTGGTTGGCTTTCTTTCACTGGGGAGATGATGGTGTTGATGCGATTCCTGTGATGCTGCTGCTTCTGTTGCTGCAGGCTGTGAAGATGAACGGTGACCCGGGGACGATCTGCGCTGTACAATTCCCTACTTTCTTCTTCTTCTTCTGCCTTCTCCCCCTCTCTCGTGGCAGTTGTTGGTTTGTGACTAGCTGGGCGGAGGAGGTGGTGGTCTTTGCTGCTGCTGCACTTGGGTACCATGCGTGTGGATTCTCTACTGCTGCTACCATGGTCGTCGTCGATTGTTGTTTGTATCAGATGCTTCCCAAAGCGGCCGCTGCCGATGCGGGTCCGATTCTTTGAGGTCGTGGTGCTTCGTTGCGTGACGCTGTGACTGCTTGTATTATAATGTCCATTTCTGGTGCGTAACTTCAACCACGTGGGGGTGTTTTTTCTGATCAGTTGCCGTGATTTTCGTCTGATTGTTAGTTATGGCGGTCTTTAAATGAATTGGCGTTGCGATGAGGACTGGGACTGAGAGGAATTGGAAGGACGCCTTGGGTCGGTCTGGGAAATTGAACGTGATGAGACACAGGAAATCAGTTTGCTTTGGATTGTGTTGTTTTATGTTGTTCTGGGCATTGCTGTTTGTTAGATGGTGAAAAGACGGTTTGAGAGTGGTCAGAGGGGTAGAAAATGAAAAGTTGGATTTAGAAATCGCTGCTACCACTTTTCGTAGCACATTTTCGGCAGTCATATCCCCATGGCTTCCTTCGTTTATGATCACACAAATGGTGCAAATTCTTGCAATGTCGAAGGTGTGTGATTTGTGGTTGCCTATGCGTTTCTTGTACATTCTCTCTTGCATCGGCGTTATCCCAACTTCGTCTATGAAATGGGATGGTCTATCAGGAAACAAGAGTTACAAATTCCTAGGAGAGAAATGCTTTTCCCTTTGTTTTCTGAATTTCACCGCCAGCCATTGTTCAGATATGAGTGAAGTAATGTTAGGGATTTGCTCGGTTCCAATGACGGGCACAACTAACTTCCTCACAAAACACCGAGTTTTTTTCGGAGAGATAACCCTCGCTGCCGCAAAGAAGCTGTAAATTGATGTGTAAGTAGCTTTTTCAGGTGGGATCTGTTCAATTTCAGCAAAACATTTGGTTCTTTGACTTCTCTACTTCCGAAATTGCTCCCATTCATTTTAATAGTGCCTTTGCATCATGTTCTTATTGATGTTTTGTCATATGTTTTCGTCACTATTCTTGAGTCTACCTTTTCATCGATGCCTTATAAATAGCTAGAGTCCTGTTCTACAAGCACTGTTAACGCCACTTCTGTGATTCTCAAATTTGAAAAGACCTTCCGATGAAAACTTAACCCAGTTTTCACTTTGACCATGTAGACTATCAGTACAAACGCTGGATGTTCGAAGATATACAATCGAACGAAGAGGCCATCGAGGTCACCATTTGAGGCAGCAGCTCCACGACCAAGACATTCTTTGCTTTGTCAATTAGAGAATAGAATTCGAGATGAAGGCGAGGAGGATATTCACTGCTCTACACGCAGCATCTCGAGTATTCAATGGTGGAAGTCCTCTTCGGATCCCTAATCGAATCCTCGGCCAATTCATTTTCCCACCTACAGGCGCCAGGTCCTACTACATCCTTCATGAATCCATTCTCACGCGCGCAGTTGGGAGATCCAGTTCTTCCCTCCAGCGCAACTATCATCTCAACTTCAGTTCCCGCGTGAGATTCAACAGTGCAGCGACAGAAAGGATATGTGTCAAAGATGTGGAGAGAGATTCTGTTTCAGCCACGACTGCTATTGAGATTGCTGCTATGCCAGCTACAAAACCAGACCAGAAACCGCGTGTTGTTGTGCTGGGAACTGGCTGGGGGGCTTGCCGTTTACTCAAGGACATCGACACTCGCATCTACGACGTAGTTTGCATCTCGCCTCGCAACCACATGGTATTCACGCCCTTACTAGCATCCACATGTGTCGGAACACTTGAATTTCGCTCCGTAGCAGAGCCTGTGCGAATCATCCAACCTGCACTGGCGAAGGATCCCGACTCCTACTTCTTCCTTGCTCGATGCACAGACATTGACACCAGCAACCACGAAGTGCACTGCGAGTCGGTTTATGATGGTGATACAGGTACCGCAGGAGGAGAAAAGTTCAAGATTGCTTACGACAAGTTGGTCATTGCCACAGGCGCAGAGGCCACAACGTTTGGCATTGCCGGGGTTCATGAGCACGCCATCTTCCTGCGCGATGTCAAAAACGCTATAGACATCCGCTCGAAGTTGATGCTCAATCTCATGGCTTGCGAGATTCCGGGCACGGACATCGAGGAGAGGAAGAGGCTCCTCCACTGCGTAGTGGTGGGAGGCGGACCCACAGGGGTGGAATTTTCCGGCGAGCTCAGTGATTTCATCCTACGTGACGTCCAGCGCAAATTCTCCCACGTCAAAGATCACATCGCTGTGACTCTCATCGAGGCAAACGAGATTCTCTCCTCATTTGATGTGCGCCTCCGCCAATACGCCACAAACCAGCTGACGAAAAGCGGAGTTCGACTAAAGCGAGGAATGGTAAAACACGTCCTACCGAAGAAACTGATCCTCAGTGACGGATCCGAAGTACCTTACGGGCTTCTCGTCTGGTCAACAGGCGTCGGACCATCAAAATTTGTGACAAACCTCCCATTTGAGAAATCCCAAGGTGGGAGAATCGGCATCGACAACAGCCTTCGAGTCCCAGCACACGATGACATATACGCCGTCGGGGACTGTGCAGGATATCTAGAGGGCACAGGCAAGACACCGTTGCCAGCATTAGCGCAAGTTGCAGAGAGGCAAGGCAAGTACTTAGCGACGGCATTGAACCAGCTCGGGGAATCGGGTCACGGCAGAGCAGGAGTAGCGGGATCATCAACAGCACCAGTGTCGGACCCATTTGTGTACAAGCATCTGGGGAGCATGGCGACGGTGGGCAGCTACAAAGCATTGGTGGACTTGAGGGAGAGTCCGCATGGATCGGGCTTGTCGATGACGGGATTCAAGAGCTGGCTTGTGTGGCGCTCCGCCTACTTGACAAGAGTGATCAGTTGGCGAGCTCGCTTCTATGTGGCCTTCAACTGGGGCACTACCTTTCTCTTCGGCCGGGACATCTCTCGCTTCTAGCACCTCTCTCTCACTCTCTCTCACTCTCACTCTCTCGCTCACTCTTCATCTCTTCCTTCCTCACAGCGATGGCGATGGCGATGCTGTATATCCTGCTTCACCACTGCACCTGCAACTGCGAGATCAGAATGCGACGGGGATGGCAGCGCATTGTCCAAGGCTCATGTGATGTGTATTAGACATTTATAGAAAACATTTGTGTGTGTGGGTGTATGTTTTTTTTACTTCGTTATGTATATATTGCGGCTTCTGTTTAATGTTAAGTTTTCGGCGCCAGTGATTATTTTATGATTGAACTATCGAGGGTTGACTTTTACAGAGATTTTTTTTTTCCTACTTCTTTGTCTTTTTTTGTTTTTTTTTTGTTTTTCTTCTGGAATTGATGGTAACTGTACTGAGGTTTTGAGGGGATTTTTAGCTTGATATTTCGATGTTTCAGATGATCATTTTGATGTGATTCACGAATTAACTTTTCAACTTTTTTCCTTCTGTTAATTGAATCCAGTGTATGTGTTTTGTGAAGTATGTAGATGTGATTCACTGTGAACTGTGATGTCTTGTTTCACATATGGAATTAACAGTTGAGTTTCAAGGTGTTTTTGCGGCATTAAAAGTTGTTTAATCAGCAGCAATTCGTTTGGCAGAATTTAGAAAATTTATACCGAGGTACACTTAATATTTTGAAACTAAATGATTAAAATGAAATCTTATTATAAAAACAATAATTTAAAGGGCTTGAATTTAATTGATTTTAGAAGTAAATTAACATGTCAATAAGTAGTTCAATTATCTTGATATAAATTTGTGTTCTTTTAGGGAATCTATTAAACCATTAAATGTTGTGTGACTTAAAACTCAAATACTTCATTTAAAGATCTTTGAAAGTAAAATATAAAAATTAATAAATTAATATTTATATATATTTATATTTATATTAATTTAGAACATTAAACAGTAAATTGATTTAATAAAAATACTGACTCTAACACAGGAAATTTAAAATTATTAGTAAAATAAGTTATGCAATATGTTTGCAGTTTTTGTACATCAAATAGTTTTCATATATCCAATCATGAAATTTCAAATTTTTAGATTTTTTGCTCAATAATTAATAATTTTTATAGAATTTGACATTTTTATAATTTGAAAATAGATGTGAATCACAAGGATATATATATATATATATATATATGTATATATTATTTCTACAAACTAAAAAAAACTAACTTTTGGCATTATCAATAAATATATATGTATATATATATATATATATATATATATACTTTAATACTTAGAAGCTCTCATAATATATAAAGAGATTTTTTTGTAACAAATCCTATCATCAATGCAAACACACAAAATTTTATATATGTTTTTTTATTGATACTAAAACTTCAACTTCTAGCTATAAAACATAAAATAAACAATTTGTATGTTATTTTTCATTTGACATCACATTGGATATAACTGTTTTTATAAATTTGTGACTAATAAAATAATAATGATTTTCTAAATCTTGAACTAAATTTTCAGTTGTTAAAATAGCATAAAAAAAATTATATATATATATATATATATATATATAATTTATTTAGGTTTATCATGAAGACTAAACCTATTAGTTTTTTTTATTAAAGAAGTGATACACCTGTTCTTTTAACTTGAATTATTAAAAACTAGACAGTTTTTTTTTTTTTCAAAAATAATTATTTGAGTTAAATTCTTTATTATAATTTACATATAAATTAAAAGCGATTTATTCAGAGTAATATATATATATATATATATATATATATACAAATATATTTATATACAAATATATTTTGCACTATAATGTAAACTTTGCTAACTTTGCTAGATTATAACTTTGAAGGAAGTTCTTATAATCTCATTTCAATTTTGACTTTGAATATACCTTTTTAAAATTCCGTGTAAATATCTTTAATGTTCTTGCTCAAAAGAACAATTATTGTTAATATAGGAATTGATATTTTAGTTAGAAAGGATAGAAGTTAAGAAAATTAAATCAATTATTTTTTTATATCTAAATCTTTATCATTTCTTTTACTTCAATTATTTACTTTAGAAATAAAAAATTGTAATTTTTTTATAAAATAACTTTAAGAAAAATTGATATAATTTTTGTTAAGTCTAATAAATGTTCTTTTATAATTTGGATTATTTGACTAAGTATAATTGTTTATTGTATCAAAATATCTATAAATATCAAAATTATATTATTACATAATTAAAATAAATTAATAATGTCAAATTTTGCTAAACCATGTACAAAAAATAATGTATCAACAATACAATTGATCAAATAATTTATCTATCTATGAAAAAACTTATTTTAATAAAGATCTAGTATTTCAAATAAAATCTATTGTGTATGTGTGTATATATATATATATATATATATATATATATATTCCACTATATTTCATTGAAAATATGTGACATTAGTATTAAATCTATAATATTTTTTCATTGTGTATTGATAAAGTATTATATTTTAGCATAAAGTTTTTGTTAAATACAAAAAAAAAAAAAAAAAAAAAAAAAAAAAAAAAAATTGTAGAGTATTTGTAAATCGTCTCTTACAAATGTCAGAATTCCATATATTTTTTAAAAATAACAAATTCTTAAATTTGGTATGATAAAGCTCAAAAAAAATTGGCTATATTTTCACATGTTTTAATGGATAAAATTTAGTGAACAAAGAAATAATGGAATCTGGATTCAAGCGATCTTCAGTCTTCTTTCTTTTTTTTAATAAATCATTTGGTTCATCATTATTTTTTTGAAATTCTTTTCCAGCAAAAATGTTTTTGTCCAAGACAACTTTTAAACATTGAAAACATTCAATGTTTAATACATAGACAATATTCCAGTTTACCAAAAAATAATTCTTACAAACATAATCACTTCCAAAACCAAAAACATATCGACGTAATCACTTTACCTTCAAGACAATGGACTTTTCAATGCGTACTGTTCACCTTTGAAAATGTATCGTATTATCCAAGAATTGAGCGTTGTTCAAAATTGAAGTATGCCGTAAAGTGCAGAATGAAAATGAACACTTACAAATGAGCTGCTGCAAAGTTTCCAACTAGTGTTTGTTTAAAGTGAAACATTTTGTCACAACTAAATGCTAAGAGTGAAAGACCAGCAGCTTGGATGATCCAACGTTGTTTGCGTTGTGGACTTCGAACTCTTGCACAAGATGAAGCAGTTTCAGTTTCTCAAAACTTCCACTGATCTTGTGAGCAGCTTGTCTCCAGTCCTGCCAAGCTCACAGGATCACAGTTTCACTCAATTCTCTTTCAGTTAATCCGCATTTTTTCATTCAGTTTGTAACATCCTCTCACTCAAGCTCGAGACCATGCTTCCATGCGGAGTTGCTCTTTTACTCGTCTGAGAAGATTCACATGAACATTTTTCATGTTGATTCTTATCAGGTTCTGTCAAACAATGTATCATGTGCACTTCCGCAAGGTCGTCTTGACCAGACCAACACGTCTCTTGAACTTGAAAGAGCATCTGAATGGGTTTTTGTGTAATTTCAAAGGAGTTGCAGTAGATTACACCATCGGTAACTGATAGTTCTCTGCAAGTGTAGAGACACGATTCCTTACCGAAGGTTTGTAAAATGGTTGCGTGCGTGTAATGAGCTTGTTGTTCAGCTAGTGGCTGCGGCAGCTTAAAGATGTATGAGTTTTTGCTGTCATGGGCTTCGTACTATCATTTAAGAAATGCTTGTTTGTGGTTCATACTTACCCAGGATCTACTGATATCAACACTGGAGGCTTGAAGTTAGGTTATGAGATTTTCAAAGTCTTTTATTAGGTGAATTGCGAACTGTTGGCGTGCGCTCAACTACCATTACTGCAAGCGAACTGTTGCCTGACTACTTCTAGTCGTTCTAATTTTCGTTCATGTGTCTACCCTTCCGAAAAGTCCTTCAGTTCTATCATTTTGTGATGATGTCGTGAACATGTGAGTCATCATGTATATATACGTGAATATCTGCCGTTGAAGTGGTCCCAGGCCAACCTGACTTTTAACGTTTCTGCTCAAGCACCGATGCTGAAGGACGGTGACCACTTCTATGCAGTTTTTGAGAGGAGAAGACAGACTAGTCCTGAATGAGTACAAATCTGCTACGCGCCTGACAATCCTGATTACGGATATTAGTCGACGACTTCTATTCCTTCAAAAACCAACAAGCTCACCGACCAGCTGATCACTTCTCTCCTCTCAAGTAGTAAGAACAGTTCAGAGAAGGCACAATGACCCATTACTTTCCCTAGGTACGGACTCAAGATTTCTTGCTAGATGGACCACAGAGTTTACGCCTGTGCACCCGCTTTTGGTTCTCACTCTCGTCAAGGTAGGAACTGGTGCGATAGTTCTCTAATCACATAACCCTTGCTACGTAGCCACGAGAAATTAATTCTCTCTCTCCAGGCAGCACGCTTCGAAATATCCGCTCGAGGAACCCAGTATCATGCCGATGATACCAATCGGTTCTTATTGAGTATCGCCAGTTGATCGAGATATTTCCGCAGCGGATTGCAACGTAATCCTTACGGTGCATGTCTGTACCTCCAGTGGAAATCGTCAAAAAAGCTATTGCTGCTGCGCAACGGATCCAAAGTCCAATCTCACGGAGGGTCCACCATAGTATTCGGAGAGAGGTAATGAAAAGAACCCAACAAGGCCCCTCTCTTCTCGATCATCACTCGTCAGCCATTTCAGTCATATGGGCCACTGCCAGTCATTGTACGCGAGACCGCCAACCGATTGTACCAGCACTTTCCACACCAATCACCACACCATGAAATCACCGCAATTGTCTTCAACCTCACGCAGAGGGAAAAAGTCCTGAGTGGCGACCTCCGTTTCAATCCCACATACCTCACTACTAGTCACAAAACCTACTCCAACAAATTTCAAACCCGCTAAACAAGCACCAGAGACTGACTGGCATCACGCCAATCCTTTTTCCGCCTCCCGTGCCGCGGTCTCGACATCGTGTCATCGCGTCTCAAGAACTGATTATGGGTTCAGGACTCCTTCTCATCAGAGCAGTTGGCATCCATGAACTCATTCACCACCTGACGAATGCATGGGGTGGTGACGGAGACTGCAGTGAACGTGGAGCCTGTTGAATCTCGTGGCTGGTCACTAGTAAAGCCAGAAACGACAGAAACGAATCCTTGGCGAAGGTGGGGAGTGGGTGTGGATCCATGGGACAGAGGGGAATCCGAGGTGGAGATGTTTCAGCAGAAGTTGAAGAAGAAGAAGGGGTCGGTGGCACTAAAGCAGCGGCAGCAAGGGAAAGAGGAGGAGGGGGGGAGAAGAATGTGAGCGATGGCTCAGTCAAGGTCCCCCCTTTGCACTTATATGTGTGCCCGTGCCGCATGGATTTCGGTGGCCCCACCGCAACTTCACTGCACTGCGAAGCTTCAGCAAAGAAAGAGAGAGGGTGGGATGCTGTTCATTCTGGTGGGATTGGGTCACCACGTTTTCTGAGGATCAGCAAACTGTGCTTTGCAGCTGACATAGACCATCACACACGTGTCTGTAATAATGTATATATATACATATATATGCAGGGAATGTTAAATAGACCCATGTTTTTACTAAACAGACCCACTTTTGATGAAGCATATGGTAATCATGATGGATGTTGGTTTTCATTAGTTGCATATCCAATTGTGGAGAAATAATCTAGAAGCCATTTTTATTTTTCATGATGGTTATGATAGATGGGTCAATTTAGTGAAAACTTGGGTCTATTTAACATTCCCCTATGTTGATAGATGTGATTAGGAATTTGAAAAAAATGTGAGATTTTTGTTAGAAGACATTACATGGCAGTGTGATTTGTTGGGGAACATTGTTTGATAGTGTTTTAAGTTTTGATACTAATTTACTTGTTTATTTTAATATATGTTTCTTTCATAGGTGACATGGATTAGTTAATATAGTTATATTCATTAATGGGAATAATAAAATAACAAACAAACATATATATATATATATATATATATATATATTATTTATTTTTATTTAATTTCTTTCAATAAGAATTAAATCATCGGTTATATAATAAAATAAATAAATTATATGAATTTTATTGTCTAACAATTTATTAAAGAATAATAGTTTATAAAATATTAAAATTTGACATAATAAAATTAAAGTAAATAATATAGTATTACTAAAATATCAAAATTAAATCTCTATTCCCAAATGTGCTTATTTTAAAATAAAATAAAAAAGAAAAAGAAAAGGATGTAAATATATGTTTAAAAGTGGCCAACTAATAAACTTTCTGTTTTTACATGCCACATTATACCACTCTATCTTTTATATGCATTAGCTTTAAAGGCCCTTGTTTTGATTTGGCAATAATATGTAAAAGCAAGTTATTGGTATATGATAAAATAGATAATTAAAATAAATTAAAATAAAAATATTCTGAAAAAATTACACAAACATATTTTATCAACATCATGCAAAAATTAATTTAATTTAATTTAAATTTAAAAAATTTAAAAATTGTGTAAATCTTATAGTTTTGACTTTAGTATTATTTATTAAATATCTATGTGCATATGTAGAATTTTTTCCATAAACTTACAAAAGAAATATAAAAAAAAAAAGTTGATTTTTAAGTTTCTTAAAAATTTAATTCTATTTTTTCTCACATTTACTATGATATTATAAAATTAAAAATTGTTCTATTCGTTTTATTTATGAAATGTGTATGCACATATGTACCCAAAATAACTTATTAGTAATTAGTTAATATTAGTTTCATAAATACACAATTAAAAAAAATATTTTTCCACCATAATTTTTGTTGACGAGTTTTAATTTGAGATTATCATGAAAATTTTAAAGTGAATGTTTATTATAATAATTTGATTTCGGCTTTGAAATAATGGACATCAAAAAATAAGCCAATATCTTGTTTGTGATTTTCTATAAACAGGATCTAATCAATAAAATAATCTAAATTTTTCCTCTTTTTATTTATTTATTCATTTTATTTTCAAATTTTGATTGATCAAATGTTTTTGATGTAGGATACAGTTTCTTTTACCTAAGTAATTAAAAGATTAGAAAAATCATAAAGCATCTCATTCCTTAGTAATGAGAAAGCATTATTATGTATTAATAGTGAGAAAATTATTGTTTTTTTGGATAATTATTTGTTTGCATTAGAAAGTAGAATACAATTAGGAATAGCCTTTACAAGCTTTGGTATTTTTACTTTTATATTTTTCATTCATAATGTTTAAATATTGCAAAGTACCCCAAATTTATGCTTTTTTTTGGTAAAATTATGATTTTTGTAATGTAATATTACCAAAGAATAAAAAAACAGATGAGATAAGGAACAATGTATTCAAATAAAAGTATGAAAAAGATTATTTTTTTCATTCTTTGATCAGCTAAAAATTTCTTGTCGATTTCAGCTTAAATTTTTTATTTGAATAAAAGAAATCAAATAGCACCAGAGTGGAATGGTGCTGGTAAGATATTAAGAAAAAGTATTCTCTTGCAAAATACATGTACAAGAAGTGATGGTGTTTGGAACTCTTTAGAATGTATATAACAGCCCAAAAACACACTTTAAAAAATGAAAAGAAAAAAGAAAAAAGAAAAGCGTTATCCAAATCATTCTAACAACATGTCAAAATAGTGGGACCAGAATCAGGTCATATTCAGCCCCCTGGTAAATTCATTTCAAGTACCTCGTAGAGGTTCCTCGATGGAGATCCTAGTAATAGGAACCCGTTAACCACCCCTGTAAAAACTAATTCTATGAATTCGACTGATACGAGAGATCTAGGGGAGAGGCGAGAGGATCTACTAGGCGGGGTGAGCACCTCAGAGGCGCAAAGCCACAAGTTGGACTCGCCCTGTGACCCCATCGAGATGCGTGGGATCAGGGGAAAGGGAGGGGGATGGATCTTGGTTGTCGAGGAGGCCATCTCGTAGAAGCACGCGGGGGCGTGGCGGAGGAACAGGACGAAGCCGACGACTACGAAGACGACGAGGAAGAGAAGAATTAGGAGGAGGAATAGTTTGAGAAGGAGAAGAAGGAGACGGAGGAAGAGGAGGAGTAAGAGTGAGAGCAAGAGCAGGACCACGGCGACGGCGCCGAGGAAGAGTAGGGAGGAGGAGGGGGAGGAGATTTGATGCGTGACCCAGCCGCACTGGCACTACGGAGCATGAAGCATGCTGCTGCTTGCGAGCTGGCCATGCGACGATGAACCGCGCGAGGGAGATTGGGTTGAGTAACTGATTTTTAGGGTTAGGTTGCGGGGTGCAGGCGGCAGCGGAGTTCGTCTCTGTGCGGGAGATCGCTGGTCCCCTGCCACGTAAGTATCGGATCCTTCTTCATTTTCCGAAGACTGTGTCAAAATCGTGTGAGTTCCGGGGATTGATCGAGTGACTTTTGAAACAGTGAGCTGCTGTGTGGTCGAGGAATGGGTTTGACCTCGGTCGACTCCATCGTAGGAATCGTGTTTTAGTGGGTTTTTCTCCCCCTATGGACAGTAGTTGGGTCATCACCCTTCTTGACCCTTTTTTGAACTGTGAGTGGTGCCAGAGTCTGCCCTGGTCTGCGTATTGCCCGTCTTTGTTGCTGCTGAAAGTCTTGCGGAAGTTAACAATGTTGCGAGTCTCTTTGTAGTCATGCAATCATGGTGGCTGTGAGTTGGACGAATTCGGGAGGTGTCCCATTTTCAGGCATTGGGGATGAAACCCGAAAATTATATTTATTAGTACTTTCTTGATTCTGGAGATTGTGCGTCAGGATCAGAAATTGTCGTGTGGAACTTGAATCGAGTGTGTAGAGGTGCGAGTTCATGTTTGGGAGTAACAAAGGTGGGGGTTTTTGGGGCGATGGTGTAGCGACTACAGGATTCATGATCTTTCTCGATGATTTAGGATCATGGAGTACACGGGGAGCACCAGTGTGTGAAATCGTTGTGCACGGCTTGCACCATGCAATGTGGATGAATAGCTGATGACCCATGTCTTAATCGGATCCATGGCCAATCTCACCTATACCGAAGTAGGTCTTGGCTATCTTGCAGGTTAAAATTAGTTGGTATCCTTAGAGTGAAGGGAGTGGAAGGAGCAGACAACGGTTGGAAAAATGAGTGGTGGGGTAAGCAAGAATACAGAGGGAGCACGGGAGCCACCATGGCTTCATGTGCGGCGGGAGGCGTTTGAGTATGGCATGCTGCCACTTCCTAGCCTTCTGCACAGCGATGTTGTCACCGGATTGAGGAATCTTCGTGTTAAACTACTCCAGCAGGCTCCTTCTATTTCTACTTGGCCCTTGAGCATTACTGCCAATGCTTCACACAGCACTCCAGCTTCAGGGGGTAGGGAACGAGTGGGCACCGAGGGCATAGCTGCAGCTCTGGAGGTTGCGGAAGCGCATGCTCATTTGGTGCTTGACACCCTAGCGTCTGTTTTGAATGAAGAGGGAGCAGGTGTGGATCCCCTGGCTATTACACCAGTAACCGAAATCGATTCTGTGGGGGCTGACATTGACGAACTATTGATATTTCTGTACATTCAAACTTATCGAAGAGTTCCGTCCCGTCCCCATCGAGGTGCTGCTGACGTGGCTGACGTTTGGCCGTCCACTTCTGCGATCGATGGATTTCTTCCTGCCCTATCTTCCATGCAGGTACTTACTCCCATTTTGACAACTATTTCCGTATAAATCTTTCCGATTGAGATCGTCATTCATGTAAGTTATGAATCGCATTTTCGAAGTAAGCTGTAAGTAAGTTAGCTTCCCTTCCGACCACCTAAGTTACATTAGAAACATCGTCTAGATGATGGTTGTTAGATCATCAATAAGTAGCTCCCAGTGCTACCCATCAAGGCAAATGTTGTATCTTGGTTCACTCTTGGAGAAGTACTAAACCTTCGCCGGATGAGAGGCTGTATTTAGCTGAGCTGGAAGTAGTTTTCATGATGGTCAAAGTTTTGCAAGAGAATCTGAAGGCGTTAGAAGCCTGGGTCTCAAGGTATTTGATTTCTCAAATTTGAGAGCTTTTTGCAGGTTAGATCTTCTACGATGTCTCGACGTTCAATGCCGGGTCAAGCTGAGGAGGAAGTCAATCAGCTGACATATGTGCAAAAGCATTTGCCAAATCTTCTCAACCTCCTGGCAGAGACCACGGAAGATGAGGACAGCAGTATTAAGGTAAGCAGGATTCTTTTATAAATTAATTTTGTGTGTGTATCAGTAGGCTTTCATTTCATACAACTGGACTTTTTTTCACTCTGGAAAGCACCAGTTGGAATTATGCACGAAAGTGAAGCTTTGGAAACAGATTGTCTTATAACTAATTCTGTTTTCATCAGGTCATAACAGCTGAGCAGTTCGAGCACCTTGGCCTTCTTCTCAAAGCGAAAAATGCTGATATGGAGTTGGTACAATTGAGTCAGGCAGCCCCCTTCTTTGCTAACTCCGACCCAGACATGCCAGCAGCTCCTGTGCCTGTAACACAAGTGTTGGAATGGGTTCAACAGCACATGTGTGCTGCTTCGGAAAGCTTAAGGGAAACCTCTCTGGGGAAAGAAGAAAAGGTGGTGAAGGATGTTGGCCCTGCAGAGACCTTGTCCTCTGAGGTTGTGGATGTTACCATGGCGGACGCAACAGCTAGTCCTGCCAGTCCCACACCATCTAATGCTCGAACTATTCTTGTACCTAATGGGGTATTGCACTTGTCCAAAGACTGGCGCCCGGAGGGTATGACATTTGTGGATGGGATTATGAAGGCATCTGTCTTGAAAAGAGAAGATGACATCAAGGGTGATTCTGTGAAGGTAGATTGATATTTTTGAAATGAAGGATTTTGTGTAACAATTCTAGTGTTCCGGATGTGTATGGTATTAGTAGCATAGGCTCGTCAATTTTTCAAAGCTCTCGTAACATGTTGTCCTCGTTTTCTGAACCTTGACAAGACTGACCCAAGAGGGAATCTCCTGAACTAGCAACATTTTCTTGATCCTGTGCAGGTGGCTCATTGCCATGATTCAGTTGTGTACGTACTTGCACCAATGAAATACGTTTCCGTGTTTGGTTGTTCGGATTCTATTGTTATGTTGGGGGCTGTTGGTAAGGTGAGTCACAGATTTCCTCCTGCATTTATTCTGACTCGTTTCTTTTGAGATAGTTTTATCCTTTATGATAGTAAATGCAACTTCCAGCTCTTTCAATGGCTTCGCCTGACGTTTAAGTGTAGGGAGGTCATAACTTATGGTCTGATGTAGTGCAAGGAATTGATTGTAATCTGTTACGTAGAGTAAGGGATGTTGATCATGATTATATTAATACCCTTGAAACTTTGTCTCCCTTCCTGTTGACTAGAGCTTTATCTTATAGACTTCCACCTCTTTTTGTGACTTGATCTTAATTTCTCTTTAAAATGTGTGCAGGCAGTTCGAGTGGAGTACTGTGAGAGGGTACAAGTAATTGTGCCAACAGCTCGTATTACTATTGCAAACTGCCGGGAGTGTGTTTTTTATCTTGGAGTGAACCAGCGGCCGCTGTTTACCGGGGATAATCACAATCTTCAGGTATAGTTGTATCTTGCAGACTTCTTTATAAGTTCATGTAAATTCATCTCATTAGAATTGGTACTTGATTGCCCATTTCAATGCCCCATACATACGATTTATGCATTTTGAAAACACTCACTATACTTTAGAACCATCTGAAAACTCTTCACCTTTTTAACCTCTGCCTCTGCTTTTTCTCAAGCAGGTAGCCCCATATAATACGTTCTATCCAGAACTGGAAGCTCACTTGGCACAGGTCGGAGTTGATGCGACAGTTAACAGATGGGATCGGATACTTACTTTGGGGGTGGTGGAACCTCACGACGCCTTTATTCATCCGGCTAGTTCCCCCGATGTTCAAACTGAAGGCGCAACACAGCTCCCACCGGAGAAATTCGTGACGTTTTCGGTACGTTTACAACCTTGATTAATTGTAGAGTCTCGTTGTTACTAAGCTATTATAATGTGATTGTTTCCGTAGTTTCCTTCCGAGGTGTTTGCGGTTGGGGGTTATGTAAAGAATATTTTTGAGCCTTTTACTTATTCCTCTCAGATGAATCACCATTGTAGTGAAGGAGACCATCTGAAATCGAAAATAGTAATTTAAATCTTTTCAGCTCTCTAATTCAGCTGTCCGTGCCGTTGTCTCTTTCATTTACAGGTTCCAAACTGGAATAAAACTGATTCTGATCAGCTTCTCACTCGTGCAAATCCTTTCTTATTACCTAAACCTTACCTCCTCGCGCAGCAGCACAGGGTAACTCCTCTATCTCTCTTACAATTTGTAATTGGTGTCCTTTCTCGAAGGTTCAGTTCCTACGGTTTATGTGCATCAGCTGTAAGTATATGACTGGTTCATGAAGCAATTACGGAAACTCATGTATAATTTTTTTTATTGAATTCCATGTGAACAGTGTAAAGCAGCTGAGATTTTGAAGCAGAATCTGAGGACGGCTCTTCTGGAGGAAGGGAAGAAACGCGAACTGATTTCGGCTATTCATGGGCACTTCCGCGATTGGCTATTTGGTACTATCAATATCTTTTGATCTTCTGTCCGCCGCTTTGCTATGAATTTCTCATAACCTAGTGCAATCAGGATGCCAGTCCTAACTGTGAGGCCGTGGTGTGCAGCCTCCGGCAACATCCGTCAAATATACGACCTCCAAGCATTGGATAGGTTGGACAGCAGCAACAGCATGGAATAGAGTTCACTGGACTGAGATTCATTTACCTGCTGTTTCACATCTCTGCTGGTTGTTTCAATATCTGGTCATTTGTTTATAGGTTTGGTGGAGACCACCAGGTTGGATCATCTTTACTGTTGGTAGCTCCTGTCACTCAGACCTTAGTGGGACCAACTTGTGGGTAGAGTTCGTAATGGCGACAGTGTAACCCGTCTCTTGAAGCAGAAATCTGCTTCTTATTGGTTGGGGTTAGTGGTAACTGAGGGACGAAGTAGGAGGAACATGTTCAATTTCCGAGAGAATGAGACACAGAGAGAAGAGATGTAATTGGCAGTTGGGAGAGAGCTCCAGGTTTCTCATCTCGCTGGTAGGACCTGTGACTCCCCTAACCAACCACAACATTATTTTAGTGCTGACGAGTAGCTCGTTTATGTTGTACACAGCCTTTGCAAAAGCGTTTGGGTTCGGTTTATGGGGTCAATGAAATAGGAGTTAGGGCTGCATTGACGGAAATGTCAGATAATAAGATGCGATGCAGAGATTAGAGCTGACGCAGTCCCTTATCATGATCAGAAGTTATTGATGTCCACATGAGCATTGGATTGCTGTTGACGCTCCTCTTTGATTAGAGGAATGATTTCATTGCAGGCTTGTGTTGTTTATCGCGCTTGTTCATGGTTTAGAATTTCAACGGTGTTGGCTCATATTTGCTTAAAGTGTTACACTATACGTCGTTTATATACAATCATCTAAATATGATATAGCGAAGAGGGTTAACTTCAACTTCACGTCCATTGAGCCTGAACTGAGATTGGTGAGGGCATCGATAACTCCGACCAAGATTATTAGATTATCACTCAAAGAAACTTCAATTGCGCAGAATGTATGGTTTCATAACATGCCTCAAGCGCAAACACAGTGCAGTCATCTCCGAACATATTTAGATAATGCAAAGTTAAAAGTTCAACATGCACTAGAATTTTTTCAGCAGATTAACCTTTTTATCAACATCATCAGTATTGCTCTCATTATTGTGCATCAGCCCTAAAGAAACGTCCAAAATATCAAGTGTACATGAATTAGGCATTGAAAATAGATTTACGGATTCTTGACACTTAGGAGACCAGTTATAAAGCCACAACTTTTAAATTCTTCAATTGATAATTAGGAGACTAAGTGAGAGGTTATGACTTTTAAATCTTTTAACTGGTTGAAATCAAGAAGCCTCACTTAGTTGGCTTTTTATTCAGAAAAATATTAATCCGCCTTTACTCTTTTTGTCTTCTCCCTTGTGATGTATTTCTTACCAATTTGAAGAGTGTCATCTTCTTTCAAAGATTCCTCAATTTTGTACCTCAGGAGTTTTTTTATTTTTTTATTTTTATTTTTGTTTTTTCTCATCCATAATGTGTTCGAGACATGGTACAAGAGGGTAATACCAGAGATGGATTGATTTTAGATTTACTTGGGTTGGTTTGATATTCTCTTTAATTAATGGCCTCTTCTCACTTTACACTATATCCAAAGGTTGAGGCTTCCAAAATAAAACTTTTCTTTACAAAGCAAGAGAGTTTAATTAGGCTTTAAAACCATGGTCTTTTAAAATAGACTCCTAGATACATAGACCACTGAGTTTAGTGTGAAACTTGATTTTGAAAATATACTCACTTTATTGAAATATATCATAAAAATTTAAAGATTTAGGATAAATTTATTTACAAAAATTGATACAATACAAACAATAAATTCCTTTGTTTAAAAGCGCAAATGAAAATTTATGGATTTCCATGAGTTGGTTTAAAATGTTTTTAGATAAATAAATAAATAAATAAGATATTCTAATTGTACCATATATTGACATTTCTATTGTTTATAACCATAACTTGACTATATATCAAAGATTTTGATACAAATAAAAACAACAATAACATTGATGAATTAATAAATCAATCATAGTTATTTTATTTTATTTTATTTATAATTTCTTTATTATAATTATCATTTTACTAACATAAATATAATTAAAAAGAATGAATTTTTCAAAAATAAAAAAATGAATTATCCTTAAATAAACTACAAAGTAATGAAATAATATATATATATATATATATATATATATATATATATATATATATATATATATATATATATGATGATTTTTAATACAAAATATTTAATCAATTAGAAACAATTGTATGCAAGATATTACGTCTTTCCTACCAATGTAAATAAAATTAAAAGTTCTAATTAGTTTTATTTATTATAAACATTAATTTAAATTTTTCTTACATAAAATTTAATATTTACAATACTAAATATTATATTATTAATAACACGTCGTATATACATGTACACCATATATGTGTTAAATAAAGACAATTATTTCACAATGTTGAAAGTATTAATACTTTTTTTTATAATATATACCAAAGATATCTTATTTTTTAAAAATATATTTTATTTACATTTATAGCATATTTTTTGTTGAATAAATTTTAATTATGTACCAGAAAGTTTCAAATTCTAAAACATACTACCAATTGTTAACGCACCATTCAAGAGTGCACTATAATCATCCTTCGATGTGTTCTAATTCCATTGTGTATTCCAATCTTCACAAAAAGAATCGGAAGAGTGACGTATGACTGCTTCGAAGAGCGGCATTACGCACATCATTGGAGGTTTTCTTTATACACCAGTTTAGATGGAGTCAATAAATCAACAACAATTTCGTGATGTATTCTGATTCTTGGTTGCTCAAAGATGGATTGGAGTGAACATAAGCTTGCATGTAGCTTACAAGTGAATCATTGAGTGAAACTAGCTCTAGCTCTTTGGAAGGTCTGATAAGCACATGATTTGATATAAACTTTACACAATTGTAACTTTTTGAAGTAATATATCCATTTTTGGAACCTTGGATATGATGATTAAGGAATAAGAAGCAACATGTACCCTTGTGGAACACAGTGGGAGAGTAGGAATTGGTAGTATGCACATGAGCGAGAATGGAGTTAGATAGCCAAATTTATGGATATGATTTATGGTTTTTTACATGAATCTTATTATGATGGATGGAAGTATGGAAGTACTGTGGAGAAGAATGGTTTTGCATTGAAGGTAGTTGTCTTGTTAGTCCTTTGGCTTGATGTGTTTTTGGCAGCAATGAAAGATATTAATAGAATCTTTGGTATTGTTATGTTGGAAATTGTTATAGTTTGGGTAGAAAGAAAGGTCAAAAAAGACATACATATATGTATATTTATACACACATACATACATGTGGGATGTTTTTTGATTTGAAGGGAGAATATGGTGTTCAAATAGTTATATAATTGATTTGTAACTAAGGATGTATTATAAGATGATATACAAAATTTTGTACATAAAATGTATGTAATTATTAGTAGAGAAGTATGTGTAAAAGTGAATATTGGATATTATAGCATAGTGTATAGGTATTAATGGAGATATTGATTAATACTTGGAATTGGTGTGAAGATTAATATTTTATTAATATTTTAAGTTTTTATATTTTTTAATAAAAGATTGGAGATTATAAGAATGTGGTAATATTCAATATAATCAATGGTACAAGTGCTAATAATCAAAGGTATTATTTTATAAGAAATTGTGGCACATTGAATTTCTTAGATTAACCTTTAGATAAATAGAGGTAGTAGGTTTGTGGACATAGTTAAGTTTAGAAGAGAAAGTTACATTATTTGTGCTAACTCAATTGGTTGAATTAAATATATATATATATATATATATATATATAAGATGTTTGAAATTTATTTTTATAGTATAGATAGAAGAAAATTATATTATTGATAAAGGTTTGTGCAAGTTGTAGCTTGTTGTAATGTTTTTTGAAATTTTAGTTTATATATTTTTATTTATATTTTGAATAAGAAATGAATTAGCATATTTAAATGAATTATTAATATGATGCACGTAAATCTTGTAGAATATACATTTGTCTTATTATTAAATTTTTTTAGTCATGTACTAAAGTTTTTGGATGGGCATGTTTTAAGATGGTGGTCATTTAAGATTAAAAATTATAATTTTAGTTTTAAGAAGAACCACAGTTGAAAATTGTATTTAAGTTCAATAAAATTTGTATCATTATTACAAATTGGAAATAGGTTATTAGAATACATGTAAGGATTAAATGTAAGTTGTAAGGTTGTTTGAGCTTGAAGGTTTTGTCTTTGGATTTTAAGTTTAGTTTATAAAATATAGAAAAATATGAATGGTGAGACAATATAAATAGAAAAGCATGTAGTAAATATTTTAAAATAAATAAAAAATATTATGTGCAATTATGGATGTGTGGTGATAGAGTGAAATTAAAAGAAATGTGGTTCTTTATAAAACATCTTATGGAATTAACCAAGTGTTTATAAAAGATGCCAATTTTTGTATCAAGTTTGTAAAAGTAAAGATTTTTAACAACCATGGAACAATATGAGGATTATATACAAGATATTGGTATAATATCAAATATTCAAGGCATTGAAGGAGATTTATGGTAAAAATAGCAAACATATTAGACATCTTGAATAAAAACCAATGCACGAATCTATACAAGAAAATTAAAAATATTATGAAGGTGTTTCATTGCCTATTGATATACAACAACAATGAATTAAAATATGGGCTTTTATTAAATGAATTATTTTTTGTATTGAACAAAGCTTTTTTATTAGTAAAGAATTGTGAAGAAAGAAATTTTTGTAAAACAACGATATTTTAAATGAAGAATAAAAAAATGTTTAGAGAACTACTTTGGGATTTAAAGCATTGTTGTGATACAATAAGTGATATTCTTGTAAAGCACAATCCTAATAGGTTAAAAGATAATATGCGTGGTATATTTGATGTTTTAATCTATGATGAAGTGAAAGATGATGAAAAATATTTATGTAAGAGATTGATTCTTGAAATTGAAGAACATTTTTAAGAACATGGATTTACGCATCTATTGCAAAGGTTGAAAGAATTGAATGGTATAAAAGGTAGAAAGTTAGATTCTTTAAAACTATCATTAAGCATGAAAAAACTTAAAATTATGCATTGCATAAGTGATAGAATGAAAAAAGTGTTGAATCTTGAATCCTTTGTATTGGCCAAAGTTTGCAAATATATATAAAATATTGATCGAGTTAAAGAAGAAGATTATAATTGGAATAGTTCAAGCCAAGGTACCATATTTTGATATATCAAAAGACAAAAGTCATCAAGATATAGAATTATAACAATCACATGATAGATTTCTAATAGTAAACCTTCTCCAAAATTTATAGTATTTAAATATTGAATTGAGTAGTTTGATTTGATTTTTTTATTTAACACATATTTATATATAATGGTGATGGTTAGATACTTAAATATAACCACAATTTTGTAAAGCTATTTTAAAATATAACATATATATTATATATTTTATTTTAAATTTTATTTCTATTAATGGATGATTTGTTGTTTTATTTCAAATTAACAGAGTTGAAGAAGAAGTGTTTGGTAGAGCACAATACTTATTAAAAATAATACAACTATGTGA